AGTAATGGACCTTCTTTTTTTTTATTTGTGTGTGTATTGGAACAGATTTTGGGGGAAAGTTGTATGGCATAGCAATACATAACTGTGACATTACCGATTCGGCAAATTTGAAGTTTATCTATACGGCTAGTTGAAAAAACTTTGATAATTTCTTGTTACATTTTGTCTTTCTTTTAAATTTTCCCAATTTTCTTATCTGATGTCTCAATTTCTGCTATATTGAAATGAAAAAATTGTTCGTGTACGGAGACAAACCCAACCTCATAACAATATTACTGTCCAAGTTTAAATACTATGCTCATCGAAACCATCGGGAAGATCAAATAAGATGAAGTTACTAATTGTTTTCTTCCAATCATTGTAATTTGTAAGAACAGTGTGCCCGCCTCCCCGCACTCTGATAAATAGCCAGGGCCATTGTAATAAAAAGGACGAGAGAAAATAAGTTTGCAATTCATTAGGCCTGAGATAGGCATATACAGTATATAGCCTTGGTGCAAGTAGGGCCATGTCCACCCCCATCTGTACATTCACTACAAAAAAGGTAATCCACTGTGTTATTTTGTACGTCGCCCCCCCCCCCCCCCGTTTAAAAATCTGGTTATCCCACTGACCTCGCATAACTGTATATTGTCCATCTTTTACACAAGTGTTCAATGAGATTATAGATAAACAAAATAATGCACAAATAGATTATTTTCAACAATATTTTTGTAAGGCCAAATATATGAAGTAGATATATTTAGGCGCATGCTCACTTGGCTAAATGAGAAGCCCGATATCTCAGCCAAATACAAATGCTGTTTGCTGTTAGCATGCGTGACCAAGAAAACGAGCATAAAGGGGTGTTTTTTTTTTTTAGATGGGAAGCGGTCCGCGCCGCGCGGTTTTGGGCCATTTTTGGAGGGTACTTTTTCTAGCCCTCAAACGAGATTGGGGGGGGGGGGGGGGGGCGGTAACAATTGCCCATTGGCGACCCTGTCGTCCGCCGCCTGCACCTGCCGCCTTGCTAGTTGGTTATAGGCGCTCTGTCAGCTCTGTGGACGACGGCCGCGAGAGGTAGCTTTAAAATATTTAGCGCGAGTTGGTGCATGCATGCATCAATAGGGTCTTATTAAATTATAATGCATAGTAGAATACTAACCGTTCGTTGTACATGGTGTACTTTTTGTAAACACTACATGTAAGTTTCATAAAATAGATAAAATTGTAGATGTACTTATTTTTTTCTAAAAAAGAGACTTATATGATGGCTGTGCATTAAACCCTTTTGTTTCAGGTTGATGTTATTGCTCTTCTCTGGAAATAAACGTTTACATTATGAATTTTACATCACAAGCACAATTTGATTTATTTTACATTGTCAACAACTTCAATGGTAATCTCTATCGCACTTCAAATTGCTAAAGGGGTTACAATTTAACAATACTTGTTTAGGATGGAGCACAAATTCTTTTTTTAAATCAATTAACACCCCCTTCCCCTTCTTGAGCAAAAACATATTTATATAAATATATATATATATGTCCTTTTTTTAGGGGGGGGGGTTAGCGCGAACCCCCGAACCCCTAGTTTTTACGGGGGTGGTACACTTTTTTGAAATACCCGTGTAGGATGCGAGTTCGGGGGAAAAAACCCGCGAAATCTTCGTTTAGGTGGTGTCTGGAAAAACCTGTGGTCACGCATGCTTACAGTATTTCTACATGATTGAGACCCCCATGATGATAGGTTAAACTAATCCTCCACACATCGTTATTGTCTTTTATGCCTAAATCTTATTTCCTTTCCTACAGGCTACAGGGTCTATTGGAATTGTGGTACCTTTATCTTAGACGATGTGCTCTAGCTCCTGGTGGCATGGTTGGGTAGAAGGTCCTCAAGCTCTCGGTTGCATAATGAGTACTATATTATGAGCTGAACTGAGAGTATATAAGTATCTATATACGTCTGTTTGGTTGATACAGGGAGTTGGAATGGATTGTTGATGTTCTCTTCCAGGACGCCTTTGCTTGAGTCTTGTCTTGTGAGATGTTTTGTTGCTTTGAGTTGCTGACTGCGTGCCTGCGGGAGGTAGCCGCTAGGTCATTAGTATATAGGGGGTATAGGCAGGAACAACCAGCTGGAATGAACTGATATTTTTATCAAAAAAGCGACGGGGAGGGGGGAGGCTGCCAGATTCCCGTCGGACAAGCAAGCAAGAAAGCAAATGGGGGTACCTTTTTTTAGCCAAACTTCTCAGATCAGAAAAATAAAAAAAAATAAAACAAAATTAAATCAAACGGCCACCGAAACAAAACAATTATGACGAAACTGCATGAAAACAAACGAACAAAAGAGCTAGCTAGAAACACACGTAAGGTATAATCAGTTAATTTTGACTGAATTGCCTTACAACATAATCGAACAACAACAACAACAACAACAACAACAACACCCAAACTGTTTAAGCAATGTTTAAGCTATAAAACAAAAACATACACAAGTCAAACGATACTTACATTTTCAGGCCAAACGGAGGCTAAATTTTCTCGTCATAATGTGTACATTACGGTCGAGGCTTTAAAATAATTATAAGACTGGATTGCATGTCGGGGCAGGACATACGACCGTCTCACCTAAAAATTACCCTCTTCGACATGCGATTACCCTTGAAAACAAAATCTGCTTTTCTTAAAACCAACTTCAATGAACAAGGGTTAACTGTCCTTGGGGATGGGGGTAATTTTCCGGGGGTAATTGTCCTGTGGGGGGGGGGGGGTTAGTTTTTCCGGGGGTGATTGTCCAAGGGGTAATTCTCCTGATACGACTTTTGGGAATCTGTTTTTTGTTTGTTTTTTGTAACCTCTATTTTAAAGACTAAATTGGCTTACTGCCCTGGGTAGTGAACGAAACTATAAAAACGAGGTCGTCCCCCGCCTAGCTATATAGGCAAGCTTAAAATTGGAAGAAACCATCATAGATGAAGCACGCCATCTAGCGATGATCTTTGCTAGTGTTGTACGTATTTGTATTATTTATTTATTCATTCGTTTTATTTAGACGGGGTAACTCTTTCAGTATATATTCAAACTGTTTTCCTGAGAGGCACTGTACACAGGCGCGTACACAGGAGGAGGGGGTTTGGGGGGTTAAACCCTCCCCTTTGGTATTTTTTCTGTGTGTAAACCCCCACTAAACTCCCCTAAAACCCCCCTCGATCCCCCCCCCCCCCGCTTATTCAGCGGCTGGCTGAGTCGTTGCGAAATTTTCGGCCTGATTTGTAAATTTTAAAGCCCCCCCCCCTTGAAAAAAATCCTGCGTACGCGCTGGTGAATTGATCGATGGGAGGGGGGGGGGCAGTTGCCCCCTATATATTTCTGTTCTCAAATTCAAATGTTGCTGAAATAATGTGATTTTCCGGGATTTTTTCTCTATTTTTTTCTGTAAATTATACATTTGTATGTGTTTGTTGGAAAATTACGAATTCCCAAATTGACAGTCAGGCGAAAAATATGCATATCTAGTTAGAAGCCTTCATATCATGGCTTGCAGAACGGCAAACTCGGGGGCTCAAGCCCCCCCCCTCACTTTTTTGAAAAAGTAAGAATACTTTTTCTAAAACTTTCTTATTAGTTATTCGATTTTGCTTAAACTTTTTTTGATTGGTTTGTCTGATTTTTTTGCTCTATTGAAAGTAAGTTATTTTTCGAGTGGTCTTGTACTTTAAAGGGCAATTCCATTCCAAAAATAATTTACTTTCAATAGAAGCAGAAAAATCAGACAAACCAATCAAAAAAAGTTTGAGCAAAATCGGATAAATTTCCTATAATTCGCTCCTAAAAAAAATATTATTTTCTCACACTAGCATCCAAGTTATATATTAATATTGATGGGCCCTATTTTTTCGTGTGGATGCACTAATATATAGTAATATGTTTTATTCTGTTAAATCATGAAAAGTGTGAATTGTGATAAACTATCGATTACAAATCAATGATTATGAATATACAATATTCAGAAAATAGTTTCTAAGTTCACAAAAGATTTTGTGAAATGTCATTCACGGCGTTCACGCAATATGTACAAATCATATAACCTGGCCAAAGGCATGAGTAAATCAAGTTTGGGGGGATAACAAAGCAATTGACAAATAGTGAAACAATGACGTCACAAACGGATAACCAAATTGGCAATTTGTGTAGCTATTTTCTAACTTTCAAAGTTTTTCATATTAAAAAAAATGCATAACTTCCTTATTAGTTATCTGATTTTACTCAAAGTTGTTTTGCTCTGCGGCTTCTCTTGTTTTTTGCATCTATTAAAAGCAAATTATTTTTGGAGCGAACTTGTCCTTTAATGTTGGCTCTCTTTGCAGCATCTGCTGCATGGTTGCTGAAATTAAGACAGGTCATGGTTGAAACAACACTCCCAAATCTCTTCTGTTTCATTAATAAGACTTATAATTCCCACAATACATGCCTATCGGTATCATAACTTTGGGGGAAGAGAAAAGAAGAGCAACCTGTTTGGAGAGTAGTATTATTATTATGAGGAGGACAGGGGCGGATCTAAAGGGGGTTTCGGCGGTTTAACTCCCCCCCCCCCCCCTTGGGCGGCCAAGTGAAGAAAAAAAAGAGGGGAAGAAGATAACAAAAAAGTAAAACAGTAAACGGCGCGATTTTTGGAAAAACCTGGATCCGCCACTGGGTCACCCCCCTCCCCCCTCCCCCCGCACTTGGCAAAAAGCTAGATCTGCCCCTGTGAGGATCACATATGAATTATAGAGTCTCTTGATGAGATTAAAAGAGATACGATCATAAGTATGGAGAGTTGCTGTTGGTTATGTTTGTATTATCGGCGTTTCATTAGTTTAGAGTAGCCTTGTGTCCCTTTTATTTATAAAGGACAATATATGTGTCGCCCTCTTATTATGACGATGTGCTGCCTTGGCTTTTCAGTCGAAGCCTGTGATTGGCCAAACAGCTCCGATTCCTGTTTTGTGGAGGGTTTTTCGAATACGTTGTTTGTGTACAACTTACAAGATCACTGAAGCCAGCTCTCGCGGCAAGAATTTGAAAAGCAGTCAGTGCATTATTATGAAAATCTAGGTGTGTTTGTACTTGTTGAGGTACCGACTACCGTATTAGGTATTTATGAATCAATACAGCTAGACTCGTACTGCCGCCGTAGCTCTGCATGAAATGCATAACGTCGAAAGCCAACTGATTTTGATACACTAACGTCATTTTGCATCCACCGCACCGGCCACCGTAGATCTAGGATCTAGATTCTATCAAGCAAGAATTTAGACACGGCCGTGCACCATGTCATTTTCAAAAGGTAGAGTCACACGCTTCAACGAAACCAGTGGTAAGTAAACACTAACACTAACAGACAGCCTTTTAACAAGTTTTACTTTTAGCCTGTTTAGTACTAACTACTATCTAGATATAGGTCTAGATCTAGGTCCTAATAACCAAATTTTCTGTCTCTTTCGTTTGTTAGCCTCTGAAAATGAAAGTCTGATTTGGGTAAGGACTAACAGAATATGCATGACTGACAAAGAAAGCGGACAAAATATACATGCAGTTCCTCAGGTCGACAAAGGAACATCCATTCACTGCTATCGTGTAAAAATGTGTAGAACGGGTGTGACATGCATTGCATATTCACTCTTTAGATTCTACATGCAGTGTAGGCCTAGGGATGTTCCTTTGTCTACCTGAGGAACTGTAGATCTTAGATCTAGGCCTAGTCTAGACTCTAGATCTAGATCTATTAGTCTACATGGTAGATCTCATCTAGATCTAGAGTCTAGACCCTACATTTTGTCCGCTTTCTTTGCCAGTCATGATCATGTTCATAGTGTAAGGAGTAGATCTAAGGTCGGCTCCTCTTTAGACCTTACCCAAATCAGAGGCTAACGAACGAAAGAGACAGAAAATTCGGTCTAGGTCCTAATCTAGACTCGTCTCTAGGTCTAGAAATTACAACTTTGCAATTTCACCTTGTTTTGCCTCTGAGCTCTGTACAGTTGACCCAAAAGGCCAATATAGAGTCTAATTAGGCCTAGACTCTAGACCTATAGCGTCATTAGACATTAACGAGTATGACCATAGCTTCCTGGAGTTAGCGCAAATTAGTATAGTACTTACTCCGGCGCTTGTTCAGAACCAAAATTTGACCTGTAACTCTGGCGTAGAGATACCCTACTAAACAGTAGTAGGGGCGCTGGTCCGAGAATAAGGATCGTCTTCATAAACAAGGATCGTCTTCTTTAACCTGGACCGATGCGTCCTCAAAAATAAGGACCGTCTGCATTTTTGCAGACGTTTCATAATTTTGATCGGCGCATTGGCGATGCAAAAAAGATTCTGCAATGATTTTCTTGATGCATTTTACATTGACATTGTACAGAGACCTTCACATTATGAGCAATAAATCCTTGGGAAGACGGACAACCCATAAAAGTAAACGGTGAACTGGGGTTATTTTCCCCTGGGGAATCCATTTTTGGCATCGCCAGCAGGCCGTTCTGTAACATGAAACCCCCAGAGCGCCGATGAAAAAATACGTCCTCGAAAATGCAGACGACCCTTATTTTTGAGGATGCATTTTGTCCTTGTTTATGAGGATATCCTTGTTTATGAGGACAATCCTCATTCTCGGACCAGCGCCCCTACTGCTAAACATACCCAAAATGAAGTTTCATTGAAATGTCCAAATAAAGATCATGAGTTAAAATTTGATATGTTTATTACCTGTTTCGTGTCAATTTTCTTGTTATTTTTGGATTATTTTACGGATAAACGTTGACACTTTTTCACAGGTTTCACGGCCCGGCAAACCGCTGCACATTACAACTACATACCTATGGTGGGTTGCGGGCAGGTGCACATCCGCCCGCCCGCTTGTGGGGGCATGGGGGGGGGGGCGCCACTGTGTCTGTATTATATTGTTATTCCAAAGTGGTCTGATATATCGGTACTACAATTCATGATGTACAACCAGGTGTACAACTCATGGCCTTGTTTGAATTAAAGGTTGATTGAAAATCTAATCTGCTTCAATATATTTTGACCCTCTTAACAACTTCCTTTCAGGCTGTGCACCGGGTGTAGGAAGCTATGATGTCAAAGACAATAGGAAAGTAAAAGGAGCTGCAGCAGCAGCCATGACTGACAAATCGCAACGCTTTATAGAAACCAAAGGTAATTAACAAGATATCTTTAAAGATAACTCTTCGGGTCCGTTTATCAAAACCGTCATAAGTCTAACTCCTTGTATAAATCAGCATTAGTAAGCTTCTTGTCCGCTGTGCATTTCATGAAGCCCTCTTTGCCTAGATCAAAGACAACATCGTGACCAAGCTAGTAGTTATGATGCCTCTGACTCTGTAATATCTCTGGCACAACTTTTTTAGTCGGTGCAGCGCTATCACATGTAATTTATTAGGTAGACTATGGCTGGCAAAAGGACAAGAAATCCTCCAGCTTTTATCATTGCACGTTCACTTTAACAGTGATTTATCCTTCTGACATTTCATGAAAATATGCCATGTTTATATCTCAGGTCTGGTGACATCCAAATATAAGTTGATTCTTATTGATGGGCAGGGCTGCATACAATTCATATTTTGTATCTACATGTAGATATATATTTCATTGATTTGTAAGTATTTGTAAATATTTTTTTTCTCAGACCTGCTAATCTCCACCCTAAAAAAAAAGGTCCAGATCTCATTCATCTTGTGACATCATCTTTCAATCATTAGTGAGATAACAAGAGACAGTGGTATGTAACTTCCCCCAGCTCAACACATGCTCACAAAAGAATTGCATTCTTTCATACAATACCTCCTCATTAGTTACCTATCTTTTCCTGGTTGAGTCTGACATAGCAACTCCTATGTTGATATTGAATAGTCTATTGTAAACAGGTGGTAAGTTCTGGTGAAGCTACATACCAATGTCTCTCGTTAGCTCACCAATGATTGACAGATGATGTCACAAGATGAATGAGATCGAGCTTTTTTGAAGCTTTTTGAAATATAATCTCTCTTTCTCTGTGTCTCCTCTCACGTATGCAGATTCATGCAGTACGGATGACAGTGTAATGAGTAAGAGCTCTTCAATGGGTGAACTCAGAACCCCAATCAAACCCAACATGTCCATGGTAAGGAGAAGAAATGTCTTTTATACAATATATTGTTATTAAAACTCCAGTTTGTGCTTTGAGATAGTTCATTATTTTGCATGGTTGTATATTTGTACAGAGTTCTTTATACTAATTAAGGTTCCTCTGTATGATATTTGAAAATGGTATACGCTGGGTGCTAGGCTTCTTTTCCTAAATGCAGAATGAGATTTTTGTTGTCTATAGTTTAATAAAAAAAATAGAATTCTAGAATGAAAAATAAGATTTTGCAAGCCATGCACAATACATAGCTTTATGGCACAGCAAACTAAGACTAAGCACCCAACTGGGTGTAATACTAATGTCCAAAGTAAGTTTTTTTCAAGGGGGAGGGGGGCATTTTAAAATCAAGTGCACAAAAGCATACAATTGTTTAAGTTATTTAACAGTCCTAAGTTTAAATTATAGAAGGTATGATTTCTTGCCATATTTCTAATGAAAAATTTGTTATCCGACTGTTGTCTGTATAGGTTAAGGGAATTGAAAGAAGGAGAAATGCTTCTAGTGTGAGCACACCTCGCCATCAAGCAGAAAATGGAAAAATCAAACAGTTAGAAGCAAAGGTAAGTACGGACTCTACTAACAAATTTTGTCTTTTTATTTAAGAATGACATGTTGTAGACAATGGAAGTAGTAAAGCCTTTTATACAATGTATATATGCTGCAGTAAACCATGTTTTTTAAGTGTACTTTGTTTTACATTTTAGTGTCTTTTATATTTTGTTTAACATGCACATACAATTTTATGATATAATGTTGGGTATAAATTACTTTAGGCAGACTACTATGATGAGGTCATTAGATAAGAAGTTAGTTATTATTTGCTCGTGCATGATGTTGTTTGCTTTCATTTATGCAACCAGGTTTTGCTTTGCAATTTGAGCTTTCTTGTTGATGATCTATACAGTGTGAGTCAAAAAAAAGTCGGGATAAAACATTCTTTCATGAGATGTATAATAATTTACTGTTCATATATGATTTTTAAAATAATTAGCAATTTTCTTGGTGTGAACTCTTTGTTTTGACTCGCACAGTAGTGCTCTTCTAGTGTGATTATGTGATTTTGTTATTTTGGGCCTCTTGGAGTACACAGTCAACTTTTTTGTGTTCAGCAAGTGCTACCTTGTATGTCCGTGTCTTCGTTTCAAGCTTTTAGTGATTTTTCCACTGTCATCAGTTTAGGGCGTTTCTGGCAGCAGTTTAGGCAGGCATGTTCAGATAGATCTTCTGAAGATGAATGCTCTATGTTAATCATCATTATAGAGTCAACTACACAGTTCAATGGCTCTATCTAGGAGACAAAGTACACGCATCCATTCTTATTCCTTTTGTTGTATCTTTATTTGGTACTCAGTGCTTTCATTCATGCCTTAAATTCAAGCCAATTTCAGTTCCATGAGGCTGAATCACAGTCAAATCATGGCATAACACATCATTGTGCAGCACAGGTAAAACAACAAAGATGTCGTCTCAATAACTACCTGGCTCTTCTATGGTGTCTTTCAAAAATAACAATAAAGCAAATTACATGCTTAGTCTCGAACACTATTATCTGCAGTGCAGGTAGTTGATGCTGCTTTTCTGGGTTTCAAAATTGAGTCAAAAGTATTCCATGAGGAAAGAGTCAAAAGGTAACAAATTGGGGGAGATGGGATCAGTCTCAGTCTCCGCTCCGGCAAGTAGGATCGACACTGACTGTATTAAGGCCCCAAAAGGAAAACACAAAAAGTGGCCATTGTAGACAGATGACCTTTTAGACAGGTACTTCAGCACTCATTTCCTTCTAGAGGGCGGTAATACAGGTGGCCTGTCTGTATATTTTGTAGCCACTATGGCAGGTTTGACTGTACTTTCAATATTCCATCCTTTGTGATCCACAGATCAAACACCTTCTGCTTCAAGAGACAGAGATGGGTAGGAGGCTCCAGCAGGCGCAGGAGAAAAGTGAGAAGCTCGAGGGCAAGCTCCAGTCAGCCTACAAAGAGAAGGCCCAGCTCCAGGCCCACCTGGCCAAGTCAGAGAAGCAGATCTTAGAACTCTCAAGATCCAAAGATGTTCTTATGAATAAGGTAAATATGATCTGTATGCAGACAGTCAAGGTAACAAACCATTAATTGGGTTAGTCTCTGGATAGTCGGGGAGTCTCATATTTTCTCTTTCAGACATTTGACATAGTCTTGGTAGTAACTGACTTGCTTGATATTTTGTCTTAATTGCTCAGAGAGCTATTAAAAGTACTGTGCTATATGGTCTAATAACCCTGGAAACCAACTAGCATCTCTGTCGAATAAATAAATATTCTCAACAATAATTACCCAACAGACAACAATCCACACAGGATAAATACCCCTCCCCCCATAAAAAACGAAACAAAAAAGTGATGAAGTGCTACCCACTTGTTACATGTGCATGTACCTCCCCTAAGAGTGAGGGGTAGTATTCATTCATCTGGAGAATGATTGTTTCAGGCCTGATAAAAACCTGATTTAAATCGGTTTTCTGATTTTTTTATTTTTCCCAATTTTTTCCCAATTTTTTCTTTCTTCCCGATTTAAAAAAAAAAAAAAATCCAGATTTTTTTTTTTTTTTTCCAATTTTTTTTCCAATTTTTTTTCCAATTTTTTTTTCCTTCCCTTTTTTTTATACTGATTTTCCCGATTTCCCTCTCATTTTCTCTATACTTCCCTATTTTGCCCTATTTTTTTCCCAATTTTCTTACTCAAAAGGGGGGAATGTTGTTAGATTCCATTTTTCCCCCGTGAATCCTCTTTTTTTTTTTTTACTCAAGGGGGGCATGGTTGAGGGGAAAACAAAAAACCTATTTTTTTTTTAGTGCTCACTATCACCCCTGTTATTTGAAGGTAACATTTGCCTTTAAAAGGAAGTCACAGATATCAGTGGATATAATTGTTATATGGGGTTATTTGCCTTAGAATCAATGTTTGACTTGAGCTCAAATTTACTGAGAAGTACTCCTGGTTTAATGAATGATGCCTATCTATCCTGGTATAGGTTGAGAACCTTGAGGGCACCCATTCAAGGCACGCCAGTACATCGGAAGAACTTGATGCTGCTAAACTTCAACTCAGGAAGAAGGAGAAGGTGAGACAACTGATAATGATGTCTTCTGGTAATGATGCTAGTAACTGCCAATGCTGAGTATACTCATGAGTTATATTTGAAATACTGATTTGGTTCTTTGTTTCAAATCTTGTCAGTTAACACTGGGAAATGGAGATATGATAGTTCAATCAAGATTGTGTTGCCAACTTGAGGAGTTTGAAATTGTTTATTCAGCCAAGGATCTCCAAAAACCTTCGTCTTTGATATGTACGCTTTAAATCCCAAAGGATGCTGACATGGGAATCAATTTACAATACCTTGTTGCCAAGAGACATCACCAATATATTGAGCCAAAATCTGTTAGAGTTTAATAGACATGACCATATATTCTTTTGCTTTCGATTTGTAGGAGCTTGAACAAATCACGACGGAGCTGAACAACAAGGTGAATTCTCTGCAGGCAGACCTTGCTGCTGCACATACTAACATTACGGCTCTCCAGGAAGCCAGGAAGGCTCTAGGTAAGATTGGATATTTTGATCTGATCCATAGTTATGCCTCTCTGTCTTTGTCCATATGTATGTCTCTCTCTCTCTCTCTCTCTCTCTCTCTCTCTCTCTCCCTCTCCCTCTCTTTCTCTCTGGCACTTTCTTGATACCCTCTCTTTCTTCCACTCCTTTGTTCTATATATCTCTCCCTCTCCCTCTCTTACCTCATCTCCCCTTTCCTCCTTCCTTTCTTTTTTTGTTTATTACCTTTCTTCTCTTCCTCAAGTTCCTCACTATCTTGTTCTTCCTTTCTTCCTTTCACCTCCTTTCACCTCCTCTCCTTCTCCCCTTCCTTCTCTCCTTCCTTCTCTCTTACCCTTTCTTGCTCATCTGTAACTGTTAAATAATCGTTTAATATGAATTGATGTGCATGCATGCTGCTGTACAACGCACCTCAGTTAAATTGGTCTTTCCCTATTCTTATATAATCATACAGCTCTCATACTATTTGGATGAATATCAGTTTATGTATATTCCACACCATGTGAACTGATTTTTCCAAACAACAGGAACGGTTAAAATCATTCAAGTATTCAGGAATATGATAGGGCTATGATCTAATATTTTAGTTTCCTCTTGGCATTTCATTTATAACTATACCCATTCTCGCGTTTACTTGAAACTATTCATATACCAACTAATTTGCTTCCCCCTAGGAATCGCTAACACTCACTGCACGCCTTAGACTAAACCATACTGAATTTCTGCTATTCTATGATTTATAATCATCACTTTACCTCATTTCATTGTACATGTGCATTTACTGTGTGTTTGTTTTCCCCAAACTCTCTTTTTTCTTATTTATGTTTTCATTTCTCATGATTTTATTGTTTCCTATTTTTTCTCTTCAAATCATGCTCTTCTTTATGTTTTTAATTTCTTTATAATCTCATTCATATCTTTTCTTTTCTTTCACCATTCTTTTCCTCCTACCATTTATGATTTCCTCATCTTAATCCAGGCAGCACAAGAATCCCTAAATATATGTAATCAAGATCCTTGTAGTAATATGTAGATTGATGAAAGTTGAACCATAAGATACCATATCAAAAGATTAACATTTCTTTTGTCGATCTAATGATTTTACAGCTAAAGAAATGGTCATCTTGTGCATGAAGACCATCTATTTATTTAATTGATTGTCAACATTTTTACAAACAAACAAATATGGCACCTCAATCCTGATAGGATATTCTTTTATTACTTCTAATTCATCCCTTGTGCTAATGGTTTCAGGGAATTGGTTATTTCATATCACTTACACACAAAAATAATGATTAAAATCACATATATTGATTTATATTGATTTTTCTATCAAAATATCAAAAGGTTGTAGATCTATATAGGCACTTAAAACTCCTCTGCATTGTGATTGCATGTTCTTATTTGATAATAACATTCAAGTATATATACACACTGTACATGTATGTCTTCCACTTGATTGAATTACAAACCACACTAATGTGCTCACTAAAAGACATTACTATTATAATGAGTTGATATTCAAAACAATGTTCTCTTTGTGTATCTTGATTCTAGGCTCACCCTAATTAAGCACATTGTTAAATGGTATACCGGTAGTTACATTTCAATCATTCTCCATTCAGATTATAAAGCATTATATAGTTTGTATATTTGTAAGGTAATGAAACAGACTGGAATTTTAATTCATTTTTTAAGGTTAGTTAAACTTACTTCATTCATGTAATAATCCTGAATTTCATAATAAATACAATATTCCATACACTGATATTTTGCAGTTTAAAGAGACTGTTCTTGTGGTCAAGGAATTTTTATGACGAAATGTAAAATACCTTTCCATACAAGTTGAAGACAGGCAGAATCTGTTGAGTTTGTAAGTGTTTGGCAGGAGGTGAATATTTGTGTAAAAAGATGCAGAAAACAAACATTAATAAAAAGAAAGAAGAAAAGAAAGAAAAAAAGATGTTGTGTAGAGTACCTAATAGAAAAGGGAAAAGCACAAGACTATTTGAGGAAGGACAGTAGGAATAGAACTTGTCATCTTTAGGACTTATGGGTGAGTATACTGCAATGTGCATGAAATGGTCTAATTCATTAGAAAGATATATTTTCAATGTCTAATTTCAAAGCCTGCTGGTTCTATGCTCTATCCTCGATTTCCTTTCACCACCCTTTTCTCTTACATCATTCATTCTCTTTACAACATCATAATCCTTTCTGTAACAGTATTTCCTGGAGCATTGCATGATCCTGTACAATTAAGACTCAAACATTGTAAAAATATATACAGGCCTATGTTTTCTTCATTGTGATCACTGATAACGTGCATGTTCACTGGGTAACTATATAAGGGTAAAACCTATTGTTTTGTTAAATTCACATTGAAGTAAGAAAAGTATTAAAGCAAAAAATGTGATGATTTATTTCAGAGCAAACCAATCAAGAAATGAGAGATCATGGAGAGGTTATAGAGGAAGAGATCAGACAGCTACAAGGTAACGTACATGTAGGATTATAAAACCAACTAATACTGTCGGCATGTGACTCAAGTATAGAATAGGTTCTTGTATAGATAGTGATCTTTGTCTCAACTCAACACTCCCAGTATACTTCTCTGCCTTAGCATAGCTGCTATATTGCAGCTCTCTGGCATTTTAAAGGAATAAACTTTTCTAATTCTTCCTCAAGATTCTCCACTTTCTCTTGGGCATCCTTGCTGCGTTTTGTCTCCTCATCAAACTGAGTTTGAAATTCTGAGAGCTGAGATTTAAGATTTAAGATCTGTTCTTTGAGATGGACTTCTCCCTCTCGAAGACATAAGATTGTTGATTCAGCTTGGTTCAAATAAACTCCTGCCATGTACATTTATCCATTTAAGTTACCTGGGTCAAGTGTGGCCAATATATCTTGAAAATGGAAGGTTTTATTTGGCAGGTATTTGATGAATTCAATTTGAAAAAAATAAACCTATTCCTGTCTATGCCATTCTGCTGTGCACATAACAAATAGATAAGATATTTTAAGATAAGATATTTATTCGTCTTTCTTTCAAATGACACATAGAGCATAACATTAGATCATTAACATTTACAATGTAAAATAACAAATTATGGCAATGATAAAAACAAAGTTAACTTAAAGAAAGACGAGGAGACCCTGGTAAAAGCAGAGCTTGTAAGTTTTAGGTTCCCCTTTGAGCCAGATAAACATGATGAGTAGATATTTGTGACTATACCTAAGAATACAAAAGGGAAAAGGTGGCATAAAAAACAAGAAGTGTACACACACAACAAGAACAAAAACAAAAAAGGGAGACGAGACTAGATAAGACGGGAAAAAAGAACAATCTTCTGGAACAATCATGAACTTGTAAAAAATGCAAGGAAGTAAATAGCAGCCGTAAAGAGAGGAATCTAGAAATAGCTTTCGAATACGTATATTGCACATGCTTAATACATGTAACTCGGGCGCTACATGCATGCACTGTATACCGGAAGTATGTAGGTCCCGTAAGTGGCCTGAAATTACATCCAAGAGTGGGCAATTCAGGCATTTGGGGGTATATTGGCGATAACAAGATTTAGAACTTTGACATTTTTATTTTTCCTATTCAGCTTGTATGAAATTTTGAGTATAAAAAAGGAAAAAAAACTTACCTTTGACTCTCGGTTTGAAGAATTTCAACCGCCTTCTTATCCAAGCACTGGTGATTTCTGATAAGAAAAAATGTAATTCAGAGCAAAATCTAATAATGATATCTGATATTGAGATTGTTAAGAGGATGATGGGATCTTCCTCAAGTATATGTAATGTACCATGCAGGTACCCATTTACCTCACTAGCTGGGTTGAGTGCAGACGGCTTTAAGCCATTGCGCCTCACTCTGGTGGGCAGGTCTCTAGTCTAGCCAGGCAAACCTTTCTTCAAGATACATGCATATAGGTCTCTCTCTTCACCCTTGTTAATGTTCCCCCTTTGACCCTGTGACCTTCTGACCCTGTAACCTTGTGACCCTCTTGCAGCGGTAACTGATTGTCTGAGGGAGGAGAATGTCCGCCTTCAAGACAACCTGAGTTCAGCTATTATCCAGCAGGAGTCCACAGAAAGAATGATAGAAAGGGTGAAGCGCTCCCTTCTAGAGACGGAGTCAAGGCTTGATATATCTATAGCCAACGTAGATATCCTTGAACTGGCCAAGTATGTCATCTCTTCCTCTATTTCTATCCTGTGTTGTTTTCAGTTAATAGATAGGTGTTTATGGACATGTAGTTAAGGAATTATTTATACAAAAATAATTTTAAATATGATTTTTTTTTGTTGTGGTATATGTGTCATTTTCATTTTACATGAATCTAATAATTGACTAATATGCAAAAGGAAAATAATCTCCTTTTATCGTCGTACATCACAGGTTTATACAAGGTGATTCGTCTATAGTAGAACTCGTCAGTAGTATAAATAAATCACTATTGATAATTTGAATATTTGTGTCAAGTATGAATGTTATGTACATGTATATGTAGTATAAAGTTTACTTTGAAGGTCGATAATCAAATTTAACATAATTTTGTGACAATATTTAAAGTTTGCAGTTTACTTTGATCATCAAATTGAATCTAATCCCAGTATTAAGCTGTATTTGAACTACAGTTGTGTCATTGTTTACACTAAATATAGAATTAGGTGGTCATGTTCTCTTTACAATGTCTGAAAAGAACAGGCTGATGTTAATAATTTGATAGCAATAATCCAACTTAAAAGTTTTATAATATATATATATCAGATATGAAAATATTGACCCCCCCCCCCCTTTTTATGAATTTAATTGATGATAAAAACTGAAATACATTGAAATCTGCATATTAAAGGGATCCGGTAACTTTGTCTCAGATTCTGAAATAAAATTCTGGATTTAGCTCATGATGCAATGATAATTATAAACTTTTAGGTCAGTCAGGAACCCCATGACTTTTACAAGCCGATCGCCTGTCTGATTATCAAGATATTTATGATTGGAATTACAAATTTTGAAAACCGTTCGCCTGTCGGTTTTCATAACACTACATTGGGGAAAACGAGCATGGTAAAACCGGTCACTCAAAGATTTTTTCCTTTTTTGAGGCACTTCTTGATCATTTTGAAGCGCAATTTTTTTAGGGCTTCAATATTACACCATCACAGACACTGATAACACGTAGGGCCGTGTATCTCAGATTTAACATTGTTAAACGATCCCTTTAACACCAATCTGGGGAAACAATTAAAGGGGTCTTTATAGAAAGGTTTTTAGAAATTTTTTCAATGGGCAGTAATATTTAAAGGAAACAAATTAGGTGGTTTTAAAGACACTCAGTAGTTAGCTCTCATGGGGAATTCAACACTGTTCGGGTGTTTACCCAATAAGAGGTGCTGTCAATCACTAGAATTAGCCTTCAGTTTTATGACCAGCAGGCCTTATGTAACGAACTGCATTTTCCACCCATTCCCCCACATGGTAAAGTCATTATCAAACCTTTCCCACATCCAGAGATCTCCGAGAGAGGAGGGGGTATTTCTCGATTGGGCTACGGGTTCGCTGTGTGCAGACGTAGTACCTGTACACACGTTAATGATTTTTATCCACCAAGTCTGGTGTCAGCAAATTATGGCCTTCTGCACATGGAAACTGACGAGTGACTACCTTTAAGGCCAAAAAAAAAAAAATCATTTGGATTGTCCTCAACTGCCCGCTCGTTGTTTTTTTGTTTTTTTGTTTTAATTTAAATTAAATTTTTTATGGGGGAGCAATCTTAAATGCCAAACATACCATTTTATGCATTTGCAAGGATCAAAATGCGTCCCGTTGCCAGTTTGGTCTTTTCAGTACGCAATTAGGTATTTATTAAACTTGCCTTTTTTATTTTTCTATGTCAAAATGCCGTTCATTCAAGTCAGGTTCTGAGCATTCATAAACTGATTATAAAGCCAATCTGTACTAGTTTACAAGAGGGATTAGACCACCCTGCAAGATCACTGCACAGGTGGTTATCTCATCAAATCAGCTCTCAGTTAATATAAGATAAAGAGGATAATGGGGACCAATGCATGGTCACGGATTAGGCATTGTTTGCTACATAGAGGGCGCAAGTAGCTATAAGTAGTACAATGGAGATTTAAAAGGTGCTGTATTTCAAAGCCCAAAATACTTTCTGTGTTGGTCTTGATATTCATTGTATATTAAACTAGTCTTTTACCATATTACAGTGTTTTATAGACTTTGTTTGTTTAAATGCTTGACAATCCCAATTATTTATTTTTTTTATGGAAAAAAAAAAAATCCGCCCGCCCGCCCCTACTCCAGAATAGCAATCGAGGACAACCAAACAATTTTTTTTTTTGGCCTAAGAGATGAATGGTCTTCAGTACAGGTGGTTTCTAAAGCAGGTTTCACTGTACTTCTCTTTTTAGATCTGAAATGGGAGAAAATTTGAGCCATGCTGAATCAACAATCTCTTCTCTTCGAGAGGGAGAAGTCCATCTTAAGGAACAGATCTTAAAGCTTGAATCTCAGCTCTCAGAATTACAAATTCAGTTTGAAGAGGAGACAAAACGCAGAAAAGATGCCCAAGAAAAAGTGGAGAATCTTGAGGAAGAATTAGAAAGGTAAAGCCAAGTTCACATTTTTTGTTAAAACCACCAACTTAAAAAAAAAATCTTTTCAAAATGGGATGTCCACCCTGGTATTTAGTTGGTTTTAATAGAAGCAGAAAAATGAGAAGAATGTGTCTGATAGTTTGAGCAAAACAATACCAGAATACATTTTAAATTCTAAATCTGTTTGAATATATCAAGTAAAGTTTGTATAATTGATGTCATTTCACTAACCTTGATTCAAAGTTTGCTTTTTTGTCCCTATACCCTTTGTGGAAATATGTCAACTGTTATTTTTGCAATTAAACATGTATCATGTAATTTGGTAGTAGTTGATGATCAGATCAAATAAAACTAACAATGGGGTAGGTTTAGTGCACAGTTTATCTCAATAAAGACTTTACATAAAGATCTCACCATGCTTATGATCTTAATATTGAATTCAATAGGACTGAGACAAGTACGACAGAGAGCCTGAGACAGATGAGCAACAAGTACCAGACCTTAGAGACCATCCTAGCCCAAGCCGAGGCAGACCTGACCTGGGAGGCTGACACTCATAAGGCTCAGCTCGCTGCGGCTGAGGCCATCAGCCAACAGAGGGCAGCAGAATGCGAAGCCTTGCAGATTCAAAACAGGGATCTTATACATGCATACAATGTGGAAAAGGTGGATATATCAATGTTGTGTTATCTGCTTTAATAGCAACTTCGTACACCAATTTGATTAAATTTTGATGATACTCAATTTAGAGATGCTTGTATGAGGGATTATGACACTTCTTCAGTAATAATTGGTTAAAGGTCATTTGGGTCATCTCAGTCATTTCACAGAAAATGAGTGGGCATAACGGCTTATGTTACAATCTTTTTGTTGGTGCATTTCAACATGTAAGCATAATTAGCATATGTTTGTAGAGTATTAATTTCATGTGTTTTATTTGTTGTTTTTAAGTCTTGTTCATGTTTGACCCAGTAGTAGACTTCAAAAGAACCACCCTGACAAAGAAAAATGTCTGATAGTTACAATGTCAATTCAAAATTCTTGACCTTTACTTAATGACTGAATGATATTTATCTATGATTTATGAAATGTTGTTAACAGGAGGAGTGTGATCTATTGAGAGAGCAGTTAGAAGAGCTCACAACTGAGGACAAGGAAGATTTGGAAATGATTGGTGACAGGCTGGACAAGCAGGAGAAGAATGTAAGAAATCTTCTGGGTTTTTTTCTTCATATCCTCTGCCAGTGAAGAATGCAACTTTGCAGTGTTTTACATTTACACAGGCACATGCACTTTTTTTTATTTAGTGTTGTCTAAATGTAATTGTCACACGTTATCAACACACATCACAGGAAGGAACATGTAGTATCTTGGACATTTCATGCCAGAAATAAATGTACTTAAGTACATTTATTTTTGTTAGTCGAAAATGCCACTGTTATTACATGTATCATCAGAGGATATAAAAATGGTTAACAATACTTTTACAATGTAATTTTTCTGTTGAAATACACATGAGGATACATGTATAACATTGAGAAAGCATTAGCAAAATTTTTCATTACTCAGAATAAAGTGTGATATAACATGCAATATTTTTTACTTCCTTATTCCACCCATCACAGAGCGAAGACATTAAGGAAATCTGTTCTGATCTTGGTGAACACCTGAAGGACATGAAGCAAGGGAAGACCAAGGCAGAGGATCATGTCCAGGCTCTGGAGCTGAAGGCCCAGAAGGACCAACACATGTTTGAGGAGGAGAAGGGCCAGCTCTCAACTGCCTTGCAATCTGAAAAGGTGGGTGCATGCCGTGTAATTTCTGAACGCAGTGGACAAGATTTGTGAAAGCTCAAGATCGGTTTGACTGACAACTTCAAATTTTTTGGAATTTCACAAAAGTTTCTTGTTTCTAAAATAGCTATCCTTAAATTCACTGAAATATACGTAGATATGTAAAACAGCTGTTTTGAGTTTAGCCTCAGCCTCAATAGACAAGGTGCAGGCATGGTAACAGAATTGGGGTTTTTCTGGGCCCATATTCATAAGCTATTTGCTATTTCTGAATAAGGCCTAGTGGCGAACTAAAAATTAGTAAGGTTTGATGAATACCTATGAGTAACTACTAGTTAAAAGCTAGAGACCATTTCAGTTGCCAGCTAGGCTTAGCAAGGTATTATTAATGTGGGCCATGTTCACTAATAAATTTCAGTTTAGGGGCATTTGCTGGCTTTCCGTTTTTTCTCACAAAAATGTAGTCTTTCTAATGCACACAAATATTTGCTTCATTTGTTGCCATAGAAACAAGTTTGTTTTCTTGAGAAACAGCTTGAGGAGCTAGGTAACGAGATGGAGGAAGAGATGCAGGAGGTGACGGGCTTGGATGAGAGACTACAACTCCAAGAAGATGAGGTGTGTATGTGAGATCGCCCTTCATGGGTTGCTCATCGTCTGTGTGTTACATGTATGCATGCCTTCCAGCATAATCTGCATGTCTCTCTGAATCTTCCTGTTTTTCTATGTCTCTTTTCCTCCCTCTCCCTTCTAACTCTTCTTTACCCATTGTCTCCTGTCTCTCCATATATGCCCTTTCTCTCTTTGGTGCTCTCCCTAGCTCCCTCTCCCCTGTCTGCCCGGCCATCTTTCTCTTCGATACGTCTCGCCTTTCTTCTTTGCCTCATCAGTTTTCCCCTCTATTTTTCCATTGCACCTTCTGTTTTGTCTCTTTGTTTGCATCTTTGTATATACCCTATCTAATTCAGCCCTTATCTCTCTCTTGCTCTCTTTCTCTATATTTCCCTTTCGTCTCTTATGTGTAATTTTCTTTCTCTTACCTCTCTCCAAATTTCTTCCTTCTATAACCCCTCCAAGCTTCTGTTTTCCTTTACTCCACTCTCTCCATCTCTATTTATCTTGCTCTATCAGTGTTCTTCTATTTCTTTATCTACCCCCCCCCCCCCCCCCTCTCTCTCTCTCTCTCTCTAATAATAATTTGTAATTTGTATATAGCGCTTAAAGCCTCACTGTCCTACTTGTAGCTACTTGCTCCTTCTATATAGAAAACTTCCCCAATCGGTGCCTGTTGGTCCCTCATGATCCTCTATTTCTTATGTTATTTGAGAGCTGAGTTGTTGAGATAGCCACCTGTCAGTGACCTCGCTGTGTGGTCTAATCTCTCCTAGCCACACTAGTGTTGATAAGCTTTAATACAAATGTCTCTAAGCCCTTTACAAATACACACACTCTCTCTCTCTCTCTCTCTCACACACACACACACACACACATTATATTCTTTCCGCTCCTTTCTGATATATTTGCCCAGATTTGTTCAATCAGAGCAATCAATGATCAACTCCAGACCAAGTTGGATGAGATGAGAGAGGAGAAAGACCAAGTGATGGCATCACTCAAGAGTGTGGAGGAGGCACGAGAGATGGATAAACACAACCATACAAAGGACAAGGAGATATTGTGTGAGGAGCTCAACATTGAAAAGGTATTAAACTTCCTAAAAAGCAATATACAGAGACATTAATAAATGCAATTAACATTTGAAAGTGTAAAGTTGAAATAAACATATATCATGTGAACGATATATTTTGTAAGGAGGGGATCATTAATGTATTCTATATTTTGATACTACAACCCCATGGTAGTAATGTTTGAAAGGACATATAACCCAGATAAAGTTTCACAATTTTGTAGGAATAATTTTTTTAATCCAAATCTATTAAGGCTGTGCGTAAGCGTGTAATGAGGTACTCAAGTACACGCCCAGGCTTACAGGCAGGTACTCAAGTACTCAGCGGCCATTTTTTAACCATTTCAAAAATTAACATTTTTTATTTTTTAGACATGGCAAGGAAAAAATATTTGACATGTAAATACCTTGCCTTTTTATTGTGGTGATTTTACGCCATAGTTTCTGAGTGATGAGTTGACAGTGACACCCCGTGTATGATTGAGCTTGGAAACATTTTTACTCACGGTACCATGCCGGTGCTCTTCCGGGCACGGTTGAGCGTCGGCCGGCCGGCACAGTGCCAGGAGGCAGGGCATAAATCGGGGGGGAAAAAGAAGAAAAAATGGCGGCCGTGTATTCGAGTACGAGAAATCTTACTTGAATAGTTGTCAACAGTGCGAGTCGCAGCCTTAAAATCTATTGAAAAAAGGGACAAACTATTGTTGCAATGTTTTCTACATTCCAATCTCTTTCTTTATTGTCACACCAGCAAGAACGTCCTCTCAACTTTCAAAAGTGATAAATATCTCAAGTCAAGATACTTGTTAGAATACATCAAAATGAAAAGAGAACCATGTAGTGTCAGAAATAGAAAATGGATGGAATGAGTGTATAATACATCTTTCATGCTAGACTTATTCTAATGTTCATGCCTTCTTTTACAGGAAAGAGTTGATGCCTTGGAAGTACAGCTGTCAGAGCTCAGTAATGATTTTGAAGAACTGAGCAACATTGAGAACAGACTTGCCAAACAAGAGGGCACGGTAGGCAAGCTTGATAAAAACATGCAGTGCTAATGGCTAAATTATACCCTCAACATTTTTACCCTCACATAATGTTAGCTGACATTTCTCATCTTACTGTAACAGGCATGATAAAAACCCGATTTAAATTGGTTTCCCGATTTTTTTAATTTTTCCCCGATTTTTTTTCTTCTTCCCAATTAAAAAAAAAAAAATTAAAAATCCAGTTCTTTTTCTTTTTTTTTTTTTTAACCAGATTTTTTTTTTCTTCCCTATTTAATCCTGATTTTCCCGATTTCCCCCTTATTTTCTGTATTCCCAATTTTGCCTTATTTTTTCCAAATTTTCCCCAAATTTTCTTACTCGAAAGGGGGGAAATGTTGTTAGATGACATTTTTTCCCCGCGAATCCTCTTCTTTTTTTTTTACTCAAGGGGGCGTGGTTGAGGGGAAAACAAAAATACCTATTTTTGGTTGTGTGCTCACTATCACCCCTGTGTAAAAGATGTTTATTTATGTTTATATATCTTTATTCCGGAATGGTGATGGTTTGTTTATTTACATTGTACATGACTGCTAAGGAAGCATGCATATGTTTGTAAGTCAGCAACCTGGAGACCAACAGCTTTAAGAGAGGTCCAAGGGCCTTGGTAATGAGGATTAGTGCCTTACCAAGGGGCATTAGTACATCGACTTGGTTTATCTAGGACCTCCCATTTACGAGACCACTGCTCTACCCTGTACAGAGCCATCTCCTCTTGATATTGTTCTATTATATTTCTGTTGTCCCTACATCTACATGTCACATTTTGGGAGTGTAGGCTGTATCTACGATTAGAATGAAGCTTATAATTCATTACCTTTCGTTGTTGACTATGTGGTCACTTCGGTTGTATGGTCAGGATTATGAGCTGAGCCCTGTAAAACATAAAACTTTACATCATGGTCAATTGCAAAATAGCTATCAATTGCTAAGTTTGCTTTGGCAAGGCATTAATCTACATTTGCCACACTCGACCCAGGTGAGGTAAACGGGTACGTGGCAGGAATTAATTCCTTAAAATACTAAAGCGCTGTAATGGCAGCTAGGCTAAAGCCAGGGTAATAATTAATTTGTTAATTGTTTAGATAGACGGCGCTATATAAATGCCTATTATTCTTATTCTTATGTTATATTTGTGATACGGGACCCTGATCACATATGGACAAGAAAATTGGTGCTGAAGGCTCAATAGCATATTGGCGAGCAACATACACTTTCTACGTACACCAATTTTATCGCAATGTATGATGAGCCCTATTAAGTTTTGTTTAAAATTTGGTAATGATAATCTCAACAAAAGGTGAAAGAGCAACCCTATTTCTTTCATAATTTAAACAGGCTGAAGACATCAAGATGGATAAGGATAGACTCAGTTCCATGCTGAATTTGGCTCAAGATGGGCAGATACGAGCTGAGCAGGCTTTCGACCAGGCACGATCCGAGCAAAAGGCTGTACAGATGAGTCTAGAGGAGCAACAGCAACTGAGTGCCAGTCTTGAGTCCAGTCTGAAGATCACTCAGAAAGCCAAAGAGAGTCTGATGACGCAAGTAGAGCTACTGCAGGCAGCAAAGAAAAAACTCAGTGCAGACTCGCTTGCAGGCCAACAGAATGTCCACAGGTATGGTTTCTCATGATGTTAGCTTCCTGTGCATGAGACTCTTCTGTCTTGTTTTCCTTTTTTCCCCTTTATCTCTCTTTCCTTCTCAACCCATTTCTTTCTTCCTCTATTTTTCCTTGTCATGATTTTGCTGAGATTTCTCCTTTATACATCATCAATGTGGGTTTGTTTTAAGAATACTAAATATGGAATTAAAAAATACTGAACACTGGATAAATGACAGTAGAGAATACATACAAATTCTAATGAAGGGCTCCACATAAACTAATGATGTATTTAAAGGGGAATTTTAAAAGGTGTTTCAAGAGCAATATCTACATATCTAAATTAGATAATTATCAGGCTTGGAATGATTTTGACAAATTAGAGAGTCATTTATTTGCCAGCATGTAGAAAACACAGCTGGCCATAGTATCTGAAACGTCAAAGTCATGTTTACTTTACCATTATTCCCTCTCCCTGTTGGCATATCACAGAATGTAAGCTATTAACCCATAGACAACTGACTTCTCTTATTCCCATAGCCTTTAATACAGAAGCCACTTGGTTTCTGCAGTAAATGGGTTAACTGAAATGAGATAGTTCATGTGTTATTTTTTGCCATCACATCTATTCCCTTGCCTCTGCAGACTTGAATGCGAGGCCACCTCTGCCAAACAGGAGAGCACCACACTGCGAGAACAGGTCAGCAACATTGAGACCACCTGGAAGTCCAAGGTCCAAAACCTGGAGGAAGCCTGCAGCCACCAGCGGGCAGAGTTTGGGCGTCGGCTGGTTGACACCCAGACCAAGCTGTCTCAGAGCGAGGCTGAGAGGAGGAAGGCGAGGGAGGACCACGAGGTTAAGACCTCTCAGATTAGGGAACGCCTGGAGGAGAGGATAGATGATCTGGAGCAGAGACTGCATCAGCTTCAGACTGAGAGAGAGTTAGTTTCAGAAATATTACCAACTATGATGAGTCATAGATTCGTTGTATATAAACAGTTTGTTGAGTGGGCAGTTCCATGGTACTTTCTCCCATACATTACCAACCATATCTGTATTTTAGTGTAGTGAAACTCATGATTTTAAGTACAATTGACCATTTTTGTTGCTTCATTATCTTTTGCATGTATTTGTTTCTTATTTCATCTATTTCTTGTAATTATGTATTTTCTTGAATATTACTGTAACGCCAGTGGAAACCAAATTTCTATGTAACTTGTTTGCTCTAAAGATCAAATAAAATAACTTGTATCTTGTATCTGATTATTGTATTAATTTGTGAACCCTCTGGATATCAACTATGATACTCTGGGTGTTGATGCGTGTTGATTACACTGTAATACTTCATAATGCATGGGGCACACAATAGCTTTTACTTGCCCAAGTATAAATTGGTCAAATATAACAATTACATACTTGAGGAAGATCCCATCATCCTCTTTACAATCTCAATATCAGATATCATTATTAGATTTTGCTCTGGATTATATTTTTCTTATCAGAAATCACCAGTGCTTGGACGAAAAGGCTGTTGAAATTCTTCAAACCGAGAGTCAAAGGTAAGCTTTTTTCCTTTTTTATACTCAAAATTTCATACAAGCTAAATAGGAAAAAATAAAAATATCAAAGTTCTAAATCTTGCTATCGCCAATACCCCAAAATGCCTGAATTGCCCACTCTTGGATGTAATTTCGGGCCACTTACGGGACCTACATACTTCTGGTATACAGGTGCATGCATGTAGCGCCTGAGTTACATGTATTAAGCATGTGCAATATACGTATTCGAAAGCTATTTCTAGATTCCTCTCTTTACGGCTGCTTATTTACTTCCTTGCATTTTTTACAAGTTCATGATTGTTCCAGAAGAAATAATTTGGGAATCCCACTGCATGTCCATCATTTTTTTATTTTTTGTTATTGTTCTTTGTCAAAATGCTGTGAATATAGAGTCCCGATCGTGCAGTGATTTCAAACTTGACTTGCCTTCGGAGCAACTTTTCCAGGTTGTGCACTGTGTAGGGGTTTATTGGAAGTCTTTCCCAAGTCACATCTCTCATCTAGGGATATCTCTGAAGGGTTTTATCTTTAACCAGCACACAGCAGATTCACAATTTATGTAAAATAGAAAATTGCTTACGAAATACTATTTAAAACACCAAAGAAGTGGTGAAAGCTGGCACCGTCCAACTATTGCAATGTGTATATAGACAGCTTGCTCTGTGACTACTGGCCAGCGCAAGCTGCTGAGACTTGATCGGCACATGTAGTACAGCTGGAAGCGCCTAAATCACTAAGCTATCCCAGACTCGGATTCATTTGAAATGGGGGCGTGAAAATAACATCCATGCATTTAGGGGTATCCCCAGTAATGTAGCAGACTACTTTCATTATTTATGTTATTTTTTTTCTTTTTTGCTTGATTTTTTACAGGGGGGGGGGGCTACTATGATAGCTAATCAGTGATCTTGAATATTGATTTGCTATCATAGCCCTCATCTTGCTATCTTGTTGACAGGAAGGATATGCTCAATGTACAATTAGTTAAACCAGTTTTGTCTGTTTTGGTTGGATTGTCACTATAGACAACTAAAGCACTTTCTTGTTGCATTAGATTTTGATATTCAATGTGACTGAGATTGTCACAGCTGACTAATGGCCCAGGAGATGAAACATGACTTTTGTCATTCATTAGAGCGTAAGCCAAAACAAAGAAATACATGAAGGAAGATAGAAATGATTGGTCTTGTGGAACCTTGGAGAGTGAACCCTCAACAAATTTACACAAGGCACACAAGACTGACAAAGTTGGTCTAGTGATATGTCAACAACAAAAAGCTGAACTGACCCCTTGCAGATTTTGTCGAAAATTTGTGTTTTTACAACTTTCATGAAATTTTTCCCAATATCCTTCTTTCCGACAAACAGGGTCACATTTACCCTGGATAGATGGGGCTAAAAAATGGGTTGAATTTTTTCATCTAACCCCCTGCAGTTCTTTATATGTTTAGTAATGAACATTACGCTTGGAATGACCTTTAATGAACTGATTGTTTCTCTTTGATACCCCAGTTGGAAGCTGCAGTTTGAGGAACTGATAGAAAAAGTAGCTCCCTTTAAGGTAAGTTTATTTGAATATGGTTTAATGATGTAACAGAAAAATTACAGAATTTTGTGCTTGGTGGAAGCAGAAACATCAAAGAAACAACTTTGCAATAGATTGAAAAGGAATTCAAAAATGAAAAAAATCCTTTGTAAATCAAGGCAGGTGAAATGCCCAATATATGGGTATTTAAATAGTAGGTATTATACAACTCACTCCCAGATCCTAATCAAATGATTGGTCATGTGCGGTCACATAATGTTGGATAAAGCAACTCAGCCTCCATTGTTTTTAATTCAAACAGGCATGTAAAACCATGTTATTACCCATTAGTGATCTGTCCGATTGATATTTATGTTGATGATTCAAGTCTGACAAAATACATGTAATAATCTTTCCTGATTCTCACAATATAATTACATGACCAAGAATAATAAATGAATTGCTTGTTTTGGAAGGATCAACTGAACCAGTTTGAGATGGATCGACGAATGCTACTTAGCCAGAACGATGCTGCACAGAGTGAGGTTAACAAGCTGAGTAACGACTATGCTAAACTCCTTGGGCACCAGAACCAGAAGCAGAAGATACATCACATCATGAAGATCAAGGATGAAAACGCCAGTCTCAAGAAGGTAATGCAGGCTTAACCAATTACAAATTCAACCTAGTTCAGACAAAAGAATTATGTGGGCCCCTTTGAAAACCAACTCTGTTCAATGGGCTAATCCATCCCATATGTTGAAGGAAAAAAATGTTAACGCAGTGCGCCGCACAAAGGTGTATAGTTAAACACCTCGATCAACAACTCATTGGGTTCACATGGAGTTTGCCAGTTTAAATTCACAAAATACAGGTTGTACCGTTTGTACAAGGCATGACAACCATGCACTTGAATTTTCCATATACTGTAGGATTCAAACGTTGATAATTCAATACAGAATGTGAGGAGGCATGCAAAATAGGCAGTAAATCGTTTGTCTTTCATTTGTTTGCATTTTCAGGAGGTTACCAAACTGCGAGAAGAAACCACCAAACAGAGCAGAAACCTAAGGCAGATGAAGGATAAAGTGGAGAAGATGGAGGGAAAGAAGAAATTTGATCCCACCTCTGCTTTCCGTCATGGCAAGGAGAACCAAACTCAACCCCTAACTCAAAGAAATTAAAAACTGGTTAAATGAACACTTTGTAAAAGAAACTGTGGAAAAAATTGGGAAGTACATGAGAAGAATGTCACAAGCACTGCATACAGAATCGGTATATGGGACTACACCACACATGTGGCATGAATGTTTTAGTCAAAACTTTTCATGAGGGCAATCTTTTTAGAGGATATTTTCTACTGTGACTTCATGAGAAAATAGAATAGAAAAGACTGAGAAATTAATTGCAAACAATTATGTGAAAATGTTCATGTCTGGATGTCATCTGCAAGTATATAATCTGGTGACTCTTTGTGTAAACATTATGATCACATCGCAGTAAATATTTTAATATTAGTGATGGATTATGGACAGACCAGTGATCCCATTATTTGGAAAATCCTAGCTTCCAAGGATACCTATGTATGTACTTAGATTGTATATAAATAAAATGTATATCCAGAGTCTTTAGTACATCTTTTTTGTGAATATGTTAACAAAAGTAGTCTTACTTTCCTGCCCAAAATCAAAATTTTGTTATGTTTTCTTGTAAATGTATTTCATTTCATTTCATTTCTATATGTCCATAGAGGATAATTTCACAGGAACAACATATAATTCACAATCATAAGTACTTCATTAAATATGTGTGAATTGTAAACTCATACTTCATGTTTGTCTGAATTTTGTTCAACCTCGTTTCTGAGGTATTTGTTTTATGTATAGTATATACGTGAACCCCTAAAAGAAAAAAAAATCCAACCTTAATATTCTACAAGAACAGAGAACATTCTTAGAAGCAGACTAGTGAAAGTTTAAATGAAATTGGACAAAAAATGAGAAAGAAATATTTGAATATACGCACAAAATGTATGAAATGTCAGTTTGTCAAAATACATGTATATGAGTAATAGGGGGACTACTGTAATATATTAAATAATAATATACCAAATTAGCTAATAAGGGAGAATGCTATATTTGTACATGTCATCCAAACTGCTGATTGCCGCTTTAATTGGAAGAAGAAAAAAATTCATATTGAACTTCCATTATAAGCAGCATTTCATCATCCTTAATAAAATTACATGTATAAACATTTAGATTTTTGTTTTCTATCATTCCTTGTTTTTATTTATGAAGATTAAGCCCTATGAATATGAATGAGGTCATCATCATCATCATCATCATCATCATCATCATCATCATCATCATCATCATCATCATCATCATCATCATCATCATCATCATCATCATCATCATCATCATCATCATCATCATCATCATCATCATCATCATCATCATCATCATCATCATCATCATCATCATCATCATCATCATCATCATCATCATCATCATCATCATCATCATCATCATCAATAACTGATTCTTAGATCTCAAAATGCTTTTTCACAACATGATTTCTCATTTTATTCAACCAGAAATCACATATGTCCTGCACTATATATATTGGTTGCATTCAAAAAACAAAAAAACAAAATATCAAGACCTGACACTAAATAATTACATACAGTATTCACAAAACTGTACAAGTCTACTTCATTATGTACACAAAAACCTGTGATGGTAATAAACATTACAATTTCATCTGAAACACAACGATTATAATTTCACATAATTCTCTACAGTATTTAGCATTTTTATAATAGAAATAATTGTTTTTGCAGTCAACTGGAAGAGTATCTTACATTGCATATACTTCATTTGTAACTGTAAAAGTAAAAAGAATACTGATATAACAGAAAATAAAATTTACAATAAATAAAATCAATATTAACACAACATTTATGATTATGAAAGAATAAGTAAACATACTCCATACTATGGATTACTGATCCTAGCTACTCAATTTCCATCCTATTTTGAAATGCTACATATGACACACACAATGTAGAGCTTACAAATAGGAAAAGGCCCATGTTATATAGTACACACTTATGAGAAATTATTTCAGAAATGTTAATATACATGAAAATTGCAATGCCTCATGAATTGGTGTGGGAAAGAAGGGATTTGAATATCAAAATAATATGCTCAGATAAATAAAGGAAATACAAAGTATATTACAGTTTTTAAAAAATCGTCGCCTTGGAGGTGGAAATTTTTCATAAATTGAAAATCTGGGGAAATCTAATGTCATATAAAAGCTCACTGATGCATCCATTAACATAACTTGCAAGATTCCACCTTTATCAAAAGCTTCAAATATCTAACTGAAAACAATTATCATGGAGTAGAAATAAACATTTGCCTGTCCTGAATTGTATGGAGTGATTTTAAAAGGTGTTAATAAAATGGATCAAATTTCAGTTCAAGTTATCAACATGTAATAATAAATAATAATATTCAGCTTTTATATAGCGCAAATCACAATAAGTCTCTAAGCGCTTCCAAACTTGGATATTATTACCCCGGCTTTAGCTGTGATGCCATTATAGCGCTCTAGCATTTCAAGGAATAAATTCCTACCAGGTACCCATTTACTTCACCTGGGTGGAGTGTGGCAAATGTAGATCAATGTATTGCAAAAAGTATACATATTTTGTGGTACTAAGAGTATGTGCACACAATTCAATGATACCTGTAGTTCAATAACAACAACAACAAATGTTAAAATGGATATGCCCATTCACCTTGACTAAGCAGACAGACTATGGACAACTTTCCCTCCTTGCTTAACTGTAAAATTTGGTTTTCCCCAGATCATTAGGGCCAGTTATAACTGATGTAATTCAATGTGTGCCTGTCAGGAAGCCATCAATAGATTGATTACATTTTTAGACATTATTTTTACACAGTTGTAACCTTAATTTAACTACATCGAACCAGAATATTTCGTTACATACATGTACAACATTATAACTTCTCTATATCGTTTCTTTATCCAAAGAAAAGTTACCAAAGTTCATGTCTGCCCCCTTCTGCCAGGCATACAACATTTTGATCTACTCCAAAGTTGCCTATGAACTTTTTTCAACCTCTTTTTCATGAAATGATTTTGACAATATTATTCAATTTCAGAACTTCATTAATCAATCTGAAGAGTCATAGAGATTGATCAATAAAGTTCTGAGAATACGTAAATTTTATCTACAAAACATATTGTCAATCATTGCATGAAAAAGAAGAGGAAAAACAGTTCCAACTTTATGGACAACAGTGCATTAAATAATGAACCCATGTGGTCCTATTTCAAGAAAATGAATGAATAAATGAAACCTCCACTACTAGAAATTGCAGTGAAATACTTGGCAGAAAATGTGAATGGCAGAAATGAATATCAAATTGTAAGAATAGTTTTTGAAAATATATTTTGATTTTCAAACGTACTTCCCTGTCATAATCAAACTAAGGTATGCGAGATAGATGCATTCTACCTATGCTTTTGAAATAATTGGCTATAAGTAATTTTAGGACCCCAAAAAAGTAAATTTGGACACACTTAGTTAACTGCATTTGAAAAAAGCAAAGTTAAAGGGAACCAAAACCTTCATACTAAGTTACTTTTATTGTAAAGTATTTATATGAAAAATATCATTGAAAATTTGAACAAAATCGGGCAAGGAATAAGGAAGTTAGAGTTTTTTTTTAAATGACTAGTCACTAGAGGGCGGTATTCAATTTGATGGCATCATCTGTGGACAACTCTCCATGCCTTTTGTGTTTCATGTTTTTCCTTCTTTCTTGTGATTGAGATAATCTACTCCCCTGAAAGCAAGATATAGAATGCAAAATGATATTTTACTTCACATGTTATGAAGTCAGATCAAGAACACAAATAAATACGAAGAAAACGAAAAAATTGTGAAATTTTATGTACAAAAGGCATGGAGAGTTGTCCACAGATGATGTCAAAAAATTGAATACCGCCCTCTAGTGACTAGTCATTTCAAAAAGCTCTAACTTCCTTATTCCTTGCCCAATTCTGTTCAAATTTTCACTGATTTTATTCAAATCTTTTAAATTTTACAATAAAAGTAACTTAGTATGAAGGTTTTGGTTCCCTTTAACTGCATTTGAAAAAAAGTAAAGTAAAAGTAGAGCTCAAGTTGCTCCAATCTGCAAGGGACAGAATATCATAACTAAGATATAGATGAATGAATAAATGTATAATGTCCATATATAGATTGTCCCCAAGCGTTAATGTTCACCATAAAGATGAATTCAATAATACTCAATATATCTCATGAGGTAGTGCTACTCAAATATACAAGTACATGATTCTTTACCCGGCCTACATTGTAGGAGGGCCTCGATCTACACTAAATACAGGTATAACTACACAACAGCCCCACATATAGAAAAAGATGCAGGCAGCACATATTTAACAAGTTAAATTCATAATGCAGTATCTGCATTTCAGCTGGCAAAATACCCAAATTGTTTACATAACAATGCATTAATGAAGTACATGTGCCAGTATAGCATAATGCAGTAACATTCCATTGACAAATTCACACTAAATTTAGACTCGTTCATGGAAATAAATGACACATGTTCTTATGCATGCAAAATAGGTCCTATGCTTTTTCACTGAGCTGTGTATTATAAAATAGAGAAATATGACACGTATTACACTTTAGGGCATCATCAAAACACTGACCAAAACATTTGACTCTATTTTCAAGACTTAGTATTTTAATGTGACTCAATTTTCAGTCTCATTATTTTAATTTTTACTATTTTCAGTCTCATTATTTAATCTTATTCTACCCTTTTGAAAGTCTTAAAATCACAGCATCTCACAAAGTTGCAAGAGTGCAAGTTTGCTGACATCCCATTGATATGCATGTACATGCATTACAATTAACAAAGGGCTCAATGAGATTTCTGCAAACTTGTATTTTATGACAGATTTGTGGAAAGAGGATGCCCTAGCTGATGGGAAAATGCATGAATATCAAGAGATGCATCCACCAAGGATGGCTTTCTAAAAATTAAAATAAAACATAGCTGAGTAAGAATGGTGCAAATCAGCTCATTCAAATTACAGCTAGGAATCAGTTTTTCATGATTAACGGTCCAGATTTCAAATACAATATCTTCAAAGGATTGTTTTTCCATACTCCTCAGTAAGGAGATTTTTTTCTTGAGCTATAGAAAGGCATATAACCCTTGTTCGTGCTTGTGAAAATCTGTCAAATCATCATGGGTTGGTGCTTATAAAGCATTATACCAAGAATTCATCAAATTCATCAGAAGAACAATTTGAATGAAAAATTTAAGCAAAATTAAAAAAGATATTGCATATAATAATTATACCATAGTTAACTTAACACTATCACTCAAATAAGTCAAATTTCTAAACTTTTTTAGCCGAAGCAATAAAACAAGTTTTTGAAATGTTGATATTGGTTTCTTTGAAGCTCTTACAGGGAACGCTGTGTAAGAAGTTAATTTGTATGACCACAAAAAAAAGTAGTAAAAGTTTCAAATCGCTAAATCTATGCGAACCTCAAATTGGCAATTTGGTCAGTATATTGTGATGTATTCACAGTCAACTCCACCATTCATTACCAGTATATACTGAAATATAAGTAACTGTTTTTGCCCCCCTAGGTACTTTCTCTTTTTGGGCAATATTACAAATATATCATGGATAGCATATTACCATAGGTCCTCCACATAGAGTTGTCTGCCAACTACATCACAGTCATATTTTACTGTTCAGCCAATTTGAAATTCTCATAGTTATAGTGATCAAAACTTTTTTTTTAAACAACTTTCTTATTGTACGTCCAATTTTGTTAAAAATGTCTCCAATTTGCCAATCTGATTTTTCTACTTTATTTTAGGGCGATTATTTGGATTTCCCTGCAATTATATTAGCATGGCAAATTATTCATAGTCATAACAAGTGGTAGTACAACAGTCTAATGTAATTTTTCAAACTTTTCTTTCTAGGAATATGGTGTACAAATATATTTCTCTACTATGTTTCTTGATCTTTTCACTATACTTTTTAAATTTCTAAATGATGATACAGTCTCTAAATCTTGAACATTATTTGGAGGCAGGCTTATTTGTTTCCATTGTTTTTTGAGTGAGCGAGCAAAGTGAGCACGCAAAAAAAAAGACCACCCTAAAATGTTAAAATATCATTTTGCAATAACACATTACATAAGATATCCAATAATGTATACAGGCACCCCACTGTCAAATATACATGAATATGAGGATATTGGGGCATCTCGTTGCCCAGAATTATCCTGTTTCTATATTTTGCAATCAAGTGCAGTGAACGAGCATGGTAGCAATCCAATTTCGATATAAAAGATATAAAATATATTTGGGTAACTGGCTGTCAAATAAAATGATATTTGGGCACCTTTAAGCCAAATATGGAGGTATTCAGGTACTTTGTTGCCTGAAATCTTCCCGTTTCTAAACAAAGTGAGAGAGTGAGGAAGAATATTCTTTTCAACTTTAAAATGCTATTTCCTCATGATCTAATATGTGGTGTTTCATAAAATCAACATTATTCCAAAATACTATTTTGATGTAACACCATTTCTCTCCCAGCACTCTAGTTGAAAAGGGCTGTCATATGACATTGGTGAGCTTTGAAATAACAGAACATTTTTTTCTTTCTGAATTGGCCAATATTGAGATCAGTTGTCGTTTGTCTTCATAAAAAAATGACAGGCAAGTCATGCAGCGATATAAAGAAAATGTGTGGCAAACTTAATTTAATTTTGGAAAAAAATATTGTTCTGTATAAAATGAATGACATAGAAGAAGAGTCCTTGAGTAAGAGCAGGACTATACAGATAATGTAAGCTATGAAAGATATCATATAATGGGCATAAATAACTTATCAAAGGTTTTTAAAAAATCATATGCATAGAAAAAAACAATATTGACAAGGGTAGTATTTATGGCAAGATGGGTTTCAGCTGGCCTAAAGTCCAGAATAGCAGGATCGTTTTTTACTATTTAAAAAAATATGGGAGGCACTAAGAGAAATAAAACTCTAGCAAGATCCATACAGTCATGTATAGCAGGCTATCATGTAGGAATATTTGGTAATTATTTGGTTTATAACATGTATTCATATCTCACATATCTCATTCTGAGCTAACATGAGCAACAAACAAAAACTTATTTATTATAAAAGAAAATAAATAAAAATATCAGCTTAAATGGAATAAAGATTATTTCACACATCAACTGCGGCCATACACATTTTTTTTTGCAGTGTCAAAACCTACACAAGACTCAACATACCTCTAAAAAAAAATCCATACTCTCCACAAGACTGTATTGCTCTAATCCCTGCTGTATGACAGTTCTTGTGAAATTGAAATCTACCAAAACACATCCGACAATATCTCCATGCTTACTATCTACTTATACTTATTAGCCATGGTAAACTCTATGTTTTGTAAATGTAGAATAGTACATGACATAGTGTAAAGAGCCACTGCAAGTTGACTGATTATGAAGGGTTTCATAGAACTGTTGACCAGATCAAGATAAAAGAGCCCACTACTTAAGAAGAAAACACTGCAAATAAAACATGCAGGAATATAAGTATGTAGGAAACACACATTACCCCCTTGTAGAATGTCACATACAAGTATATATATATATATATACACCTACATATTTGGGCAACTTGTGAAGACCACCAAAGTCGCAGCATATGGAACATATCTTGTATTTTCAAACTCATGGTCATATGTATTTTTTTTCTATAACAATATAAAATCAACATCTTTCTTAGCAGTTGTGAGAATACAAAAGATAGGGATAATTGGCAAATTCACTTACACATAAAACATGGTCAAAGATTACCTTAACCTGAATTTTTAAAATAGGATAAAGCACATTTTTGTTGTTGTCCAAATGAACTCTTTAGTTTATTACTCTTAGACTTGGCATATCATACAGATACTGTTTGCTGGAACAGAGAAATTTGATGTGCCTGAATAAAGGATGTCACTGTAAAGCCTTACTCACTCTTATCAAAAGACAAACAATATCACAAGCAAAGTGAACAGCCGTAGCACAATGATGGATAATAGTTATCTGCAAAAAAGACAGAAACATTCATGTAGCTTTATCATACATAGACCTTATGCAGTGCATTGGGAAGCAAGTGATGGGCTCTGATGTAGGGTCAACATCCTAACAATATTTTGCACCTCATCATTATAGAGAGAACAAGACAGGACATTTTTAGCTGACCATACTGACCTACACCCAACATTGAAGAAAGAACAAGCTAGGAGCTGAGCTGTCAAGCTGCGCTAACATCATACTGGTACTGATCTTCTGCACCCAATATCGAAGAGAACAGGTTAGGAGTTGTTGAGCTGTGCTGTCCAGAAGTAACTATTCTGGCTTATGCAGGAAGGACATCAAGCTCTGGTGAACAATCACCGGTAGTGAGTTATCAAAGAATTGTTGACAATATAAGTGTTCATATGAGGTCATCTAGTTCTGCACTGACCTAAACTGATTATCATCTGGCCATGGAGTCCGTCTGTGGGGTGGGGCCGAGTGGACCCATGGGAAACTGGGACCGTAGCTTCACAATCTGCTCGTAGATCTTGAGCGAGGGAGCCACCTTCATTCCAGTCAGTTTGACCAGCTGCTCTTTGCTCAGAGACATCAGTTTCTGGCCATTGATATTCTGCAGTAATTACAAGTGACGAGAAATACATATAATTGCATGGTTGTTTTTTAATCCTTTTCCTACCATATATCATATTGCCCAAAATAACCCAGATCCTCCTTAGAACAAATGTAACTGAGAAACAATTTGTTTGAATCACAGAATCATTTTGTAAAAATGTATGGTATAACTGGGTGATGAATTATCATAGATTGATTTCTTGCAAGTTTTGTTTTTTATTTTTGGGATAATTTTGCAACCAAGGACCAATTCGATTTTCCATTATCCTACATGTAATACCGATCTGTAAAAATAATGCCGCAAGCAAGATGTAAAAGGAAAAAGGTCAATGCACTAATGTTCACATGCATGTCTTTTAGATCTCCTGAAAATTGAACATTGACTTACAAGGTATTATCCCCTTCCCTTACAATATTTTGTATACGGTTCAAATGAAATGAATATATTTCATTTGCAAGTTTCTATTTATGAAAAACTATTTAAAATGATATCTCACCTGTCTACAAAAACACTCTGCACATGAGCCTTCCCCTGTCTCAGCTAGGAATTGAACCACCTCAGCGATTCCCCATGTCCATGGATTAGGCATCTTTTCTCCAGGTGAATTAAGACTGGGCGTGGTTGGCCGTTCCCTGGTGAGGGCAGGTTCACCAGGTGTGGCAGGACTCGTTTGTGGGCTGCTGGTGCTGGAGGACGGGGCCTTACGACCCAGAGGGCTCGGCAGTAGGGATTGTTGATTCACCATAGCCTGGTGGAGGTTGTAAGATGGAGGCGGTACTGAAGGAGGGGGCAGGATATGTGTTGGTGGGGGCACTCCAGACAGCTGTTGTGAACCCAGGGAATGATTGGCTTGGGCTGGGATGGGGGATTTCTTAGGGTGGGGTGGGGGAGGGTACCGGGGCTGCATTAGGAGGGACTGCAGTGGAGGAAGCCGTTGGGGGGCACTGGCATGTGGGTGGGGCATGGGAAAGCTAGAGTCAATGGGCATGCGGTGCTGAGGGGGGAATGGCAAGAAGTCTGATCTTGGGTCTACCGGAGATCTTGGCATATTACGTAATGCTTGAGATAAATGAGCCCCGTAGGTTGGGGGAGGTCTGCTTATAGTAGGAGACATGGAGGTTGGACTGGACAGAGGTATACTTGTTGGGGACATACGAGGAGGATGGGTGAGGCCTTGCATCATGGTTGTAGGTGAAGGGGAACGGACATTGACAGGCATACAGAATTCTTTTGGCGGCCTTGACAGGGCTACCATATTGCACAGATCTCTACCAGAGGGTCTGAATCCAGAGAATACACCAGGGTGGGAAGAAGGGCTGAGTTGAGAATGGCTCACAAGCTCAGGGCCTAGGGGCAGACTGGATGGAGGAATATGTGACCTCTGCCCTTGCATCATCATTCTTATCATGTCTTGTTGCCTAGGAGATGGGAGACTGGGAATGGTACTGCCATCCATCGAGTTCAAGAACCCTACCTGAGCTATACCCTGTGGGTTCATCATCCCAAGCCCAGACTGCTCCTCACTGCTGATCCTCCTCTTCCTTTTTGCTTGCTGCTGCTTAGTCAGTATGTCGCTGATTTTTTCCTGCTTTAGGAAGAGAGAACGAAGTTTCTTCAGCTTCAGTTCATCTTCCTCCGACATCTGGGCTTTTCCTCCTCGAGACGTCATTGCGGAAGCAAGACTCTTCTTTCCTGCTTGTACCTGGTCTTTGGATGCAGGCGTTGGCTTTGGATGCTCTTGGGATGCCAGTGAAGTGTTAACATCCTTGATTATTTTCTGGACCTGCGCTTGCGACGCCAACAACGCTGCAGTGTCTGGACCAGCCTTTAACATTGTCCCGTTTTTTGCCAAACTTCCTTTGCCAGTCTCTTTGCGAAGGTTAGATGCTGATGCTCTTTTCTCTTTGATAGGTCTGAGAGGCACTATTTCACTTGGTTCAGCTTCAAAGTTATAGGGATCGTCAATTGCACTCGGCAGTTCTTTAACAAGCCGCTCTTTGAGGGTCAAGTCTCTAGACTTAGTCTTATCAATAAAAGAGTTTGTCCTTGGCACACTGGGCTTTCCCAAATCCTTGGTAGCAAAAGAAGATGAAAATCCAGCAACTAACTTTGATTCTTTGCTTGCACTACTCTCCTTGACCTGTGATTCTAGAGGCTTTGTGTTGGAGCCGCTCGGCATGCTTGTGAACACTGCACTATCTGATTTCAAGGTCTGACTACACACAGTATAAGGAGCTACTCTCACCGAAACGCTATCATCGACAGACTTAGCCAACAGTCTATCCAATGCAGAGACTTTGTCAGATGCAGTTCGGTTATCTTCCTCCACTGGGATATCAGTACTTGGGTCCTGGTTGCTCCCAGTGTTCATGGAGAACTTCACCTTGGACATTCTGTTCAAGTCTAGTCCACCCTGGGGAGTGTTTTTATCATTCAGAATATGATTTAGCACATTTTCCTCACCGTTTGTCAGGTCAGTCTGCATAACTGAAGGCAGTTCTGTCGGCAGATTCAACAGAGTTGCTAGTTGACTGGCCTTTGCTTTTGCTTTCGCCTTTTCTTTCCTCCTCTCCTTTTTTCGCTCTTTATCCAACTTTGACTTCTTCTTCTTCCCTTCCTTCTTGTGCTTCTCCTTCTCTATGTCCTCATCTTTGTCTTTGTCTTTCTCTCTGTCTTTCTTCTTTTTGTTTTTCTTCTTTTTCTTCTTCTTTTTCTTTTTCTCATGCTTGTTAACGCTTGGTATGAGAACAGGTGGAGCCATAGAGGCATCTTCAAAGTCATACATCTCAATGCCAAACTCATCGTTTTTCTCTTTCACAAAGTCTTTGAATGGCCTTGAAGACAGCATCTTTGAGCATTGTTGTTTGTGCTCTACATGTGACCAGTTCCTCATGGTGAACTTGCCAGGACTTTCTGCATCCCCCATGGACTCTGAGCACTCTGTCTGATGAGAAGCACCAGCCCCAATGTATCCTGAAGAGGAATCTGCTGACAGTGGAGGTGAATCTAGACTGGAAATAGACGTATCTGGCTTGGAATGGCTCTCCACGATGCCCTTCTCAACCTCTACGATGAATTCCCCATTTTCTATATTCTCTGGCTTCAAGAATCCTTTCACCATATTGCTAGTCTTCACACTAAGTGTCTGGTCTGGTGGTACGCTCTTTTCTACCTCTTTCTCTTGCACCTGCTGCCCAAGCAGACTGCCATTGCCTTGCCTGGATGAGGGCAGTGCGTAGTTGTGATGAGAGGCCGGCTCATGGGGCCTGCCTTTGCCATTGTGCTTCAAAGTTGATTTGGGCATCTTTAACTTGAGATTGGAGCGGACCTGAGGTTTCTTGATCAGGTGTTTCTTGGGAGGTGGAGGGATGATGCTCCTGTCATGGTTGCTCTCTTCATCAGAGAAAGAGTAGACTGAAGGCATCATCTTCTGAGCTTCATCACTCTTCTCTCTGCTCATCCTCTCCAGGGCTGGAGTTAGAGACATCCCTGTCAAATAAACAAACAATAATATGATAATCAACTCTATATTAAACATACAAAACATGTCAATTTCATCTGGAGGGAATTAAGGCAAGCAATCAAGAGAACAATAAGTCATAATTATAAGTCCTGAATCTTGCAAGGGGCACGACCAACTGACTTGGTTTGTAACACAAGACCATCAGGATGGGCAATCCCTCCCTTACTTTCATTTTTTGTTCTTGCACTAATCATGAATCTGCTAAAGGAAATACTAAATATTAAAAGGTTTTAAAGGTGAGCTGGGCATTCTCCATCTAAGACACCATTTCTTGATGAAAATAAATTTGTTTTAATGGCATTGACACTGACAATTCTACTGAGGAGCATGCGCTTAATTTAAGTTTATTAATCCAACTCTATCATGATTTCTAATTGTAGAGGGGAAACTCACTTCTCTTTTCTCCAGTAGGATAGTGCTTTCTTCTTGAGATTGGTTTGCATACTGGTGTGATGCTGATATAATCCTGTGACTCTGCTCATTCAAAGGAAGACAGACATAAAGAACATCAGTTAAATAGCACATATGTTTCTCTGGTTCATCTCCCACCATTGCCAAACCATTGTAAATGTATCTAACCCAGGTAAATAAATGATGATGGTTATAAAAAGATCATCTAAGGGTGTGACTGACAATACAAAAAATGCTAGCATATAGTAATTATATAGAATTCAGAGGTTGATTTGCTAAAAATTTATTTATCTCTTCTCCTGAATTGGCGATAAAAGGCTAATTAAGGCAAATATTTGCACTACTTGAATTCAAAGATCTTTTACCATTAACAATTTTGTTATTTGCATGTAAAATCAAACAGCTCATATCTACCATCTGTTCTATGTCACCATGTATCCATATAAAAACATCTAACACTACCCCCACAGGGCAGTCTACCCACTGGTCAAATGACCTTTGAACAGTGAGTAATCCAATCATTCAATCATTTACCATGTACACTAATAGTGTTCCTGCTTTGTGTATTATGTTGTCACAGATTCATGCAGGGTTAGGGTTGGCTGGATTTGAGGTTACCTTTTGGGTTAGGTTTAGCATTGTGAATGTGATTAGGTATAGTGTTAGGTCCTGGGTTGAAATTAGAAATTCGGTTAGAGTAGAAAACGACTACGGAGTCTTGGTCGCATCCCAACTCACCATGTATCCTTGGAGGTTGTAGTTTATATGAGACCATCTCACACCACCCGACTGGGCAGATGTCTGGTGAATCACAGTCCATCCACTGATCAAACGATCTGTCCCATCCATCAAAGTGAACCCTCAACAATGGACCAGCCACCTTGGTCACCGTGGCAACACAGATGAAACCGGACTCTATCAGGTCAACCGCTTCCAGCTTGTGACCGACCTTGAAACCTCGGTCTACAGTTTTCTGCAGGAGAAGGATACAACAAATTACAATATTGTGAGTTTTGTATTGCCTAGCCGTGCCTTGCTTTGATCCCTTAACTCCTGTAGATGAGTGATGATGATGGCGTGGTGGCGATGATGGTCGGAGTTTTGTCTAATTGTCTTTTCTTGTCTATTCCTGTATGTTGTCAGTCTACCTTCTCTTTGGCCTGCCATTTCTTAATTTTTACTTGTATGCTCATCATGAAGACATTACCCAAAGCTACTCGTTACAAAAATATGGCTTTCATGAGAGAAACTACTAGGTATTAAAATCAAGTGTTGATTGATAAATAAATATAATACACGAGCAGAGAATTCATTCTAATCACAAAGTGTTTTCCTCAGGTGTAAATAAGCAACCTATTTGAATGTCCTATCCTAAGGTTTTACAGCTAAACTGTATCCTCAAATTCAGAATCAGACAGAGGCAAACTGAGACACATTGCTTACTTCAATGGTTTGATGGTTTGTTTTAAACGGACTGTTAAGAAAGCATTGTATGCTTGTAAGTAAGAAACCAGGGGATCGATGGATGTTAGTCCTCTCTGAGGGACTTGTTATTAGGATGATTGTCTTACCAAAGGGCACTACTGCATCGATTTGGTTTAGAACCTGGGACCTCCTGATTATGAGTCCGCTGCTATACCACTGAGCAATCACGCCTTCTCAATAATCTTATTTTGAGTATGTCTTCCAAACTATACAATACAAACTTAGATGCACCTTCCAATTGAACCTCAACTCATATACCGTATTTGCCAGCAATAAGGCTGCACCGTCGCATAGGCTGCACCCCAACTTTGACATTTCAAAGAGGAAAAAAAAAAAAAAAAAAAGGGAAAAAAAAACCAAAAGACAAAACAAAATAATCGCAATTTTCTCGTAAAACACTAATTTTTTTACAAACTGATACCAAATTCATCAATATTCTTATAATTTACCGGAAGTTTAGCTCAAAAAGTGATCGCGGGCAGATTTGGTGTCCTATATATACCCCTACCACAATGTACGATGTAATGCGAAACTGCATGAAATGGAAAACAAAATGGCGACTTCAGATGGATGCTTTGCGGCAGGTCCCTTCCTTTACTTTTGCAATGCATTGGCACGAGCTTAGATCAAGATCTATGGCAAATGTTGGTTTAGCAATTTATTTTTGTATTCTTGTCAACAATGTAAGATAAAATTGTCAACAATGTAAGATGTGTTGAAATGTCCTGTACCATAGTGGTACAGTTATTTTACCGTATGTAGTCCCATATGTGCAAATTCGTGCTGGTTTTGATGTTTTTTTTTTTTTTTTTACTCTTTCACCGTAAAGGCCGCACCCCGACTTTTTGATATTTTCTCTTCCAAAAATACTGCGGCCTTTAGGCCGGCAAATACAGTAACATATTGCAAAGTATATAATGTATGTGCAGAACCAGAAGGGGGTTAATTTTGTGTTAAACTTATAAGTACATGTAGAAGAGTTAGCAGCATTTTGGCTTCAATTAGACAATGAGATGATTTGTGTGTGTGTGTGCTTACCTGATGAAATATTTCAATGGGTGCTGACAGAGACTCGGTCGTCCGTAGGTAATCTACCCAGTCAAAATTACTATCTGAACCTGCAGAGATAAGAATCGCACATAGAAAATAGTTTTGAAAAGAATTAAATAGTGAAAACATGTGAATTACATCCTTCATTGTTCTCCAGGTCTAAAGATTTCAACAGAAGTCCTCTCTTAAGCAAATACAGTGTATACATATTTATCACCTGAATAAAGTGAAGGTAATTTTGCACTTTGTTTAGTCTTATGGACTGCTTAATTACCACATATGAATCAAGAAGAATATTAAATAAATATTGAATAGACTTTCTTACCTGAGAATAAAACTAATAATAATGAATTAATAAACTTGTTTACATACCCTATAGGGTATATGAATATGCTGAACATTAGAAGTTACAATTCAAATATAAATTCACTTTCAATTAATAAAAAAATAAATATCAACAGTGTGGATGAGAATATAATAATAATAATAATAATAATAATAATAATCTTTTAAAGTCCACTCCAAATTTTATTAAGTTAAACCGAAAATGGAAATTCTTTTTGCCCAATTGATCATGAGCCCGGCAGCCACTGAGCAGCGCCAGATTGACGTTGCTCTTTTTAGATCAATTAAAGGTCGCTTCACAAAAACCAAGGATACTATTATAATGAAGATGTAAAAGGGAATATTCTTTTGAATCCAGTGTTTCAAGTACCTCTTGGAGGTTGAAGGTCGATCTTATGGTATTCACAGAACCCCACTGGCAGGAGAGCAGGGGAGGTACAGTGACAACAGAACCAGCTGTTAGTATCCTCCAGGCACCCATCTACACCAATCATCAGATACCCCTCCCTCAGTACTTGCATCACCGTGGCAACGCAGACCGTGCCTAGTCGCAGGGGGTCCACCACCTCCAGCTTCATGTTGATGCGAAATTGGGTCTCCTCCTTGGATGCCGGCTGTCAATTGGTATTTGGTAAAGAAGTTGTAATTTACAGATTATAATTTCAATTTTTTTTTGTATAAAAAAACATGATACTTGATATCAATTGTACAAAAGTAATCCCTCTTTGAGTGAGAATATTTATATTCATCATTTTCTCTCCCCTGAAAGTTAGTCTAAAGTTTTGGTAACAAAAGATACAGTTCTTAAATGACTCAACATGATTTACATTAACTGTTCAACACTTATCATATTTGCAACACAGACAGAGAGGGAGTAAAAAAGAGAAAATACAGATAGATGATTACTTATACTGCTTTCAAACTGGCTTCTATCAGAGTCACACTGATGAAAATACTGATTAAATTTTCCTTATGTAAACAAAGGTGAAACCGCCGTTTCCCTGCTGTCGCTTTCATACTGCCGGTGAAATCACTCGCTGTGGCGAGCCCTTGCCGGAAGTGAAGAATTATTGAGCAATTATTAAGCCTGCGCCCCATCTAGCTAGCATGCAGCATGTTCAACCATAAGTCAACAAACACAGCTGGTTACGATAAAGCGCGCGTACACTGCGACCTTTGACCATTTTAATCAGTGTTTTAATCACTGTTTTCTCCCGAACGCATTCACAGTGGCTGTTTCATCGGTGTCACACCGATAGAATGAGAATTAAATCGCCTATTTCTCTTCTTTTCATCGGCTATTTAATCGGCTTTTTCTCCTCTATAGCATTCATTCTGGCAGTTTCATCGGATACATCCGATGAAAATCAGGCCAGTTAGAAAGGGGTATCAGACAATATGTCATTAAATCAATTCATTAAAGGAATAGTTTGCAAGAAGCCGAGTGCAATGTAAAGAGCATGAAAATCTCACCATGTTAAAGATTTCCCATGGTGCATCATCTGGTCCAGACTTCTTGTTCCTTCCCTTATCCAAGGCCTCAGATATATATGCTAGAATAACGGAAGAAAATTGCAATATTTATGTATTTACATCACATGAAATAGGAAAAGAATGTTATATTTTCTTTTTTATTAATTACAGTTTCTAAAGTAAATTTCAACTGAATCTGAAGGAACATCTAAAAGTTTACGTACAATAAAAAACCTCACTACAAATCTCATCACATTATCAAATGGATGGTGAATTCAATTACAATGAGCACCATCATCATCATCATCATCACGCCACAGCCACCACAACTCATCACACCATCATCATCACGCCACAGCCACCACAACTCATCACACCATCATCATCACGCCACAGCCACCACAACTCATCACACCATCATCATCATGCCACTGCAACCACAACTCATCACACCATCATCATCATGCCAGATCCACCACAACTCATCACACCATCATCATCACGCCACTGCCACCACAACTCATCACACCATCATAATCATCATAATCATCATGCCACAGCCACCACAACTCATCAAACCATCATAATCATCATAATCATCATGCCACAGCCACCACAACTCATCACACCATCATCATCATCATGCCACAGCCACAACTCATCACACCATCATCATCATGCCACAGCCACCACAACTCATCACACCATCATCATCATGCCACAGCCACCACAACTCATCACACCATCATCATCACGCCACAGCCACCACAACTCATCAAACCATCATAATCATCATAATCATCATGCCACAGCCACCACAACTCATCACACCATCATCATCATGCCACAGCCACCACAACTCATCACACCATCATCATCACGCCACAGCCACCACAACTCATCAAACCATCATCATCATGCCACAGCCACCACAACTCATCACACCATCATCATCACGCCACTGCCACCACAACTCATCACACCATCATAATCATCATAATCATCATGCCACAGCCACCACAACTCATCACACCATCATCATCATGCCACAGCCACCACAACTCATCACACCATCATAATCATCATAATCATCATGCCACAGCCACCACAACTCATCACACCATCATCATAGTGCAGCGGCTTAGCAAGAAAATTGTGCACTTTTTGATAAAAGCATGAAACTTCTAGCATAGTTTGCTTTCACCATAAGATTTATTTTCAGATGTGGAGGGAAGTCAGATTTGACCTCTGATGACCCTGAGAGGTCAAATCCAAAATGGCCGCTAGGCCGCATGGTCTAATGTACAAACATGCTTAACTTTTGAACCAAATAGTCCAGAGAAACGTTTAAGGTGTCATTTCCAACTAGCTTGGGGATGCCAATTCATTTGGTAATACTTTTGAGATCGCCTGAACTCAGGGTTTTGCATTTAGGTCAAGGTCAAGGTCAAAATTGACTAAAAATAGCAAGTTTTGAATGGTTACAAATGGTTAAATCTCATTTATTTGTCATTTGTTCTCAAATTTCTTTAGGAATGGTTCCCCTGCATAGTCCTCCACCTTAATCCTTTTCAGGTAGTCTATTTCAGTTTAATTTGACCTCTGATGACCCTGAGAGGTCAAATCCAAAATGGCCGCCAGTCCGCAAGGGCTAATGTATAAACGCAGTAACTTTTGAACCAAATAATCCAGAAAAAACATTTAAGGTGTCATTTCCAACTAAATTGGGGATGCCAGTTCATCTGGTAGTACATTTGAGATCGCCAGAACTCAGAGTGTGGTATTTATGTCAAGGTCGAGGTCAAAATTGACTAAAAATAGCAGGTTTTGAATGGTTACAGAAGGTTAAATCCCCATTATTTGTAATTTGTTCTCCCTAGCTATGTTCTCAAATTTATTAAGGAATGGTTCCCCTGCAGAGTTCTCCACCTTAATCCTTTTCAGTTAGTTTATTTAACAGTTTGATGTGATTGTGACCTCTGATGACCCTAAGAGGTCAAATCCAAAATAGCCGCCAGTCCGCATGGTCTAATGTACAAACGTGGTAACTTTTGAACCAAAAAGTGTAGAAAAACGTTTGAGGTGTCAACTAACTTGGGGATGCTAATTCATATCGTAATACATTGAGATCGCCAGAACTCAGGGATTTGCAATAAGGTCAAGTTAAAGGTCATATTAGGCCAAAAAAGTGCTGTTTTCTTTTTTAAAATAAAATTTGCCTCTATTTTGACACTTAAGGTTTCATTATTTTAAAAATTAATAAAAAGACCCGTGTACCACCACTTTGTCTATCCAGGGCCAAATTTCATAGAGCTGCTTATCGGCTGGTTCTGTGCTTACGTATTAGTTTCTACTTCAAAGCACTGCTAACCGTAAGCACACGAAAATGCATTAACATTACGCTAGCTGCTTACTGGACGAAAATGAATTTTGTAACAATGTAACCCGTTGTGAACGTACAAGGTACAAATTTGTCTGCTACAGTTATAGCACGTAAATTTGCTTACCGGTTAGCAGCTTTATGAAATTGGGCCCAGAAGACAAAAAAAGCTATTCCAAATACGACCTAAAACCTGTTCATAACCACAGCTATAGATATCTACATGAATTTAGCACTGTCCACAACTTATGCATATCCTAATGATGGTAACGATCAAAATCTAACAGTCTCCAGAACAAGATCACAGTTCAGTGCATCCTTTCTTGCAGCGACAGTGGATTATTCATGCCACAATTTTTATGCTTCCGGGAGAGTGGTCCAAAGAGGCTGCCACTCAGTTGTTTCGTTTGTCCAGCCCAAGTCAGATGGCTCTGCATCTCTGGATTCTTGGCCAATATCTGGTTTCAACAGTTGGCCTGGTAGCAAGTGCGCTTGAGGTGCTGCTTGAGTGCTGCCTGGGATGGAGGAAAGTTCTCCAGGTTTCTAGACTTCTGTGCGAAGAGCTGTTTCCTGGCATCATTCACTATCATGCTCTCACTGGTTCGGTCGTATTAGCACCACAAATTGCTCTGGCAGTAACATTGATCATTCACTGACCTCCCTAGGCATGCACAGGAGTTCATTGAAGGAATCATTCACCTCTGGGAAAGACTTCTAAGTTTTTCCTGTGAATGTAGAAACAGTGTGACACCCGGTGAACGCATGAAAGATTGGAAGAGTCATACATTGTGTCAGACTCATGGTGGCAACTATCATGATTTTATGAAAAGCCTAGTATCGAAAGCTTGATCTGACATCAAAAGCGATCCCCAGCATCAGGAGCTGTCTTGCTGAATGAAGCCACAGCCAGTTCAACCGCATCAGTACCAACAATACGTATGGATACCCTTTTACACCCATGGGACAAGGCCTGCCAAGTGTGACTCAGCAGGAGAGCAGAGTACTCCACTTCCATCTGTTGCATATTATACAGTTCCTTGCCCTGTGGTAGAGGAAGGTAAACGGCTTCGCAGACATGAAATCAAACAATTCGGTTTTGTTCTCATTGAATCGAAGGAAGTCCTTCCAGCTTTCTGGCAGCAAAATAGAAGGAGCCACCCTTTTCCTGGTGCCCTTTCCCTTTTCCTGCCCTATTGAGGCTTTCAGGCTAGCAGGTAAGTATACACCATAGCCAAGGTCGAGGCGGATGCTTTTCTCGAGTTGAGCAAAGATGTATGGGGCAAACACTTTTTCTCCATACTCTTGAAATGTTCTTGATGTTCCAGGGTTGATCATTTGAACCACAGCTTCACCATCAATAATTATTGCTTGGGCCACAGGTGCACTATTGTTTTCGAGCAGATTTGATTCCAGGCAGCGAAGTAGATCTGCTTTAACTCCAAACCGCATTTACCTCCAGTTAACAAAGCTGGCGGGACTGCCTGGTTTTCATGAGAGAAGAAATTGTCCATATCTCCATCCCTTGACTGATACGAGATGTAAATCCTCAAAAAGAGACCACAGTCACTCTTAAGTGCTGAAAGCTGTGCCTTCTGTTTTAACATATATATAACCTTCGCCGGCTGCCGACTGAAAAATGGCAACTTGTTCGTATGAAGTGTTTGTGTGACAGCTAGGTGTCGTACACTGCTCTAGCCTTTCTGTCACAAACTTTGTGTACTGCTCACCTAGGGTCTCAATCCTTCTCCCCGTTTCAGCCAATTGGATGTCCATGATATGCCGCTTGTGCCAATGACTAGTATGTCTTGACTTTGTTCTTGAGATGGATTCCCCATCTCTTTCAGTACTGTCAGAAGTTCCCATTCCTCAAGAATGCTGCCTGCACTCCAGGTTGCTGGTCAAGGTGATGTTTGTATAGTGTTAGCGGAAACGTTCGTTTGCTTTATGGCATGTTCCTCCAACTCTGTAGCGATTATTTAAATTACTTAAACCAAATAAAACACAAAGTAACTTAAAGAACGTCTTACCAGTATTATTGAGCAGTAACGGAAAGGAGCAGTTTCCCTGACTTGAATTGAGGTTTGTACCGTATACTGCCTAGCTGCCCACTGACCATGCTATATGCATATGGTCAGTTACAAGACAACTACTGGTTTGGTGCTATAATTAGTGAAATAAACTAACTGACAGGGATTACGATGGAGACTATGCAGGGGAACCACTCCTAAAGAAATGTGAGAACATAGGGGGACAAATAAATGGGAAAAACTTTTTGTAAACATTCAAAACTTGCTATTTTTTTAGTCAATTTTGACCTTGACCTTGACTTCATGCAAAGCCCAGAGTTCTGGCGTACCCAAAAGTATTACCAAATGAATTGGCATCCCCAACTTAGTTGGAAATGACACCTTAAACGTTTTTCTGGACTATTTAGTTCAAGAGTTAAGCGTGTTTGGACAATTATTAGACTATGCGGCGGACTGGCAGTCATTTTTTATTTTACCTCTCAGGGTCATCAGAGGTCAAATCTGATTTCGCTCTACATCTGAAAATGAATCTCATGGTCTGCAGGGGAACCACTCTTAAAGAAATTTGAGAACATAGGAGCGAACAAATGACAAATAAATGGGATTTGTTTCGTTGTAAACATTGAAAACTTGCTATTTTTAGTCAATTTTTACCTTAACCTTGACCTAAATGCCAAACCCCGAAATCTGGCGATCTCAAAAGTATTACCAAATGCATTGGCATCCTCAATTTAGTTGGAAACGACACCTTAAATGTTTTTCTGGACTATTTGGTTAAAAAGTTAAGCGTGTTTGTACATTAGGCCATGCGGACTGGCGGCCATTTTGAATTTGACCTCTCAGGGTCATCAGAGGTCAAATCTGACTTCCCTCCACATCTGAAAATGAATCTTATGGTCTAAACTAACTATGCTAGAAGTTTCATGCTTTTATCAAAAAGTGCACAATTCTCGTTATATGGGGAGCTAATCCGCTGTACTATCATCATGCCACAGCCACCACAACTCATCACACCATCATCATCACGCCACAGCCACCACAACTCATCAAACCATCATCATCATGCCACAGCCACCACAACTCATCACACCATCATCATCATGCCACAGCCACCACAACTCATCACACCATCATCATCACGCCACAGCCATCACAACTCCTCACACCATCATCACCATCCTCTTATTTATCCTTCTCCTCATTGTCATGATCCTTGTCATGATCATCAGTATTGATATTATCATCATTGCCAACACCATGGTCTAACAAAAGTTGTTAGTTGGCATGGCACCTTGTCGTCTTTTTTCTTTTCTTTTCTTTTCTTTTATTCTTTTTTTTTTTTTGTTCTTACCTTGTTCGTTTTCTTTTATTACTTTTTTCTTGATTAATATTGATTAGACACAATTAGCCCTGGGAACCAAATATTTTACAAGCATTGCTTCTTTTTTGTTCCACCATATTCCACATTATTTTAATTACAAACAATTGTTGATTTTATAATATTTACTGTACTTTACTCTTCAATTAATTCATTTAATTGTATTTCGCTTTTGAATGTATTGTTTGTTTGTATAATTACTTGTTCAAATTTATTAGTGAAATGTGGAAATAAATTCAAATCAAATCAAATCGAATCCTGGAATGTGACATACCAGCAGTAGAGATGATTGGATGACCAACTCGTTGGGACCATCCCACAGGATGAATCCAAGGTGACGTCTCATGGAACCAAAAGTCCTTGCTTGGGTCCTTGCAGTCATCGTATTGCACATGAATGCGGCTTGCCACCGTCTCCGTCACCGTGGCAACAATGGCGTGGGAGATTTTCTGTTTGTAGACAGCCTCAAGATGCATGCCAGGTTTAAATCTACATTTCAGGTAGTCCTAGATCAAAATGAAATCCAGCATGAAAGTTCAAAAATACATCTAGATTGAAAGTGGTAGGGTTCTTCTTTTTCTTTCATTTGATATAAATGTTATTTTACTTTATTGATGATATGAAAGTTTTAAACAATAAAGAGCGCCCACTTTATTTTTTTGCTGAGTGTATAATCCCATAACGAATCCTCATATATTATACTTTGTATGTAAGTGTTGCTTCATGGCTTTTCACCATCATGAAGATGTCTGAACAGAATACATCATACAGTCAAAGAAAAATTTCAGACTCAGCAGACAAACAAGAAAACTGTTAGTAAGAGCTGATAAGAGGAAAGTGAGCTTCATAGATACCTTGTTTGGGGGCAGCATGATGGTTGGGCTTCCAGAATGGGCAGCTCGGGCAAGATGCTCTTGCCAGCTGTTACCTAGACGAGCTAAAACACCTATACAGTGTGATGTAAATAACATGGAGAGAATGACATCAACATTGAGTCTACAATGTTACATACTGTGAAGTGTATATCTAACCTACATCCCAATAATGATTCTTAGAGTATAGTTATAGAACTTTCACTCAATAGAGGTGGGGTTTTTTAATAGGGGAAAAATAAAAAATAAAAGACTTGTGCATGTTTCATTTTAATCATGTGGACTCTAGACAGGGTGAATGTAAGATATGCTATGTTCATGCTATGTTTCTTGGCATGAAAAGACGATAAGGAAATTAAAGAAGCATAGCCAATTGTACAGAGAAACTTACATATAAAAACTGCTAACATAAGACAAAAAGGTCATCTTTACAGACAAGTCTTATGCAAAGATTTTGTTTAAAAAAAGTTTCAATTAGAAACTATTTTCAAAAGGAAACTAAAAATATGGAGTTAATACATAGGTGGTTACTTTTGCAGGTTTGATGGTGATTTGTTGTTTTCTCCAGCTGATTTTGCTTCAGGCTTTAATTCTTCAAAACTAGACATTGTAGGATAACGTTAGGGTTGTGATTGGGTTTTAATTTAGGTTTAGCTTGAGGATGAGAGTTAGGGATAGTGTTTGGTTGGTAGTAGGCTTGGGCGGTTCCCTTGTTGATGAGAACCGACTCCGGTTCCCACTCTCGGCCTCGGTTCCAAGTGGAATCGACTCCCGCTGGCTGCCATATACAGTACATGTAATTGAAGCCACAATGCTGTAAAGGCCACACACACACACCAGGGAGGTGTTTACACACTGTATGTTATGTACTGTGCATGTCGGCTCCACTCAGCAGTGGCACCGATAGCAACAGATGATTTTCTGAGATATTTTTTTGGAAAACTTTACTTTTAAAAATGAGTATCAAAAGTATGAATGTATGTGTGACTTGTGTGTGTAAATTGATGTTTTGTTTATATCTGTTTCGTCTCATGATATCTCTACAATTACATGCAATTAAACAATATATAAAGAAGATCAAAGTGCAGACCTTCATAAACAGTTATGAAATGATTTATTTTACTACTTTCGATCAAATCGAGAAAAAAACATGACCACTGCTAATAAAGTAATTAATTATTTAATAACTCATGGCAACTTGGCAACAATGTAAACAAACAAAAACATGTTAGGTCTAATTTAAATTCTAAACTTCAACATAGAATGATGGAATAATCAACTCGTACTTACACTGCTAAAATGTAAGAAATGCAGAACAATTATTTCCAATATTACGGTAAACAATCCATTATGTAAAACTAAAGATTCTGATTCCCTGCCTAAAATAAATGGAATGTATCCGAAACATGCCTGGTCCGCTGGCTCTCCTCCCAGGGACCAACCTTTATCTGAGAGCTAAGTGTAAATAACTCATGCTCACATGGCCGCCCGCCCGCCCAATGCCACCCAAAAACTTTAATGACCCCAGCCCCAGCTCGTGGCACTCCATTCCCATGGTTACCACGTGCTTTCTAAAAACAACAGATAACAGCGCTAGATCTTGGTTTCAGAATAACTAGTCTGCATTTTCAGCCACTCTTAGAGATTGCGCTAATGCCACAGCGAGAGGGGACACTTGACTTGCCTGAATTATTCTTATTTGTTTAAATACCCCCAAAAAGAACACAAGACAGAGAGATGTAGATCTGCAAAACTTATTCTTGAGACAAAAATAATAACAGAAGGGGATGCTAGAGGGGGAGAGAAAGGGAGAAGGGGAGATGTTGACCTGCCACATTTATTCTTGCAAGGAAAACAAAATAACTGAAGGAAACAAGATATAGGGGGTGGGGGAATGTGCATGTAAATTGTAGACCTGTCAAACTTATTTTTAAGAAGAATAAAACTTGATGAGGATAATTCAAGGGAGAGAAAGGAGGAGGAAATTGTGAGTTGTGTGATTTAGTTTATTTGAGGAAGAAAACTAAACGTCTGATGTCTAGGGGAAGGGGAGACTAGGGATAGAGAGAGAGAGAGAGAGAGCAAACACAAAGTCACATAAATCAGTTTGCGCACGAGAGAAAACATGAATCAACTCCTTGATCACACGCTCCAAGAGGAGAGAAAATGGGGCCATTGTTCCAAGACTCTTGCGCAATTTACCAAAGGTCAAACGTTCAGCTGGGAGGGGGGGGGGGGCAGTTTTACAGACAACATGCAGCAGTGCTATACACAAATGTGTGTATCAAAACAGCATGCTGCTAGTGCGCCCATCGCTCGCATGCATTCTGCTTTGACAGAGCTGATTTTGTTCATTCTCTGTGCTGTGGAATCGACACCAGTTCGTTCGGGCAATGTTCCTTGTTCACTTTTGCAAAGTATCTCTTTGAATTTTGGTGCTGTGGAGTCGACTCCAGCGCCAAAGACTCGGTTCTTATCTTGGAACCGAGTCTCCTTTTCTCGGAACCGACGTGCTCGAGTAATCGACTCTCTAGAGATTGGAGTCGACTCCTCGGTTCTGGATTTCAGAATCGGTTAGAGTCGGGTACTCGGCTCTCGCTCCCAAGCCTAGTTGGTAGTTGAAGGTATGGAGGCGGTAAATAACAGAACGGAGCATTTGTCGTATAATTGTATTGACCTTACTAACCTTTTGGTGGTTTCATGATGTGACCTGCTTTGACAGCACCGTTAAGAGAGTAGCATTCAGCCATGAGAAGATGAAGGGTAAAGTCATGACTGCTGTCCATGCCGTAACCTTCAAATCTTAACCTCACTTTGTAACCTAAAATATCAAGAAAAGTTTTCAAATAAATTCTTTCAGATGAGTAGATAAAAATCTTTTTAATTCTAGAGAATGATATTCTTGAGGTTTGTGAATGAATGGGGAAAGGGAGGCAGTCGGCCCCAACATGCATGTACTGCAAATATTGCCATGTGGGGAAGAAAAAAAATCTTCAAATAATGCATTAGTGGTTAAGAGCTAAGAGAGGAGGAGTATGTGTTCAACTCATGGCATCCTGGAGCTGTAGATGGTGCTTCTCCAAAATATTGCTAGGCAACATCATATTGCAGCACTGACACATCAATATGTTAAAGGAAACAGGTACTTTGCATTAGTCCAAGGATGTGCAACACATGTGAATGATGTCTTTGCCCAGTGAGATTATGGATGCACCCTCTAGAAGCCTGAGAATGTCTTAACTTGAACTGTTTATACATGTAGTCCCAGACAAGGAACTGTTTATACATGTAGTCCCGGACAAGGAACCATATTATTACTGAAACATGGCTATTACTGGATGGGACTTTAGGAATTGCATACCTACCAACATTTCACAACAACAATTAGGAATCCCTTAAAGCACAACTGGAAATACAATGTATTTCGTCCCTATTATCATGAAGTGACAGTAGTGAATGATAATCCCATACAATTTGCGTGTGGATTTTCCTCACTACCGTCACTTAGTGAAAACCGCAATGATTTTATCAGTTTTACACAGAGGTTTTCCGAAGAAAGGAAACTAGGGTTCATATGATTACTTTGACAGTCAAAAGTAGGAGTCATTCCTCCGCGTAAGGAACGGTTGGTTCTATGGCATTGATTTGCTACTGACCTGCCATGTGTATAACCCGTGCTACCCAGAAGCTATTGGCTGATTCCTCAGGGTCTCTGTTGTGCACTTCTATCATCGCTCCTATCATGTTACCTTTCCATTCCTGGGACAGGGGTGCCTGTCAACCACAACAATAAAAATCAAAGATAATAATGATAGTGGTGGTGATGATCATGATCATGATGACAATAACTACAATGATGATGACGATGATAATGAGAACAATAGCTTCTCGTATAGCTCATATCAATCTTCCTAAATGCACTCTGCCATTAACCCCAACTCTAGCTAGGCTATCAATTTCATTGCTTATGGCATTTATGGACTTCATTCATACCCGGTTTCCATGACTTTTCTTACTCTAGTCAAGTGTTTAGGCCACTTGATTTGAGTACCTCTATGGTATCTACAACACCTGTATATAAAGTATAGTCATGACTTGAAGCACATCATCGGTGGACACACAAATACAAAGCTATGTGCTTTTGAAGTAAAGATACTTTTCAACGATGCAAAACAAGAAAAACACACAATTTTAATATCCCAAAGTGGTCCTAATTTATACTATCCTACTCTTACATCACAGAAGCTTTAAATTTGCAAGCGATGCAACAGGAATGTTTAGAATTGAAGGGGTGTTATGGGTATACTGGTAAGCAGGAGATTACAGGGTTTTAAGGAAGAGCTGAAAATATTTAACCAATTTGTGGTTGAAAGGAAAGTTCTTTTTTTTTACAATAAAAAGAAAAAAAATATGACAGTGTTTTTCTTTCAGGATAAAAGTAGAGTCCCATTCTGCCCCTTGCTTCCTGGAAAATGACAACTCAATCACAACTTACATGACAGAAGCACTTCACAGGAGCGGCTTCGGTGTCATGAGCTTGTAGATACTCTGTCCAGTCAAATGCCTCTGAGCTGTGACCGTTGGTCATCTGACCGTTGGGAATGGTGTTGTTAACACTGACCGATCTGGAATGCTTGTGGTTGTTGAAACGTGGAGGAAACAAGGGTTGTGGTTTGTGCTCCTCAAACAGGGTGGGCACCTAAAAAAGCATTGTACAACAAAATACAATGTGGTCATAGTGCAGTATGATATGTAATCCTGTAGGATTTTTTTGCCAAATTTGTTTTTGTTGTTGCTGTTTTGGCTTCAAAAGGGTCCCAATTGGCCAAAAATGATGGGGTTCAAATTTTCAGACCCCTCCTTCATTTCCTGGGGGGGGGGGTCCATATTGGGTGCCAAAATGGCTTATATAAAGTGCAATAGGGAACTTTGGGGTCTTCTGGAAAAAAAACCCTCAATTTCTAATAGCTTGGACCCCAATGAATCAACACCAACAACAACAATTTGGCACAAAAGTCCTACTGGAGCTGTTTCAGTGACATACTGTACCACACTATCAGGTTGGTGATACTTTTACAGGGTATTCATGAGTACCAATTATCATAAGAATAAAATTCAACCCAGAATAGTACTATACATACCCATTATCCTAAATGAGCTTTCTAAACTTTGGATGAGCATGGCTGCAAATACGAAGTTCTCGCTTGCCTTTCACAATATTTAAAAAAAAACATGTATGCATCTTTTCAACAACTTTTTATTAATTCCATTCTCTGCACAGAGCACATGGTATTTGCCTATAATAATGATAATAATACATGAGATTTATATAGCCCTATTATCCAGTTTAATTAGATGCTCAAGGCGCTTCAAAATATTAGGGAACACATTACATCACATTACATTATGTATAGATAGATGTAAAATGTATGCTGAATCAAGTTTAGAAAGTGTGAACCCACCTTATTGAGATGTTGGCTTGTATTAAGGTCTCCAGTAGTCTTCTCCAGTAGCTCTCCCTTCTCTCTCTTATATACTGCAAATTTCTTGGTGCAAGCCACACTACAGAAAGGGTAGTTCCCACAGTACGACAGGAATCGAATTGACCGCCACATGGTGCAGTAGGCACAGGGTCCTGTCAAACAGCCAAATCAAAATAATTCTCGTGAGGAAATGTGTAACTAATATAAATGTCTTTTTACTGGAATGCATTAAATTTGTGATCATCTACTTGGTATTTAAAGCATGTGTACATATCTTGAATATTGTGTCTGTTAATTATAGACCAAGGAAAAGCCTGTGGAAGAAAAAATATATTCCAAAATTGTGTGGCTAACTAATTAAGAGAGCAAACCTCAGAAAATACTTCCTTGTAACTTCAAATTTTATAGAAAATATTAACACATTTTGTTCTTGCTAATATTATAGTGTGTTAAGCTAAGTAAAGGAAATCAATCCCATTATTTTATTAGATTTACAATGGATATCTGTAAAGTTTTTAATAATAGGACCTAATATCTTCACCATCATTATACTACCCATGTCTGATCAACTCACCAACTTCACCATCATTATACTACCCATGTCTGATCAACTCACCAACTTCACCATCATTATACTACCCATGTCTGATCAACTCACCAACTTCACCATCATTATACTACCCATGTCTGATCAACTCACCAACTTCACCATCATTATACTACCCATGTCTCATCAACTCACCAACTTTACCATCATTATACTACCCATGTCTGATCAACTCACCAACTTCTCTCCCTTTGAGCTCATAGAAGGGCATTCCTTCAAACAGAGCATCATGATCAAGCCCATTGGTGTTTGGTGTTGACTGGCTGTGACTGTCCACTGACAGAACGTCAATGTTCTCCTCAGAATCACTGGTCCTCCCGTTGGTTGTGCCTTTGTGCTCATTCTCGTTGCTTCCGTAGTGGTTGAAATCAGACTTCTGCTTGGGCGATGTTTTGGAGTCTGAGCTGGGGTGCAGCAGGTATAGACTGTACAGATTACTTGAAGGCATCATTTGTTCTTCAGGAAAATCGTTGCTCTGGATTGTCAAAACCAAGGATAAAATTTGTCCAATATTATGATTGATCTCTTCAAAGTTACCAGTTGCCAGCCAGGCGGCTTAGGCAACTTCTCATCTTGCTAGAATCAAACTTTTTGGTGGTCATTTACGATGAAATGCATAATGTACAAACAAGAAACAATCATACAAACTATTTGGTCAATTTGGCCACAAAGGTAACACTTAAAACACCCAATAGTATTTCAGGTAGCCAAAGGCACTTGTGCCACCATCATTTTTAGCCAACCCTTGTTATACTAACACCCTAACAGGTTAAAATAAAGACTGGGATAACTTGGGCTAAAGTCTATGCAATCAAATTGGATTCAGTGGTTTAACAAAACGAACTAACAAATTTGATTTAACTATACTGTTTAATGCTACGGTCACAAAGGTTTGTACGAACGATAATTTTGTATGAATCTCCGTTTTTCCATTGTCTTCCTGAATTTCCATTGTCTGAAAATCGTTCGTACGGCGTTCGTAGCAGTTCGTAATGGCATTTGTGACCGAGGCTTAATACATCTTCAATAAGATATAACTGACCACCTATTGAGTATCTCCAAATGAAACTTATGATATAAGTTAACCTAACTGCTCTTTCAAGTAACCCCTAAGGAAGAAAGCTGATGATGCGAGCCTTGTCATTCTCAGATATCCCCAATATGTAGAAGAGATATACACATGTGAGGTGTTGTGGTCGAGTGGATATGTCACTGGACTGTGGATCACAAGGTCCGCAGTTCAAGTCCCGCTGCGCCACTAATGTTCTTTGGCAAGACATTGATCTACATTTGCCACTCTCCACCCAGGTGTTAAATGGGTACCCAGTAGGATGCGAAAGTTAATGTGGTTAGATGAGCAAGTGTGCGCTTGTAAAAATGATGAATTACTTCTCTCCCCCCCCCCCCCCCTTCTGAATTTTTATCTAATTTTTTTTCTTCTGCTATATACTATTCTGTCTAAAAGTCATGCTTCTCCTTTGAAAATACATGAATACTAGATATTAATTAATTTTAATTGCATTAAAAAGTAAAAGATTGCTTAATTTTCATAGCAATAGATGGCTTCTACACTCACCAATCTGCTGCAAAATTGTAGACTTAAATACTACCTTCATTTCCAAATGTACGGAATTTTTGGCGGCAAACAACATCAAAGTAAAACAAAATAAATGGGCATAACTTTGGCAGAAATATTTTATATAATTTTTTTATAAACTATCAAGTCATCTGCTGAGAGCCAGAAGGCCATAGATTTTTGTAGAGGATTAAAGGACTTCTAGTTGTCAAGAGAAGAAATGTGGACCTTTGCCACTGATAAGATCAGCCTATCAAACTACTTACTACTTCTTCCTCTGCTGAGCTATTATAAGTGTTGTGAACGCTGTGAGGATCTTGGCTGAGTAGAGGGTCAGCTGCCCCCATCATGCAGTCTCCCATCAGTAGGCAGCCTCCTCCAGATCCAAAACTGCAAAAAAAAGAGGCAGAAAAAAAATTACCGGTAATAACAGCAAGAGCACAAAACTTGAAATCTTAGGTCTTGAAAATACACAATGACAAAGTTTTGATGCATATTCTCCATTTTTTAGTTTGTTTAATTCCTCAAGGGACATTAAAATACCAACCAAAAAACAATCAAAGAAATAATTATTATTTTTTGGTTCATATTCACCTCCTTTTACATCAATAATAATTGTAAAAATGGATGCCTTGTGACTCTGTCTGTGAATGAGTTTGCACAATTTACATTTAAATGCTAATGTGAGATCTCTAACTACACATGGAAGACAAAATCATCTGTTGAATATGTTTATGCACTGAATATATAAACAGTAGTGCCCTGCCAGAGTCATTCCTGTTTCTCAGTTGCTTCTCTTCAAAATCTTTGCTTGATATGCATTTCTTTTTTACCAACATTATATGGACACCAATTTATATACAACAAACTGCAATATTACATAAACTTTGGGTCTATAATATTGATTCATCATAAAGCTGGAGTACTTCAAAAATCTATTTCAATATTCAATATTTCTATATTGTGCTAAACTCAATTGGACAAATATTGTTATGGTTGATACATGTAGGAGACACGGTTTCTCACTCATGGTACGTCACAAAAGTTGCCCTTACCCCATGGAATGACTAATCTGTGTGTAATAATTTATACATTTAACACTACCGCTTATTTTAATTGAATTCATGAGTTATCAACTTACCACTGTATGGTGGCTCAGAATCCAGGGAGTTCTGTGGGAAGAAAAAAGGCATAAGATCAGACAAATAATACACAGCTAAGGGTATAAGCATTTGCACCAAACCGTGCTGCAATACGGTGGATTCACAATCGACAAATAATACACAGCTAAGGATAGCATTTGCACAAAACTGTGCTGCAATATGGTGGATCCACAGCGCCATCTAGCGACACCAATGTTTGGTTGATTTCATGTGATGCATTATGGGACATAGTTGACATTGTATCAGCTGTGACTTACATGAATACTCTAGGCCTAAGAGATAAGGGGAAAGGTTTGAATCCGGGAGCGTACTCAGGGTTAAATTCTTAGTGACCCTACTCACCACACCTTGGTCATTTTCATAGGCCTAATCTAATCTAATTATGGGCCCTGATGCTAAAATAAGTGGTCACCATCAACAACATTTAGTAATTTTTGTCACTTTTCTGGAAAAATTACAGTTTGTATGGTATTTTGTCCGAAATTAAGCCAACTTTTCAGTCAGATTCAATTGATGAGTGGATTTTGACTGATATCAGTAGGAAAACAAATGGGCACCGACTCCAGAATAATCGATCTCATTGAACGAATGCTTTCGTCATTTTGATTGGTGGCTCGTGTTTTGCTGCGCTGCACTGATGGAAAGATATAGACCCGCGAGCTGAAAAATTGGCTTGCCGGTGGGGGCGCCGTTAATTGTGAATCCACCCTATTGTTAAAAAAAATTAAACTGTGATTATTGATGCATGTATCACCAAATTTCAACAGGTACAAGTTACTCTTGTAAAAATAAGCTGAACTATCAACATGACTTTTCCAGCACAACTCTGCAACTATGGCTCGTCGGCTAACACATTTTTCAAATTTGGAAGAAGGTGCACAGCTTCAGATTGCCAGTTTTTGAGAAAGCGTTGTCGTGATGTGGTAACTAGGATATGACAACAAGTGTTAGAAATCCAATAACAAGCATAGCAATAATGATATTTAAAGGCTTCTATTTCAAGTATGTTCACATTGAGACCATTGACCTAGATTCAGTGTGGCACCTCTACTACATCCATAGAAGTGGTACATGCATTGTCACAAAATAAATTTGGGGCATCATCTTTCGGAAAACATGTAAATAGAATGTATGATATATCAGAAGTTCTTTTATTAATTTGTCAGGTACTTGTACATGTAGGTCTGAAATACAGTGTACAGAACCAGTTTGGACAACTTGGTTTCAGAAACTTTCAGTTGGTCACAACAAGGGTTATATTATTGTTTCTTGTACTTGCCCAGCAAAGCAGTATTCCCCACACTGTAACCAACTAGAAACAGGTTGGCCAAACAATTGATGGCTCTGACATGTACAGAGCTGTATATGAAATTGCACTGCAGGACATGGAGTGCCTATCATACGGCTATCAAGGGGTTACAATATAAACAAATATAAAAAATAAGCACTTTAAAATACAGATCATTTCTATACCCCTTCTGACTTATATGATTACCGTATCATAATCATAATTATCATAATAATAATTCTTATTTCTTCCCATCAAATAATCTCTAAAAATCGTCTCTCTCCTGGTCATTGTTAATAGCATGACATCACAAGAGCTATCAGCAACTGAGGGAGTAAAATTTTGTGACTTTCATTCACATACAATATACACCAATAACAGCTTCAAAATGGAACTACCAATTGCACCTTGTTTTCTGTTTAATTTTTTTTTAGTAATGGATGTGTCCTTTGATCCTCTCTCATAAGATTAACAAATAAAACAATGGGAAAAAAATTGTTAAATGAGGCCTAAAATGAATACCAGTGTTCAACTGTGGAAATTTCCCATGTCGAACAAAAGGGAAAGAACGATTGATATCTTAGTCTTTCACATAGGGGTTTGCTTCACACTCTGTTAAATTCATGAAGGTCAGGAGGTCATTCTTCATTCAATCACAAAGAATGAATTATTGCTTGAATCTTTGACGGTATGCAAAAGCATGATTATGCTAACAGCAACTTCTGACCCTGATATAGTAATCTGAGTGAAAATATAGGGTAATTTGCCCCTAAAGCTACATGTAGCTCTAAAAGGAGTCATTAGGGACTTCTAGATTGAGTGGACGAGAACGGCGTGAACGTCCACTCATCATGCGTGTCCGTGGCAAGCCGTATTAACATTTATTCCTATTTCTTGACATCAGGAATTTAATTCTTGATATCAAGAAATGATTTTCTGTTGTAAAGCAATGGTAATTCTTGATATAAAAATATAAGAATAAATGTTTAAACGGCTTGCCATAGACACGCATGATCAGTGGACGTTCACGCCGTTCTCTTCCACTCAATCTAACACTCCCTAATATACATGTACTGTAGATACCAAGGAAGACCCCAGAAAAACAATTTGTCCATGGTTTGTAATGCACAAAATAAAAAATCTGCATTCTGAAACATATATGCTACATGTTCAATCTATTTTTGATGTTAGTGAGAACTAGGATAATTGTCACAATAAAAAGAAATTGCACCATGTAAACATCCACTGCTCTGGCAGATACACTCTTACTGTTTTTACACTGGCAATATTTTGCTTAACCCTGTACTATAGGTGGGGTTAAAGGGGATCTTAGCCCCACCTATAGTCCGGGGTTAAGCTTATTTCCACTTTCTTTTCACACTAGCAAAATGTTGCTTAACCCCGTACTATAGGTGGGGTTATCCCCCCCCCCCCCCTTAATCCGGGGTTAAGTATATTCCACTTTCTTTTTCACACTGGCAAAAATTTGCTTAACCCCGTAATATAGGAGGGGTTAAAGGGGGGTCTTAGCTCCACCTATAGTCCGGGGTTAAGCTTATTCCACTTTCTGTTCAGACACGTATTTACCAAAGTGGGCTAGCCCCACCTATAGTACGGGGTTAGCTGGCCCTGCAAAATAGCAGGGCTAGCCTCGCAATTGTGGTGCTAACTCCAGAATTGCGTTGCCAAGCAAATGAATGAGAACAGAAATGAAGAATAGTCCGGGATTACGCAGTGGAGCGAATTAATAAATATTCACGCTATGGCTAGTACGGGGCTAACGAATTACAGTGAGAAAAGCCAAAAAAGTTAGTCCGGGGTTAAGGATAGTATGGGGTTAAGCAAAACAAGTGTGAAAAGAGTATTAGACTCACAACAATGTGGTCAAAAGTCCTGAATGAGAGTCTCAAAGCATGTATCTGTACATAAAACTTTGTGCTGAAATTCACCAATGACCTCATATCCTATCCTAATTTCTTATGACATTTGAAATATTTTCATTCACACAAAAGATAACAGTTTACAAGTTACTTGTTGCATACGTGGAGCATGAATACGAATAGGTCACTATATTCAGACTGCACTTTTTGTACCTGAAAATATTTTGACCAAAATCAATTCCAGAAAATATCTTAAGGAACATCTGTATTTTTTTCTTTAAAAAAATATTAATGCTATGCATTGCTGCTCCTAATGTTTATTAGACATTTTGCTTCAATGCTTGATTCATGTTTGGGGAGTGATGTGCATGATTAAACATTTCAGTCTGTTCTTTTGCAAAAACTGGTATTCACACGTCTTTCAGAACATCAAATTATTGCCTCCACACAGTACCACATTCATCTAGGATATCCTACCCAATATGACCTCTATGTTGTAATTGGAATAGTTCTGGTTCTGATATGTCCTTTCCAAGGTTCATGAATGATGATCAAAATGATCAGAAATCATTGTGAGCAGGGTTCCAAAGTAGGAAAATACAGGTATTGTTCTAAAACAGGACCATAGTTTCTATTAGAAGGGATGGATGACCAATTAAGAAATTAAAAACTTTAAAATGGTTAACAGTATGTTCATACATTTATACTGTAGTGGTGATTGACATTAATCACAACCGTTTGTAAGACGGGGCCCAGAACTAAGAGTTCTGAAATCTGAATATATTTTCCAGAAATAAATCACTCACTGCTTCAGAGTACTTTTTCTCTGTCAACATAGATGCAGTATTTCCATCTATGTGAGTGTGGTACAGCAATCAGAAACTACAACTCAAATTTGTAAGAAACTATATCTATGTTATGATGCCAAGTCCCCCCCCCCCCCCCCCCCACTCAGTGTTATTTAGGGTACGGGCGCTACATCTATAACGGGGCTGAATGCATCACATTTGGAGGTGTTGCGGTATAGTGGTTCATTTACTTGATTCTCAATCCTAGGGCCAGGGTTCGAATCCCACCCTGGCACTAACGTCCTTTTGCCACTCTCCACCCAGGTGTAAATGGGTACCTGATATGCCAGAGTGCTACATAATTGGCTGCCAGCCAAGACTGGGGTAATAAGGTTGAAGTGCCAGGAGCTTCACAACGTGACAGACATGTGCACTATATAAGAAGCTACCATTATTATAACATAAAAGATAATGTCAGATAGTTTGGACCAGAAGAGCCAAGTCTAAAGTCAAATAGAGATCTAGATTTCTAATTACGACAAGGCTTCATTACTGAAGCAACCTAATAGTCCAACTCAAACCACTCACTGAACGATGTGTGTTATGTACATGTACATGTATGTGACTTGAACAAGGGCCATTATTGTTAAATGCTGCCCTCATGTTATGTTAGAAACGTTGTGATCGGTTGATGATCGCGAGTTGGTTTTGAGACGAGACACGGGAGAGGGAATAAATTTTTAAGAAACTATAACTTTGTTTGCTCATTTACTTTTATTGAACTACGACTTACTTTAGATAACAAATACAATAATGCATTTGTGAGGATGTGCCTATTTCTACTTTGGCCGATGTCGATTTGTAATGTAAGTTGCTAGGAGAAGCAGCAATATGCGCAGAAAAAAGAAGCCTTTTAAAATATAAGGGATCCGAATCTTTCAATAAAATTATATCCATTGTATCTTCATCAGCTTATGGAATTTACATAATTAGATTTAGTTCAAGTTAGCTGTTTTTTTTAATTGTTGTATATGCCAGCCTGCCAGGCAATCTACATATTTAGACGTTAAGTTTTAGCCTCTTGCATTGATGATTGTTCCACTGAGATTATGTGCAGTTGCAATGTGATTGCAGGTCTCATGTGAACGGCAATCAGCGGCTTCACGAACCGGATAGATTAGCTGAAAGTAAGTCCTTATATTTGTATGTTTTAAATGGATTTACAGTAGATCTAGACTATAACTTTAGATTAACATTACATTGGGGTCTGTATTAATTATTTCTTTTCAGTTTGTAGATTTTTCAGAAACTTATGGTTGAAATAAAGGACAACTCAGAGACAAATTTTTGGCTAGATTGTAGCCAAAATGATGAGTAATTATCAAACTCCTGCTGTGGTTCCAGCGATATGTAGTAGGCCTACCGTCTGTGTACTATGGGGAAGGTTTCCAAATGCAACTTTTATAAAGAATTCCCCGACCCAGATGGCTATTTTTTATAACAGTGTTGAAACCGTCACCAGTTTGGAACACAAGCTTATCTACCGTAGAAAGTCACCTCAGTATAGACATCTGATAACTAGACCTAAATGGGAATACCTTGTAAAAAATTGTATATGACTAATGTAATTGACTACTAGTATGAGTACCGGTATGACTGGGAAAAAACTAGACCAAATTTTCTGTCTCTTTCGTTCGTTAGCCTCTGATTTGGGTAGGGTCGGCTTTCGTTCTTTAGCCTCTGATTTGCGTAGGGTCGGCTTTACAGGAGCCGACCCTACCCAAATCAGAGGCTAACGAACGAAAGAGACAGAAAATTCTGTCTAGGAAAAAACCCAGCAGCAATGTTAGTTGTTACAAGATTGAGACACTGCAAATGGGCTCTGCCTCTGTGGAATTAGATACAAACATGACTAGACCGAAAGCTTCAGTCTCTATACCGTCGGTTGTTCCACTGAGACTACGTCTGGCTCCACTAGACCTCCGGTTATAGAGACTGAACGACTGCCTATGCCAGCCTGTGTTGAACTTATTCCGCTAGATTTTAGCCGCTAGGCCCCTCCCACAAACTTGCCACGGCCGTATTGTTATGCCCCCAAAATCCCCCAAAATGTCATTTTACCTCGTCCATATCCAATTTTAAATTAGGCCTAGGCTATAATACATCGGTTCCACTTACTAATTTGATGTAAATAATCCGTTTAATGGTCCCTTTTAAGGAAATTATGGGTCAAAATCGACATCCATGTTGAAAATCTTGCAAGCCGTCCGTTAAACTCTCGCTGCCGTCAATCTCATCCCTTCTAGTCTACGCCGAAGGCAAAATGATAATGAAGGAAAAACTGTGCGCCATCTACACGTTCGTAATGGCGTTATCACAGTTTTTTCCTTCATAATCATTTTGCCTTCGGCGTAGACTAGAAGGGATGAGATTGACGGCAGCGAGAGTTTAACACGGCTTGCAAGATTTTCAACATGGATGTCGATTTTGACCCATAATTTCCTTAAAAGGGACCATTAAACGGATTATTTCCATCAAATTAGTAAGTGGAACCGATGTATTATAGCCTAGGCCTAATTTAAAATTGGATATGGACGAGGTAAAATGACATTTTGGGGGATTTTGGGGCATAACAATACGGCCGTGGCAAGTTTGTGGGAGGGGCCTAGCGGCTAAAATCTAGCGGAATAAGTTCAACACAGGCTGGCATAGGCAGTCGTTCTGTCTCTATAACCGGAGGTCTAGTGGAGCCAGACGTAGTCTCAGTGGAACAACCGACGATTATAGAGACTGAAGCTTTCGGTCTAAAACATGACAAATGATTCCATGGCATGGGCATGGATTCCATAAAAGGAAAGCTCTCATAAGAGTCATAATCTTGGATTGGATGAACTTTACATTAGCCTAGAGTCTACTTACTATTTTCTCGTTTCTAAAATTGAAATATCGACTATCAATGATAAATGATTGCAACATTATTTAAATATTAAATGACTGTTCAACAATTTGAGTAGACTCTAGACCCCTGTAAAATGTAAATTCTGACTTTCTTATCAGACTTACGAGAAAGTATGAATAGATTCTATTCTAAATAAATATAAAAATAATAGTAGGTCTAGATCTAGATCTAGTCTAGACTCTAGTAATAATAGTAGACCTAGATCTAATTAGAGTAGGAAAATACTAGAGTCTAGAATCTGAGAATAGATGATCAGACACTAACAAAGTTAGGCTTTCACCGTCCATTGGCATTGGTGTCAGACTCACAGAGAGTGCATGCTCTCCATTATTCTTTTACATTCACAATTTTACGACTTAATAAATAACAGCTCTTTTTCTCAGGAAACACAACAGTAGACCTACTCTGTTCTTCTCACTAATTTGTTTGATATTAATGAACTGAGGATGCAGCAAACTGAATGTAGAGACAAGATGACAGCTTGGCGTCTATCTCTACGTGACTGACAAGATGATTCGCTTCTTCACCATTTTTCAGTTTTCTCGAACATAGATCTAGACCTCTAATTAAAGTTGGCGTAAAATTCGTCTGTTCGCACAAATTTAACATGAATACGTTACTCACCATGATGTTGTCTCCAAGAATCGTTCTCAATGACTGTAACAACGGATTTGTGAGAAATTACTTGTAAAACATCGTGAAACTTGTGCCGACATTTTGGCCGAAGAACTCGGATGAGAGCTTGAACTCGATGATAACCTTTTTTCTCCTATTTTTTTCCTCTCGCCGCCCTCTCTCTCGCTCTCTCTCGATCTAGTAAATAACAACATGGAGCATGATTGGCGCATGCGCAATAGCAGGGTTTTTGCAAAGACAAGTCAGTTCGCAAATTTTGATTGGTCAGATAATTGATTGATTGCGATTAATTAGTAGATAAAGTAGGCACTAACATATATATTTATTTATGATTGATGCAACATTGATGAGTATGAATAAAACTAATCAAAGAGCTTGGGAAAATACTGCTTTGAAGAATTCATCGCGTGGATATACCGGAAGTAATTTCACATTCGACCAATGAGATCCAGTCTCTTGAGAAGGGCTGATTTATGGAGCAGGCGCACAATTTAAAACCCACTCGAATAGATGGCACATATTATCGGTCACACCCCCAAATAATTGTTTAATTGGTCTTTAAAGATTTTGACAATCGGTATGTCTGATTTATTCTGCATTATTTTGCAACACCATTGTAGAAGGATTTCCTTTGATTTTAAGAAACATATATTTTCACACTACGTCTATATAATTAGGGTAATTCTCAATTATATTCTTCCAGGCATAGTATTAGGAAGGGCGCGAGCCTGGTATAACGAAGAATTCATAAATTTTCTAGTCACCATCACTGCGAGGGGAATAAATAAGAGCAAGCAAGCAGAACACAAACTCTAAGATTACATATATCATAGGTTCATATATATGGCTTACTATATCAATGTATCCGACGGTCTATTCACAGCGTTAAATATAATTAAAATATATATTGAAGTAAGATCGAAGAGATATTTTTACTTAGAAATCAGGGGCTTGCTGCCGAATAGGCCTATAGTTAGAAGTCACAAATAGTGCAAAATGGGGCACTGGAGCGGCGTCCGAGAATCGAGGTGCGGGGGGGGGGGCTGCATGCATGAGTCCGCATGTATAATTATATACATGTATTATACAAAATACTGACTTCTTTAAGGGGCACAGTTAAAACTACAGCCCAAGGTAAGTTTAGACACAACCCAGTGCCCCGGGACAGTGCCCCATGCAAAACGAAGTCAAGGGGCACATACAGTGCAGGATCGAAATCACCGAGGACCGAGCTATATAGTTTAAAAGGGAATTCCACCCTGATAGCTGGACGGTATTATAATAACACTGAACAAAAATATATGGTGATAGTAATAATAATAATCTTATCATTATGTGATCGTTATTAGTAGTTTTAATGTATTTGTTAATTGTTATCTTAATCGTATAATCATTCTTCAAATTATCATTGAAATTAATTATTTTCATTATTAATATTATTTTTATTATTATAATTATCATTATTATCGTCGTCATTAGCATTATTATAGTGTATTATTATTCGTATTATCATCATCATCATTATGGACGAAATGCGCGAGCCATATAAAGTGGGGGAGGGCCAGTTGCATCACATTTCACGCCCCTCTCCTCACTCTCTTCTCTTAATTCTCTTCCCTTCTCTACTCATTGATTTTCTTCTTCTTCTTCTTCTTCTTCTTCTTCTTCATTTCTTTTGATGTTCTGTCTCATTATCATTGTTCTTTGTCTTCGCCATTTGATGAAGACGACAGCTAGGGCATGGGAACCCCGCCCCTCCCCCTTCCTGTGTGTGACTGATTATTAACTTGGACCGCTGCATGCGCGGCTGTACATCATAAAAGAGAGTGGTTTCAGCGGCTCGTTATAAAGACAGGTGGAACGTAATATCATTTTTTATTGAATCTATGTGATACATAATTATATTAAATCAATTATGTAATAATCATTAAGATATTTCATTCCTGTTCTTCTCGCTTTTAGGGTGCTTTCCAGGCACGTAGCCAGAGTTCGATGTTTGGGGGGGGGGGGCACATACATGTAATCGATCGAGGTAAAAAAAAGGGGTCTAAAAAAGTTCAACCGATCTTGGAATTTTAGGGGGCACGTGCCCCCCCCCCCCCCCCCCGTGCCCCCAGTGGCTACGTGCCTGGTGCTGTCACGTCTCCATCTTTTCTTTGTCCTTACTTTCTTTATCTATTTTTTTAAATAAATAAATTAGATCCTGATTAGTAATATAATTCAATCAATTATTCAATCATTACCGTATTTTTTCTTGTTCTTCTTCTTTTAGGGTGCTTCCTGCTTTTCTCTTGTCCTTCCCCTTTTATTGTCTCTCTCTTTCTTCTCTTCTTGATAAAATAAATAATGTATTGAAATTAGATCGTGATTTAAATTATACATGTATATTATTATTATATTTGTTGTGTTTCCCCGCTTTACGCTCTTCCTCCTTTTCTCTTTGACTTTTTCCTTTTCTTTTGGGCGGTCTCTTTTTTATTTCTTTTCTTTGTGCGTCTCTTTTCTCTCTCTCTCTCGAGTCTTCTCTCTTCCTCGTTCTCTCTCTTTTCTATCATCCTTTCTTCCACTCTCTTCGCCTATCTCCCCCCTCTCTCCTTTTTTCATATCTCATTTCTCATTTAGTTAAATTTTTTAGTTATAAATTCTTGAATTTATTTTGGATGACATTTTGTTCAATTGAGTTTGATATACCGACAAAATCCCTCAAGTATGCGTTTTACGCTATTTTACTTAGGACTTCAATCAATGGAGACAAGAATAAAGATGTAAAACGAGGGAAGGGGGGGGGGGGGGGCGGCAGAGAAAGAGAAAAGAATTCTGAAATAACCAGGGATGTCATGTTCTCAAATATAGGGCAAACTTTGTAAGGAAATGGAGCAACCGTCTTGGGGAGGATGATGGAGGGGGGGGGGGGGGGGGGGTGAAACTGTGATTATCAACCGTCCTGTTTAAGAGAAGCAATTGTATTTCGTCATCACAGTAGTAAGGCATATATTTATAACGTTTTGATATACGTTCATAATGAAATATCAGAATTTATTTTGCAGAATCTAGTAACTGGAAAGATGATATTTGGGTAAGCAACATCTATCCCTGAATAAATTGTTCCCCAATGCCCACGTTTACAGTAAACATAAAAAATAACTATCACATTATTTTAGATTCAAATCAAAACCTAATATGCTTTCTGTCATTTACCCCTTTTTAGATGAGTCAAAACTATTGTCTTTTTATCATATTAGTGACAAAAAATTAACTTCTTTATAATTACTGGTAGTAGATGGAGAAAAATAATGTTTGAATATCTATTGATAGAAAACATTTAAGACAAACATAAAAGGAAAATAAATATTATACAGTAGGCTTGCGGTTGCACCATGTGAGAGAGTGCAACCACGAGCCATGCAAGCTAATACTTATAAGCAGCATCAAAATAAATAACTTATCAAAAAAATTATCCACGACACACTTTGTACACTGGAGAATGAACAATTTTCAGATGTACAAACAAGTTTTTATTTCCAATACAAATCAAACTTGTCTAGTCATCTGTATTTCTTAAATAATTTTTTCAGCAAAATTCTTCAGGACTTTATATAAGCAATGGTTTAATATTTGAGGATATTACAAAAAGTCACATTTTAAAGTATTCTATACTGGAATTTTAGGTCTAACAATGTCACAGACACTGTCAGGAAATTATCTCAAGGGTAATTTCTTGACATTATTTTATACTCCAAGGAAGATATGTTTGAATTATGACTTTATATGTTTGTTCATTTCAAACTTTGAACAGTAGATGCCTAAGGCTTATTGTTAGCATATAGGAGTGATAATGTCATACATGTATATGAACGGTAGGCAAATCTGTCAACAATCTTTTATGTTAATGAAATGCAATGAAATAAAATCTGTGAAAATTGGTTCATTTCTCACCTTGAAACATTGATCATTATAGCTTACACTGTAAAGACTACACATATACATATTGTTTCCACTAATCAAAATAATAATGGTTAAGATATCCAACATGTAACCTTTATACATGCAATACAAGTATGCATGCAATGCATGTTACTAATGAAATTTAGAAAAGGAAGATTTTTAAAAATGGTTTTGTTTTCATCACATTGTGAGCGCAAAATAATTCAATTAATTTTCAGCAAAATCAAGGTTTCTGAAGTTTAATAAATATTGTAAAAAGCATTTTCTACATCACGTACCACTATCCATACACAGAGGACTAATAATTCCTTCTTTTTTCCCTTTTTTGTTACAAGAAGTAACGGTCTTGACACAAACAACAATGAAGAAGCAGATAAATGTATACATAATGTTTGAGCATATTGAGCAGTTTGATATTATGATATTATCTGCACATATATATATATATATATATATATATATATATATCTTTGCAATTGAAAGCAGAGGCCTTATAGACCTATATGCTGAATGAATATAAGACACCACCTACAAATTGCAATTTTGGTTATAATGGCATGATGTTTTTGCTTGAGATTGGTACCTGAAGTTTTTCTTTTCAGAGGTATTCTCAATAGCCCATAAATTTGTTAAAGGGATAGTTGAGTTCTGTTGCAGAGGGTGCTACACAAAATAATTTTTTGTGAGATAATGAAAAACTGAGTGGTAAATTTGAAAGAACATAATATTTAAATGACAAAATCATCTTTGTTTTCATCTAAATCGGTTCAGAGACGGCTAAAATATCACGATTTCTAATACTTGTGTACCACCACAAATATTAGATATTTTGAAAGATTTGAAAAAAACGTTGAAAAAACGAAATAACGCCTTTTATGTCGTATTTCAGCCAATGCCGGTGTTGGCTTTTCTGTTGGCATTTTTGTATTGCTTATATTACGCACAACCAGCCGGCCCATGTATTGTTTTTTGTAATTAAATACTTAATTAACGGTCACCGTGTTTTTTTTAAAGTGGAGCTGAATTGGTATGCTCGTATTGACTAAATTTCACACAATTTGGGGTCTAAAATTGCCTTTATAACAAATTTAGGTTCTAAAAGGGCACTATAAATGTCATAGATAAGAATAATAGCAATTACCATGCACTTTGAAGGCATTTGCAGTCTGAAAACAGAACTCAACTATCCCTTTAATGTCATAACCACTGTCCATTTCAATGCCTATTGAAAGCATGCAATTCGGTCAAGCCTTTTTAAGTTGTTTAGTATATTTGAAATCAAACAAAACAATCAAATGTACAACATTTAGCAGAGAGCCTGATACAGAGAGAGAGACAGAGAGAGACAGAGGGACCCCCCGGGGGGGGGGGGGGGAAGGATATCTTTTCATCCCCATATGACAAGCAATTGAACTCTCTTGCATCAAGCTTTCAGTTATATGATTTGTATCATTTTGATGACAAAATTCCCTACCCACATTAAACTAGATTTTTCACCTCTGCAGCCTCTTACTAGAATAATCAAATCAAATGACTGTAATGGAGAGATGACACATTAAATGCAACACTTCAAATTTCTTCTGAAAGAGCGAAACGTTCCATTCAGAATTTCAGATGCAGTTAAAGTACAAGGATGAGCTATAGAAAAGAAATGATGAAATACATAACCCATTGCCTATGGGGACTGTGTGGCTCCTATATTAAGCACAGATGAGAATTCAGTACTAAAGTTAAGAGGTTAGGTGTAAGCTGTGCATTAAACTCAAAATTTCTTTGAATAATGTTTGATATCCTTGGAGATGGAAAGTCTTTTTAACAGTTCTTTCTATGATCATTTTGTGAATACTAAATATGCTATAATTGTCTACCTGCTCTATATAGACTCTATACACATATTTTGCCCTAGAAAGAAGCTAGTTACTTCAAAATTCAATGCAATTATCGAACATGGAAATATATATATACACACTGCTTACTTACATGTATCTTTTGAATGTTCGGCTTCCTGGGAGAAGAGTTTTTTCCGACTACCGGTAGTTTTTAATTACAAGATTGAGCACGCTATCTGTACATCTACTGGATGCAAGCCAAAGTTTCCAAAACAATTGAAACTTCTCCAAGGAAGCCTAACATTCAAAGCTATTATCCTAATGGCGGACTAATGAATATTTCTATTTAGGGTCAGGTGAGCTGAGGTATTTGTTTCCAGTTCATCGTGACTGTGCCATTGACCAGTGATGGCCTGGTGGTAGAGTGCCTGCCCTGCAAGCTGCACTGGTGTAAGGATTAGGATTAGGTCAAGTTTAGGATCCAAAGATGAAGTTAGTATTACAAATTGACCATGAAGCAATTGTCACCAGAGCATAGATTGTTCAATCACTAAATTTTTACAATGTTACATTACTGCTGTTTTTTAACAAATATGCATTTCAAATACCATTCCATCAACAAACAAAGATGTGCCGTATCACACTGCTATAAAAGAGATAGATGCCAGTTTGATGATCTTTATTCACCATCTCATACAGAAGAGCATAGTCAGCCAATACCATCTCAAGTTCCACAGCAAAGAGTCCATTGTGCCATTATATATATGTAGAAAAGTCTGTGCCTTTTTTCTGTAGTTCGCACGGCTCTAGTTGACTCGATATCTGTAAAAGTGCATGACAGTCCGACTGATGTTCCAATTGAGTATAACGGAAAGGACGTACAAGCAGAATAGTGTTACGCAGGGTGGGTATAGAAGCACTACAGTCCTCTTGAGAAACGGTAATGCTGTCAGAAAATAAGAAACATGAAACATGTCTTTACAAGAACTGCATTTTCACATAGAAAGAAGGCTTACACAGCCCAGGTGCAGTTTTGGTAACTTACCCGAACCTTTTGATCAGATTTCTTTGATCTAGTCGGTAAATGACAGGGCACAAGCAATATTAAACTGATGTGAAATATGGAAGGTAAAAGATAATTTCTATTTGTGATTCTGCACATGAATAGGAAGAACATTGACATGCACTAAACATGGTCATCCTGTGTGTCACGATTTCTACAAATATCCCAGATTGCTGTGGGGAATTTGATAACAATTTTGAATACATTTTAAGTGCATTTTTATATTAAGAGCTAATGTTATCTGAACTCACCACTGTAACCAAGAAATGTAATGTAGATATAGTAACCAATCGCAATCAACCAGAGCGTGTCGCCAAAGAAAGTTGACAGAAATGAGTCTCTATTGATAATTGCTGAAAAACAACAAACAAAACAAAATTTACCCACTGATATCTGAATTCTATAATACTTGTAGGCTTCAAAGCAGGGAACACCCGGTTCCTGGAGGCAATATGTTAATATTAAAAAAAAATATATAAAAAAATAAAGAGATGATGGGAACTGCTATAAACATCAAAATGAAATTAGCTATTGGATATTCTTCTTAGGGAATTATTGCTCAATATAACTTTGAAATGGATCTCTGGGGTAAAATAAAGAGAACTTGATAGAACATAGATCTCTGACAGTCTTTCGGCCAACAAATTTTGTAATATAATATGCAGTCACAATTACTGAAGTCACAAGTCAATATAGATTAGGTTTTGAATATGCAAATAGCACAATATATGGAAGGGATGACATAATTGTACTTTACCCAAGTGATGTATAAAAGACATAGTTACAATTTTGTCTGACTTCAAAATATTGCCCAAACTATGGGCCATTACATTCAATTTTCCAAACTTACGCATGTAAAGAATAAGCTGGAACACATGAAGAATAATGAGTATGGGAAAGAAAGCATTAAGATGGACATCAAAGGCATAACCCCATTCCACATCTTGCCCTCGATGGGATATCAACAGATATCTGTTTGTTATGAACCTGGAAAGAAGCAAAGAAAAGAATAGGAAACAACGTATGAATGATATCAATTTTTGACACATAGAAATGCGATGTGATGTGAGGTAAATTATACATGAATAACCAGTTAATCAATTAATTTATACTTTCCAGATAATAATCATTTTTTCTCACCAATTCGGCACTCTCTCTTTTCATTTCCCTCACCGTCTTTTTTCCTCTATCACCTCTTCCTTTCCCCTCCCTCCCTTTCCTTCCATCCCCTCCTCTCCCCCTCCTCTGATCAGGATCATGAGCATAGCATAGCCACAATTCTCTCATGTTTTTGTCTAGTTATGTGAGAACATTATAAACGTTTCTGATTCATGGATATCATACCAGTTAGCATGTCTATCCATTTGTTTCGACATGGTGTGCAGTAAAATTGAATACTTGGTTTTCATGCCCCTAGACCATCCCATCCTTTCCATCTACAAAAAATTAAATTAAAAAAATTCATATATTTCCCATGACGAATATTCACTCTTTTATCCTTCTCACTATCGACTCTTCTTCCTCTATACAAATGGACCACTAATTCAACATCACATTGAAACTTACCACAGGGCTGTAGCAATACAGAGTCCAACACTAATGCAGTCAATACACACCACCCACAGAAGAAACTTGAGGAATCCCACAAAAGACAAACCTAACACAAAGGCAAATCCAACTGAAGATGCTGCAGAAACACAAGTAAAAGACAATGTTTTCATTCAAATGAGGAAGTAATAGATCATTCACATTTTATATCAATAACAATAATGATTATAATAATAACTGTTTCTTATGAGGCACCTTACTTGTTAACTGACTAAGTGCGTACACTATTATTCTGATCCCCGTCGTTTGATTCTATAATAAAAAGATCTTGAAAAAATGGAATGATACAGAAATAATGAAGTTTTTCCTCTGGCATTCTTCAGATTTCTATTCAGTCTTGCCTTTGACTCTAACAGGTGCAACATGAAAAGCTTCAGTATGTCTGTATTGAAAGATATACAATGTATGTGGTGTACATTACTCATATTATTGCACCTTGAGGTATTAAAAAAAAAAAATTAAATGCTTTATGCTGGAGCAATGCTTAAAAAGCTGGTGATTGATAATTCAATTGGTGATATTTCAGGGATGGGTATGGGAGCCCCCCCCCCCCCCTCCTTCTCCTGGAGAAACTCTAAAAGCTCCACACAGTTCAATTATGATAAACCTTACCACAAAGGCAGACACTCAGAAGGACAAGGAAAGCTGGATCATCCCTTGCAAACTGGTTCTTAGTTTCTGAAAATAAAATAAAAAGTGTAGGATTAGTTGAGATAGACCTCAGTGCTTTTGTTCCTGATTTAACGAAGTACTCTGCTTGAATACTTTAATGTTCATTAATTGCTTGCTGTGTACAAAATGTGTTTTTAAAAAAGGGATTAAAAAATAATAACACTTAACAGACATAATATAGGATAAACTGAATAACTACAAAGGGATCAGGGAGGCAACAGACCATGGCTTTCAGAAATGACTAAAGGTTCCCTATTGTATCAAACCTAAACCTAAATTGATATTAAAGTCAGGAATGATATTTTTGAACAAGATTATCAACATCCTGCACAAAATAATTACAGATGACATAGAAAGATTAATGAGAAAAGTAGTACGGAAATGGTAATGGTAGCAATGGTAGCAATTAAATTACAGTGGAGAATATTGACAATATTTTGGTGAGCACAAATGAGAAATGAATGTACTGCAGATGTAAGATTACAATCAAGAAATTAAGGGTACCAAATGTACTCACGTTTTCTGTACTGAAAATTGCGATATCTATGAAAAGAGACAAAGATGAAGAAAAGGAAAATGAAATCATATTAACATCAATATATACAAGTTTAATAGCTTACAAGTCCTTGTTGAAATTCCTACCTAGATGTTCTGTTTATGATACTGATGATTTTCTGCATTGATGTCTATACTCAAGTTCAAGGAACTTGTGAAGTCTCATCTATTTGCTAGAAAAAATATACTTTCATATGTAAACAGTGGCTCTTCTGGTCTTTTGAAGTGATAGTTAATGTTCAGTGGCCCATATAAATGTGGCACATATTGTAACACACTTTTCAGCCATAAGGAAAAGGTGCTAATAAAATACCTATGGATTGGATTGGTTTTACTGGCTCAACTCTTGATTACTCTTAATTTGTTATTTCTCCCAACAAGTTTTTATAAACTTACACTTTCTGAGGAGCAACCAGGAGATAGATCATCTGCCACATGGCAAACTCAAAATCCATCTGGCGGAAATGCAGAATTCGGCGCAGATACTTCTGCCGCTTAGCTTGGGCACTCATGTGGGCCTCCGTACGAGGGGAAGTTGGCCCAATCCCCGTCGGGCTGGTGGGTGGGGATGAATGCGGGGAATGGGTGGTGATGACACTGGACAGCATCTCTGTGATAATTCAACTCTCAGATCTAATTGGTAAAAGACGATAATGAAACTGATCATCAATCATCCCAGGCTAAGACCTTCACTACAATGCTAACAGGAATGGGAGGGGGGAGAGAGAGAGAGAGAGAGAGAGACAGAGACAGAGAGAGAGAAAGAGAGAGAGAGAGAAACAAAAGACTGTGTTGTTATTCTTATATATAAATATGATGCGCCAAAATCACAGGTGCAAAAACTATCCCAAAATTGAACCTCAAGAGAAAAAAAAAAACTCTTTTCTTTTCTTTACATATATTTATAAATCTACCAGTCATAAATTAAAAACCTGGACTACCTTTAAGTTTAACAAATTCAATGGCAACTTCTATTTATAATTTATAATTTATTATTTATCACGTAGATCTATTATTCATTATCATTTATTATTTTCCAATTTCCATCCTCAACAAATTGAACAAAACAACATCATCATGATCATCAACATCACGATACGAGGATCTTGGTACTGGTTGGTTGGTCCTCCAAAATATTGAGTTTTAAAAAGAGGTGCGGATAGGGCATGGAGATATCTCTTCTTATATCTCCATGGATAGGGTGTACATGTATATCTAGTAACTAGACCCTATTTGTAGATGGGGGGGGGGGGGACGTCAGGGCAATTTTTAATTTGACAGGGTCAGTGTGGGCTGTACTAGGGTGTCTGATCGCGCACCCAATGTTGTGTGCTAAAACCCTTCCCATAGAGATTGTACGCTTCCCTATGTGGTCTACGTGCATTGTGCGACCATCCAAAATTGGTCAATGATTTTATGAAAAAATTTGAAATTCAAACCTTTATAACAAATGATCCTGAAGGTGAAACTCAATAAATGAGGTGTCATATGAAAGAGCAGGTTTTTCTCCATATTCCCCATCGGGGGCCACCCCCAGAATTCTAAAAATATCTTGGTCAAAACAGCGATTGAAATGTTGTTTGCATCCTAGCTCCAAAATTTGCCACTTTCCTGAGCTGCCGCCCCGCGGCTTAAGCAGGGCTAGACGTAAGGATAATATCCAGATGCTTTTTTTTTCGCTAGCCCCAAGGGATCATTTGTTATAACAGTTTGAAAATACCCTTCCCACATTTTTGGAATCAGCTAATTAGGGAGGCGTGAGCTCTGCTCAGTCCAAACCATGGTTACATCGCGTAACATGTGCGCTTATAGTGAATGAAAGTATGGGTGGCCGTTCCCGCCATAGAACCCGGAAGTGAATACACGTTGTAGTCAATGGCAATATCGCGTGTTGTCTCCGCGATATTGCCATTGACTACAACGTGTATTCACTTCCGGGTTCTATGGCGGGAACGGCCACCCATACTAGTCAATGGCACATATCGCGGAGACAGCGTGGCTCAAGCTTGCAAGTCGCGCATTGGCTGAGCAACTTGCGTACGATATGCATACGCTTGCATATCGCGCGATACAGCTGTTTGGCTAAATTTAGCAAAACAACATAACTCTGCGTGTAATAATAATAATAATACATAACATTTATTAGGCGCTTAATACTGATGTTTCTAAGCGCACAGTGTTCTGATTAAGAGAAGACTATAACCCGTAGAATTAAATTAGAAGAAAAAGCAAAAATACAAAAGTAACATAGATAAGGTAAGAAAAACAGTGGCAATCAACTAAATAAAGACAAATATGGTGCGCACCTCCATTGACCGACGCACAACTGCAATTTACAATTTGAAAAGATAGGTTTTGAGTAGAGATTTGAATTGAGATACAGAGGGGGCGCAGTGAATAAAGGCGGGCAGTTTGTTCCAGAGAGCGGGGGCAATAACTGAAAAGGCGCGGTCACCATACCGGGTGTTAGTGCGGGGTCCAGGTGTTAACAGTAATGTGGAAGATGAACGAAGTGTTCGTGACGACGTACGTGAACGTAAGGATATGAGATCGGAAAGGTAAGAGGGGGCTAAGCCATTGATAGCTTTGTAGCACAGGAGAAGAATTTTGAAGGATATGCGGTGGTGAATTTTAAGCCAATGTAGTGAGTTCAATATTGGAGTTATGTGCTCTGATTTACGCGAGAGAGTCACAAGCCGAGCAGCGCTATTCTGTACCCTTTGAAGTGGGACTAGATGTGACTGAGGGAGGCCAGAAAGAGAAGAATTACAGTAATCGATATGGGTCGAGACAAAAGCATGGACTAATTTTGAAGTTGTGGGTCGGTCAAGTAGCCTCCTGATTCTACTGATCTTATATATACCAAAGGAAGCAGACTTACAAATATTACTAATGTGTTGTTTGAAAGTAAGATTGCTGTCAATATTTAAACCAAGGTCACGCACAGAAGCACAACAACTGAGAGAGCCATCACTCATAACAAGATCAGGAAAGGGGTCTGAGTTCCGAAATTTAGAAGTAATATGAATCATTTCAGATTTTGAATCATTAAGGCAGAGACAGTTTTGAAAAGACCAGGTTTTGATTTCATTGAGGCAACTGGTGAGTTTGTTCGCGGCTACTGTCCTGCTGTTTGGGTGAAGAGTTACATAAATCTGGGTGTCGTCTGCATACATAGTGTGTTGAATATTCTGATGAAGGTTAATAACATTTGAGAGAGGGCTGGTGTAAAGAATAAACAGGAGGGGGCCGACCACGGAACCCTGAGGAACGCCGCAGATGAGGGGAAATGATTCCGAGTTGGTGTCATTGATGATCACCTTCTGAGTTCGGTGCATGAGATAGGAGCTAATCCATTGAAGTACGGTGCCGGTGATGGAGAAGTCGTTCTCTAAGCGATGGAGTAACAGGTCGTGGTTGATAGTGTCAAATGCGGCAGTGTAATCAAGCAAGATGAGGACAGCTTCATTACCCTTATCTACAGCTAGAAGTAGGTCATTTAGGACCTTGACAGTTGCAGTCTCAGTAGAATGATGATTCCGATAGGCAGATTGGTGGATTGGAAACAAACCGAGATTGTCAATGTGGGCTTTCAGCTGTAGTGACACAATACGTTCCAAAACCTTCCCAAGGAATGGCAGGTTTGCGATGGGCCTGTAGTTCTTAAGTCCATTCGTGTCGAGACTCGGCTTCTTTAGGAGGGGAAGAAGCAGAGAAGTCTTAAAAGACTCTGGAACTATTCCGGATGATAACGAGAGATTGAACAGTTTGGTTATGTGAGGAAGGAGTTCATCGAGGACTTCCTTTAGAAGCCAGGTAGGAATCGGATCTAGCTTACAGTGTTTAGAAGGAAGTGAAGTGATGAGCTTCCTGACTTGTGAGAGGGATACAAGGCAGAAATCAGAGAGTTCATGACGAGGGCCTGAAGCAAAAGATCTTGAAGCTGGTGCTGGTACTACATTAGGGAAAGAGGATACAACTTTGGCGACTTTTTCCCTGAAGAATGTAGCAAATCTGTTGGCGAGTTCACTATCAGAAGAATGATCTGGAAGAGGTGAAGATTGAGTGGGCGTTGAGAGTGTCTTTACAAGACGAAACAGTTCTTTAGTGTCAGCATTCTTGATGAGATCTTTGAGATACGCTGACTTCGCATTGAAGATGCACTCGTAATATGACTCGCATTCACGGCGGTACAGCTCTCTATTAACAAAAAGTCCAGACTTGATCGAACGACGTTCCGCACGACGCCTTCGCCTCTTGGCTTCCTGGATATCATCGGTAAACCATGGCGCATCAGGTCTGATTGATACAGTCTTGACCTGGATTGGAGCGTGCTCATCAATCAACGTCCGCAAAGATGAGTTGTAATGCTCCGCGGAAGCAGATGGACAAGATAGATCAGGAAGTGAATGGAACATTGTGTCAATAGAGTTGCGTAGAGAGTCCTTGTCAATGCTGCGATATTTCCTGAAGGAAACCTCTTTCTTGGGATTCTTTGGCCTTGCGATATTGACAGTGGTGACAAGTGCACAATGGTCGGAAGGCATGGAAGATAGCGAGTTCACGTTGCAGACATCATCCGAATTCCTTGTGAAAATCAAATCTAGAGTGTGACCTGCGCGATGGGTTGGTTCACGAACATGTTGCTTGAACCCTAACGAATCAACACATGTCATAACAGATTTTGCAAAATTATCATTGGGATCATCAACATGTATGTTGAAATCACCCAATAATAGAGGAAAATGATCATCTACAACAGCACCTTCAAGGAGAGTTGGAAATTCATCCAAGAATGTGCCGTTGGAGAGATTATTATTGGCAGACGGGGGTGGTCGATAAATACAGTACAACCTTACAGCAGATGAAGGTGTCAGATTGAGTGTGACATCCAGTAATTCAAAAGATGTAAAATCATTGTTGTTGTTCAAGGTACAGCGAGCCGTGGATCTATAGAGAAGCAAAATCCCACCGCCCTTGGAAGATAACCGGGGTCGATGGGTGAAATCATAATTAGGCAAACCAGATCTTAGATCAGCTAATATGAGACCATCCCTCTTACTGTCTCCAGAGAGCCACGACTCGGTGATGACTAGAACATCTAGATCATGTTCAACAATCAAATCAGTAATTGCGTGTGTTTTATTGGTCATGGAACGTGCATTCCAAAGGCCAAGTTTGAGGCTATTGGATGATACCGACATTGGTGGAGGGAAATCCGGCCTTGGCATCGTACGCCGCCCACGTCCGCGATGAGTTCGACGTCGGCGACCGATGCCAAGATCGCAGATCCTGCTCCAAACATTCATGGGTAGTAAATTAAGCGGCTGGTTATTAATCTGATGGAGATCATTCAAGTTGTATGAAATATGTAAAGCTGTACAATCAGCTGAATAAGGAGGTGAGTTGGTATGGCCAATATTGGAAACATTCTCAGTGCGATTCACTGGACCAGGATTGGGCTGGATATCTCCAGAATTAAGGAGACATCGAAATGTAGCTGTCGAATTACAGTAGTATAGTATAGGTTGACTACAATATTTGAGATGTTTACAGTGGAGGCTCTTCATGTGTGAGCCAGTACAAGTGAAACATTCCTTGGTTATATAGGGCTGATTCAAAGTGTACAGAATAGAAATAACAAGCCCTATAGAAAACAACACTTTCAATGGCTTTCCATCCATTGTACAAGCAGGAATAGCTTACACAAAAGGAGCATACAAAAGAGACTATTGTGAATGTCAGTACATTCAAATGGCATACAAGCAAAGTACCAGTAAAGCTTAATGCACATGCCTGTACAGTAAAATTGAACAAGAACATCAAACATTAAACTTAACAGAAATACTGCAAATTCACACCAAAATACACCTTACAAATTGATTACCTCTGTTCCTTGACCAATATCAAACACAATGTTGAGAATACAAATACTAAATCCAACCAAAATTGGTGAAAAATGAAACAAATTACAGAGCTCAAAATGAGAGAGGCTACCTATAGAGGTGCACACCAAAAACGTCTTTTTCGTCGATTCTGAGCAAAATGCTATGAATATTTCAGCGTTTTGAAGGGGCTGTATCTTTTGATAGAAACATCGGCGAGACTTGAAATTTGAAATGTATTATTCTGATTACATTTTTAATTCAAATATCAAACAAAAATTGTGAAAAACGATCCCAAATTGAAAATTGAAAAATCGTTCAGACACCCTAGCTGTACAGTGTAATCCTCTGTCACTTCTTCAAACAACGTCAACAGACATGACCTTGCTAAATCTCATCTGTGAGACTGTGACTGTGAATTATGATTTTCAAACGGGATCCGGGAGTCTGTTTTTGGGCCATTCCATGGTAACTCGCGTTACACTTAATGGGTACATTGACACGATAATGTGCCTATATCTTTAGAACTGCTAGGATCTACAAGATACTTTTTTCAAACATGGACAGGGTAGATATAGAACAACTGAATGAAACAAAAGAGAAAATTGAAGAACAAACATTTTTAGATTCTTGGATTATTGAATTTCGGTAACTCGCGTTACAAAAAAAGGACATGGTCAATTCTACGAGACCCTCTTTTCTCCTCATACTAGACAATCTTGACAAAATCTTTCCTATTTTAATTTGATAGTAGGTTGTGACTTACTAGTATAAGATCACAATATTAAAGATAAGAAACGATGGACTAGTAAAATGCAGGAAGCAAATATGTCGGTAACTCACGTTACGGTAACTCGCGTTACATTTTGTCCGGAGGCCATTTTCACCCCTTTGTAATAGATTAAATATCACAGGACCCCTTAGAATATGGAAATATATTCATCTTTTTCCATTTAGCGAAATTTTCAGGATAAAAAATTACAAGAATCCTGTGTAATCTGCAATAAATTTTTTTTTTTCAGCTACAGTCCCACATGTACGTTTTTGATGATAGTTTGAGATCTTAGGAAATCAACAAAAATGAAAAAAAAATTGTATTGAATTTGAAAGGCCCTAATGTTTTATGAACATCCATGGCATAAGGTTAGTGATAAATCAAAGAATTAACATAAGAGGTACATTTCTTTTTTTGATGTCATGTCCTTCTTCTCATGGAATGGCCCTTTTGTGACTTCTTCCATGTTAACTTTAATAAGTTTGACTCATCTCTCAGTCTCTTCAAGGATACTACGGCTACTGCTATACACTACTCACTACACATATTAGATTCCAAATAAAATTCGACTCTCTCGTCTCTCTGACTCTGTCTATTTTCAATTTCAGTTTCACCGAGCCTCCAAACTCCCAATTCCAAATTAGTTTTTACCTGTCTAATGTCTGATCTTGGCCTGGTCCTCTTCCCCTCTTGTCTCAGACTTAGGTCCAAGTCTTGTGACTCTTGATCAGTCTGGCTCAACTAGGTTGATCGACTGGTCGAGAATTAATTATAAAAGTTCCAAGCGATGACCTCAAATACTGCACTGCAAACGCAAAGAATAGGGCCTAACTTATGTATAAGAGCCAGTTAAAAACACGTAGGCCTATTGAATTATACGTGGAAGCTCAAAAGTGTACAAAAACATAGAAAAAAAAAAAGGTGTCCGCTTACCACCCCCCCCCCCCCTATACAGCCTCAATCAGGTGTATTGTTTTAAAATTATTTAAAAATCATACAATTAGACAATTTTTAATATTAATTTTATATTTAATAAATATTTAATACAAAAATAAATATACATTTCTATATTTTTGATGATTGAACATCAGTAGCAATTTAAAATAAAAGATCGGAAAACTTAAAGCTGAATAAAGAGGTATACCGAATAAAGATGGCAGCCTCCTTTGACTGAAAACCCAATCCACCGCTCAAAATTTATGTGTCTGCACTTCACCTGGAACGACTTTACTGGATTCATACTGCGTTAAAGTGCATTGGGTATATATCTTCATATTATCACGCATACCTTTCCGCAACTTAATTGGTATAATAAGACTAATGTGATCATTTTTAACTATAAAACAAAATGTATTGCCCCATACGTGCATGTTGATGTTAGTTCATTGCATTCATCTACCACATAATAATTCACACATAGCTGCATTACTATCCTAGCTATGTATTAAAAGTTGTGCTATCGATTTTCAACATTTCAAACACCACTGTACAGAATTCAACTGATTTCACTCCAAATCGGTACTTAAGCGACAATTGATGAGTGATGACACCTAAAAATAGTAAAATACAATTTTTTTTTCCAACTTACCGATGTTATTGTTAGAAAGAATAATTTCAAAATTCAAATGTTAAAAAGCAAAACAAAAGCAATATTAAGAAACAAAAAGCGATTTAAAATATGTCAACTACCAAGTTAATGTGTATGTTCTTAATTTTTTTTAATAGGTAAAAAAAATATTATTATGAGTATGACTCGCACGTGACATGATGATGAGTAAATTTTAATACACAGAATAGTATTACAGTTGTGTGTGTGAATTATCTTCATCAATTTTAACTTCAAGTCTTTAATTTTAATCAAACTTCAATTTAGTTGTTCAAGTCAATGAGTCATCATGATGAAATAAAAATAGGGATCTACTGTATAATAATAATAATAATGATAGAATCTAGAATGATTATAATAATAATGGTAATGAAAGAAAAAGGCCCATTTATGATTATATAGACTAGTACTAGTATGTGCTAATAATTGTCATTATTTGAAAGGCCTATCAATCATTTAATTAATGTTAGACTTAAATAGTTAGATATTATTAGATGTTATTATTGATAATTTATTAAACATGGTATTGTAGGAGCATTGTGAGTGTGATATATTGGTGGAGGCTATTTAACATAATACTGAGAGCCGCTTGCCAAAGAAATCAGACTAGAGTAGCCACCTTGTGTTATTGTTCATAAATACTTTCAGTAACATATCAACTTTCTTATTGACTTTCCTCAATTTTCACTGATCATTTTTTTCTAATCATTACTCCTCTATTACAGTCAACTTGTTTGCCAAGGACAGGTGGACTTGCAGGTTAACAGTATTTGATTTTATTTGGAGCAATGCCCAAGTATTTTGAAGAGGCAATAGAGGGGGAGGTGAAGAAACCATGCTCTGGGCTGAAAGAAGACCTTAAGGCATGTCTCCTGGAGAGTGATTGTGTCAGGAAAGTAAGAAAACCCTCCTCTAGCTCTCATCAGCCTTGTTTAACATTTTCAACTTCTTTCTCATGTGTTACTGTAATATAGTTCATTCCAAATTGTATCATGTTATTTTCCTTCTATCTTCTCTTATTCTATATTTTTCATCTTGTTTATCATACTTGTCCGTTGATTGGACTCATCCACAACTGCCCTCAGGATTTAAAAGAAAATACAACAATGTAATGTGTATATTCATTAAATTTGATACATTTTTATGTATGTACTGAGTGCATTTCAAATTGTATTACCATCTTTTCCTTCTCCATCCTCTCATTTTCTCTGTTTTCATATTCTTGTTCATCATATTCTTTTTTGAAGTGTAATTTTTCGTTTAACAAATTTTCAACTTGTATGTTTGAATTGTTTCACTTAATTTATCCCATTTCCCATAAAGGACAAAATGTCTCCTAAGGAATGCCTAAAAGAGGGAGCAAGAGTTGACAGTGAATGCAGAGCTTTACAGTTTGCCTTCTTTGAATGTAAAAGATCACTGGTATGTATTTTGTTCTTTTTTGCTTTTATGCTCTACTCTTGTAATACTTTTTTTGTAAAAACTATTTGGGAATTTCGAACTTTGTATTCTTTCATATTCTCAAAATTTCACTTCTATATGAATGATATAACAGTTTGCGCTCCATTTCAAGTTTTTCATTTATTTTCTTTAATAAAATATCATATTTTTGTGAAGTACTTGACAATCACATAGAGCATTTGCGCTAAATTTCTGTAATGTCTTGTTTTGTATGTTTTAATGATCAACCGTGCACTAAAATATTTATTATAGTTGACAACTGTTTAAAAGAATGAACTATATTCAGGCATGGTAATTCAAACAGTATTGTAAATATTGACATGCATGCTGTTGATATTGATTTGTGCAGATATTGTTATTGATATGTTTATGTGCTTGCTTCTATGTTCCTTTTATGATGCCATAGCTTGACACAAGGACAAGATTCCGAGGGAGAAAAGGATACTGATCCAATCTCTGTCAAATTGTACTGGACAAGAATTGACGCCTCAATGATTAACTGAATCAAATGTTGTGGACATTTACCATGTGACGTGACGGTTGAAGAGTTTGCAAGGTTCCGTCTTCAAGACCAGGATGTGGATTTGCAATTTCATGGATCGGGATGTAAGGATGATTGATATGCAAGGCTTGTTCAATATGGCTTGGTCTCCAGGGTTTGTGTGTATGTATTAATGTTCATATATTACAGGTATAATTATAGTGCATTATGGCTTTTTTTAATGGATTATGATCCTGTGAATATGGTACCCTAGCATTATTATCCATTGATGATTATGATTCAAAACTAACTTTTAACATCCTGATATGACTATGTCATCATTTTGTGGATCAGGTATACTTTGCACAACAAACTGTGTTCAAATGTTTTATACAAGAGTATTGCATACTCGTACTGCCGTACACTGGAGCATAGCAAATGGAGAAAAAATGGAGTTCCATTTAATCTAAGTGCACGCAGATATTGCGATAGAATTTATTGAGTCAGTTAAAGAGTTTTATTGCTTGTGAACGGAAATCACTCTGCAATTTATGAAACAAGTTATATGAATATGTTTGATCAAGTGAAATTGACTTAAATTCCATGGCACGTTTCCTTTTGATCTATTTCTATTGATAGTGTGACATATATATATATACATATATATATATATGTATATATATTATCTGTTGAGAGCCAGAAAGGCATTATCTAAAGTGTTTAACATAAGATTTAAAACTTTTCTGGATTCCAACAGATAGTATACATGCATATTTTTATGCTATAAGTTTGTTTCACCTTTCAGATATTTATATTGCAGTTTGCTCATCATTACGATGATACACTTTGATTAATCTTGATGTATCAAAGAAAAAAAGTGCATATTCACCTACAGATCACATTTATCTGTTCAGAGCCAGAAGGGCATTAACTCTGTGTTAAACTATATGAGTTAATGAACAAACTTTATACTTTTATAACAAGATGATATTATAATGAAAGTATTGGGAATATAAGATAAAGCAAGAATTATTTTTGATTTCTTAAAGGTAATACAAAGTTTTGGTATGGGGTCATGAATTTGGTGAAAATATTGGAAGCAAATACGATCCTACAATATTGAGTGATCGTTGTCGCAGTTGAAAACGAGTCTAAAGTTTTGAAATTGTAAATAATAAACTCTTTATGTTGTATAGCTCCCTCTCAAAGTCAAGATATTAATTAAGCTATGAAACAATGTTTCTTGACTAAAATCGACCGATAAGCTATTCCCGTTTGGAAATTATATATCACAACTACATATTCTGAGATTTTCATTGTCACAGCTATCATTGTACAGCCTTCCGGTGTAGGCGCTATTTGAAATTTATCAAAATTTACCGGGAGCACCGGTAAATTATTATATTGAATATTTCTCGAAAGCAGAAGTGTTTTAGGGGCTAATTTTTCTAGTGCTTACAATACATCCACAGGGGCATCCAAATATATAAAAATGGTAAAGAATCACTATCCACCCAATTCTCCAAATTTCCCAAAACTTTGTATTACCTTTAAAGTCTTAGCGCTATGAAGAATTTTTTCTTTCTATATTCTTATTTAGTACTTCTTGTGTTTTACTGATCTAATTGGAAACAGGATGGACGATAGGAGCTGTCTAAAACAATTTAAATGAAAAGTTTACATTGATATCCTATACTTTCACTTAAGTATACAATACCTACCTTTGTGTACTAATACTTATAGGAATTCCCAATCAGTAACAACAAAATGGTTGTTGATATGTATGTATGTATGCACCATTGTATGTATGAAGTTTTAAAAACTTGGTAATGATCTTGTAAATGTGAACAAAGCAATATCATCCATCTGTAATCAAAATTACCTATATTTGAAGGTAGAAAAGATACTGGACCTAAACTTCCATTGATAATTAAAATGCTGTTGTAAAAAAAAATGAATATGACTCTTCTTTCCTTTCTTCCCAAATATTTTTACAGCAAAAGAAACTTGCAAAATATAGATGTTAGCTCTGTGGCTCATCATAATCTCATTTTGTCTCATTCATCCACTTTTCTCTATTTATATTCTTTCAAGATTTCATTACCTCACAAATAGTTTTTCTCAGTCTTCTACATGTTATCCTCCAATTCCTTATGCATTTACCCTCATTTATTCCCCACAAGATACTTCAATTCTTTTGTAAAAACAAAGACATGTATGCCATTTATTTAGATCAACCTGATGTTGTGTCTAAATAGTTTTTTTTTAGAAAGAAAGATTAGAGTTGGGTCTAACTTTCATCGCATGAACTGGATCTTTGAATGAAGCAATGTGTACATCATCTAGTATTTAAATTTCAGTAGAATACACACTAAATCTATGGTGACTTTGTAAATATGTATACCTGTAATATATTTATAATTACCTAACATAATTTATTAGCCTAATAGATTTGTATATCATTTTGGGATACACAGTCCTGTTAAAATTCAGGAACAGCATCTTTTGAATGAAACACCTTTTGAATGAAACACCTCAATCAACATATTTAAAATTCTGATTACAAACCTTGTTTCATTTTTTCAAACAAGATATTGCTTGTAAAGGAAAAGTGTGTATTCACATTAACATAGCTTCAGAACATAAGAAGTAACCCCATTTCTGCCATGCTCCTCTAACTAAAGCATGATCCTAAAGAACAGATCGACTATATCATACTCTTCATGTGGTGTCTGTGTTCCATTACAGGTGTACATAGTAAAATAACATTTAAAATTACAGCAGGTAATTACATTTATGAGTCTTAAAAATAATAATACATCAACAATGATATTGGTAAAGCACAAAACTTTTAATTTTTCATATGCATGTTGAAGGTGATATTTCACTTTAAAATATACAACTCTGGCAAATTATCATAAGATGGTAACATATAAAAAATATCTTGTATCAATGGTAAAGCAATGAGGTATCCCTTACTCCTCTTCTCTATCCTAAAGTAGGTTAGTAGCCATCTGCTTTCATCTAAAATATCATACTTCTCACATTTTCAATATCATTTAATAGCCAGTGCTAATTCAAAGGGGGGCTATCATGTACAAGTAATTTGGGAAAAGTCCTTAATCTAACCCCGTAATTTTGAAAGGGTCCTTAATCGAACCCATATAAAATACTATTAGACATTACGATAATTCTTTTTTTTTTGCAGTGAACATTTATTCCAGTCCTTCAAATACGAAAATGATTCCATTTGTTTCAAATGATTCCAAAGTATAAGATATCTTTTCTTAGGTATTAAAGCATGGCTCCACACTTACAGGCAACCGAAACACATGGGCACTCAAAATATAAGTCCAGACCTCTCCCCCATCCCCTTCCCTAAGATTAAACTTGTTACATAGGGTCTCGTACATCAATCTGGATCCCCTTCCAAAAAAGATAATGTAGAGCCCTGATTAAAGCAATAGCTTTTGAATGCTGGCAAATCACTGTGAAAATGATGTCCCTTCTCAATAAAAGCAGCAAAGAGTTCATGTATAAATTAAAATATATGAAACAAGAAGACAATAAAGAAAGAGAAGTGAGGAATAGAAGAACACAAACCCTTCATGAGTATGGTACATAAACAGACAGAGAGAAACAATTTAAATGAATTAATGTAACCTAATGTAAAACATTTCTAAACATAGGCACTTGAAATGCAAATTAATATCTGGAAGATTATTTGATAACAATTAAAGATTAAGGGTTATTAAGAAGCAAGTGTGATTCGTCATAAATATTGCACAAAATTTGGCACCATGATCCGTATCTTTAAGTAAATTGATGAAAATCTAGAAAATATGTACATACATATATATATATATAGAGAGAGAGAGAGAGAGAGAGAGAAATATTGACCAAATTATTAGTCCAGATTATTCAGTACAAATACATCAACATTTTAATTTTAATTTAACTTGGCTGACCATGCAATAGTTGTGTACATTTCCAAGCACAAACATTAATCTCTTTTTTAATTAATATTTACACAATTATTACATAATGATCCCTTTAAAAATAGAAGCAGGCATCTAACAAATCTATTTGTCTATTCCAAATATCTATGAGTACCGCATGCTGCTACAGTATTGTTAAAGGAGGAAGGAAATTTCAGAAGGCTTTGGGTGAAAATGTATGATAATCAAAGGCACAGTCAGAAAACAATGTTTAAACGGTAAAACAGAGTACCATATTGGTATTGCTGTAATGTATGTCAGACGTTGCACAAAGACACACAATTTACTACAGTAATGTCAAGAACAACTTGATAGAAATATCACAAGGGTACACAATCATATACATGTTCTTTTTTTGCCATAGAACTCTACTTTGACCTTGGAAGATGGAGAAATAGAAGAAGGATGTAATTCAAAATTTGAAACCATATGATCTGGCACAAAACTACACCAAATTTTATGTACTAGTATCATCCCCTAAGATCTTAAAAATGTTTTTAAAAAAATCACACCATTAACAGCATAAAATATCTAAAAAAGCATCTTACTGCTCCCCAAAGCCCTATGATTAAAGAGAAGGTTGAGTTCTGGGAAGAGGTGAAAAATAATTTGTGAGCATTACTCATTCTTATTATGCAAATGTGGAAGAACATCAGTTAAGACATGTTCCCTGAAAAGCATGGCTCTTCAAATGCCTTCATATTCTAAATATACATGTAACATCGTAGAAATCGGGGGCCGGCTTTTTACGCCACGTGTTCGTGTAGTCCATATACGTCTTTCTGTGCAAGTGTTTGTAACTTTACCAAGACTTGGCCGAATTTCTTATCATTTTGATGATTCCAGAACCTTGCAATACACACAAATTCTTATATGCTAGATGATCAACCTTTTCTGGTCGGTTCCACACCGTTTCTTTCACAATGCAATCGCATGACCAGAACTCAACTTCATCTTTAAGTAGGATAATAATGCACATGGCTAACATTTCAAACAAACTGAACATTCTCTCATAAAATCTGGCACCAAAGAGGACTAAGACAGTGTCGCCAAAAAAATAATCAAACTTTTTTCCCCCTTATTAACACAAGATTTTCAGCATTCTGCCCCCAAAACTCACAAACAGAGGTGAATAATTAATACTAGCAAAAAATGGGTATAACACCAATTTTTTATATTTTCCCCCACTGTTTTGAAACGTTTGTAAAAGCTTATTTACAGCATCAGTTAATAAGAGTTTTTTTTCTTCTTCAAATTGTTATCCATATTCATAGAGATGAATATATGAAATCCCTTTATCATGTAAATGTTCTGACTGTCCAATAATTACACTCATCAAAACAGTCGAGAAACTCCAAAGTGTACAGGCACAAGGCTGTATTCAACTTAAACCCACGGATGTCCTTAAGCTTTTGTTCAAAATCAGAATTAACAAAGGAAGTAAGTCCAAAGTTTCAGTTTTCCTTTGTTAAACATGATCTGAGACGCACAGTCGGGTTTAATTTATGAAGTAAAATACGGACCATAGAGTATAAAGGTGCACATTTTATTAGAAACTCGTATCAATTCACCAAAAAAGTACAGCATTGGTAAGGTAAACTATTCACACGGCTTATAATAGTACTGTACTCTTCAACCTTACCAAGGCATTTCAATATTATAGTGTATATGTTTCAACATACATGTACATGTAATCAGACTTAGGATTAGTTAGAATGTAGGGAATATGTCCAATCCAAGTTTACATACAGCATACTATACAACCTGAGAACTGAAAATAAAGTACATAGAAAAAGACATTACAAAGCCTAGTCTATTTGTTTCCATTTATTGTAAGATTCTTGCACAGGTCAAGCATCTATGTGAGGGGGATGTCCCCTGGCACCAGCCACATAGAACACATATTGACTCCAATTAGAATGAACGTATACACTCCTCCAAGCCATTTCAACCCCATCTCACCTAGAAGGAAAGTATCCCTTCTTTATGACGACTAAAATGATTAAATGACCATTTTAACTCACACACATTTGACACTGATCATCTTCACTTGTACTGTACATTAGAGTACTGTAACATTATAAAGATTACATTATGAATGGATTCATATAATGAAAGAGGAACATGTAGTGTAACAAAAGTTATCAAAATATGCTACAAACACTACATTTTGCAATTTTACAGGAAGATGCAAGATTATGAATTGAATTATTATTCTTATTGTTTAAAAGCTATAAGCATTTTGATGATAATATAGAATGGCAAGCAAAATTTTACAGATTTTGATGCACATGTATAGTTCAAATTATATTGTGAGATGTCTGGATAGTCTGATAGTTAGGCATGCAATCCTATAGCTAGGATGGGTCTATACATTCCGGGCTCTACAATGGTGGTCTAGTGGTTTGATATTTAAATGCAGTACAAATGTTATAGGTTCAAGCCTAGTACAGAGAAATGAAGTACCGGTAGTTGACTCAAGATCTCAGCAATTGAAGGGACATTTGTTGTATAAATTGAAAACGTCACTGAACCTGTCAATTTACAGATTGCTATTGATGAAAGTAGATATTTCCTTCATATGCACATCATTCTGTCTATATTTGTTTGTCTCCACCCAGGTGTATATATGGACACCCTCCAGGATGTGAATGTTGAGCATGTGCACACCTGTCAGATAGTGACAGGTTGAAATTCTTTTTAATGAGTGGAAAGCATGTATTCGTAAGTTCAGAAAAGAAATTGAATCCATTGACCATGGTAGTCATTAATATGAGAGAACCGGTAAGCTTCATGATGAGCACATACTAGGTAGATGTTTGCACATGGGTGACAACATTGATGACAATGTTTTGGAGACAGAAGTCCCCACTATCATTATCATTACCAACGACCTATTGAGCCTTTGTAATACCTTGCTTTAGGGAACATACAAACCATAGGCCAAGAAAAACATAAGTTGTTTAGGTCTACATGAATATAATCAAGAGATGTATGCTGTGAATTTATATACCTGCAGATTCTCAGTAAGAGCTCAAGATTTTTTATAAGACAAAGGCCTTTTGCATTCCTGGGAATTGACATCTTTGCAGCTTTTCATTCAATGATAGCGAAAGTACTTTCAGATGAAACAGATTTCCGGCAGTAACCCAAGAGTACACTCTCTGCTTTTCCCAGGACATCAACCAGGTCCAGCTTTTGGGCCAATCTAGATATATCATGGAAACAATAAATGATTTTCAAAATATTACAGAAATACAGATGTTACATTATGTGATTATCAACATCTTTGATGTCACCATTAGCCTCCTCATCCTCACTACCACCATTATCACCATCGCCACCACCATCATCATCCTCACTACCACCATCATCACCATCGCCACCACCATCATCATCCTCACTACCACCATCATCACCATCGCCACCACCATCATCATCATCATCCTCACTACCACCATCATCACCATCGCCACCACCATCATCATCATCATCCTCACTACCACCATCATCACCATCGCCACCACCATCATCATCCTCACTACCACCATCATCACCATCGCCACCACCATCATCATCATCATCCTCACTACCACCATCATCACCACCACTGTCATCATCATCATCCTCACTACCACCATCATCACCATCGCCACCACCATCATCATCATCATCCTCACTACCACCATCATCACCACCACTGTCATCATCATCATCCTCACTACCACCATCATCACCATCGCCACCACCATCATCATCATCATCCTCACTACCACCATCATCACCACCACTGTCATCATCATCATCCTCACTACCACCATCATCACCATCGCCACCACCATCATCATCATCATCCTCACTACCACCATCATCACCATCGTGGCCACCACCATCATCATCATCCTCACTACCACCATCATCACCATCGCCACCACCATCATCATCATCATCCTCACTACCACCATCATCACCATCATCATCCTCAATTACCACCATCACCATCATCATCACCATCGCCACCACCATCATCATCATTACCACCACCACCATCATCATCACCATCAACACCATCATCACCATCATCAACATCATCTGTATCAACATTATGATCATAATCTTTTCCATCATAATCATCCTCATCATTATCACCAATCTCACCACTGTCATCATCATAGTCTTCATCTCCCCATTCCAATCACCATCCTCACCATCATCATCGTTGCCATGACAAACACAACTCACCCATTGACCATTTGAAAGATGCTTGCTGCATCATCACATTCCCTCAGCTGATTCCTGTACTCATGTAGGATTGTGACGCATACAAACAACTCAAAGGTGTATTCTGTGGATATGGATCCAGGAGCGGATCTACTGACACCATCTGCAGGAAGTTAAATCAACAACATTGTATCATCCGGAGGTCATCCAGAGGTCATCCAGAGGTCATCCAATGAATTTATAAATACCAATAGCTTACTTTGTACTCATCATATTATAGCTGTGAAGTAGCTAATCATTATATTGGTGAAGCAATGTGGAACCTTCACACATACTTTCTCATAATGGAATTGTTTCCATGTAAACAAGCTTCGAATGGTTGTTCAAAATCCATTAGGATAGAAAATTACAACATTTTTGGCAGGTGAACTGCCCCCACCCTAATTCAGACCATTTCAATAGCAAATATTACTGCATGAAATTTAAACAAAATTCAAAGATAGATTCAATAAGATCCATGTTAACTTAGCAAAGATATAACAGAGGTCTGTAACCATTATTAAGACCAGAGCAGCCTCCAAGTTATGCCATACATATAGGTCTAGGATTGATGTCATATTTACCTGTTTTCTGAAATTCCCTAGCCCTTTCTTTGTCTCGTTCTCTCTCTGCATCAAGAGAACACAATTCTAGATGATCACTGCTGATAATCTCAAAGATCCTCAAACATTGACTGAACTCAAACTCACGCTTGAAACACAACAGCAGCCATCTACAAGCAAAATCAAAATTTGGAGTTATTGGCTACATGAGTAATTGTACAATACATGTTATAATATTCATAACAATAAAAGACATTTCAAGTCTTTCTATTTTTCACTAAGATAAAGAAAACAGAGACCTTTATACAAACAGGAAATGGAAATATCTCAAACTTCAAATCCTCAACTGTTGCATCTCCAGTCAAGTGTTCAAACCAACTACAATACCTCTACAAAGAGTCTGTGCAAACTTATTTAAACCTTAGCTCCTCCTCAAAATGGCATTTAAGAAGTAGTGCAAATTCATGTACAATGGTCTTGATGAATTTGTACTATTTTGTTAATAAATTACTAGCTACAAGATGGATAAAAAAGTAACTTAATATAATAAATTGTAATATATATGTATAAACAAAGCATCCACATTAGATTTTAATTTGAAATGAATGTTATTTACCTATGGCAGAACATGAGATCTCCCATATCACAGCGTGCTAGATGATTCAACAAAGGCTCATCAATTTCTTCTAGCAATCTCTTCAGTGATTCTATACACAAGAAATACAGTCCAAGAAAAAATGTATTACGGTAAAGGTAATCTTCAGTTTTGGTAAGAACAGAAAGTAAACATTTAGATTTAAAAACTAAATACACACTTACTTTCTAAGAATACTAGTAAATAATATTTGAAACATTGAAAAAAAAAAAAAAAAGATGGAAGAAAATGAATAATAGCTGAGTTACAAAGCAAAGAGTCATACAAATTAAGATAGTTATCCAGACTGCATGTTGAGCACTAGAAAATGAGGGTTGAGTGAATATGATTTCTAACAAGTTTTGCTGGTTTCAAATGTCATTTATACTGTAGGAATCTTTAACCCTTCCGGTATTTCAAAAAAAAGAAGTTATTTGATTTTTCTCAAAAGAACTGAGCAATATTTCTCTTTTTTAGTATTATTTTTTGTTAAACATTAATATTTAGTAAAATATCTTCAAGAAAAGTAAAGGAAATGAGAAGTGTAGACTGAATGTTTCTAATTTCCCTACCAAGCTTCTTGATCATGCCAGTCTCAAGAAAGTCATCTACAACTTTCTCCAGATAGAGCGTGAAACACCAGTAAGCCTCCGTCTCATTCTCCATGACAACCAGAAACCTGCTGAGCACATCATTCATACCCTGGGCATAGGTCACCGCTACAAGTATAAACAGGATACACAATATAGTCTCATTCTTCATCATGATCAATACATGCTTTCTTTCTCTGGAAAAGGAACTTTAAATCGGAAATTCAATAATTTTATCCTATAAGGGTGATGAAGATTGTACTGGTCACAAGAATGATGAATATGATGACAGTGATGACAATAATTATGAAGATGATAACAATAATAATGATGACAATGAATGGTACAATGTAGTTTACATGATAGTGATATTGATGTTGTTGGTAAATGACGACGATATGGTGAAGATGGTGAAGATGGTGATAATGATGGTGATAATGATAGTGATGATGATAGTGATGATGATAGTGATGATGATAGTGATGATGATAGTGATGATGATACTGACAATGGATATGGTGATAGAGATGAATAAAATGATGACAACGGTGAAATTGAAGATGATCCTAATGATAATGATGAAGATGTTGATGGCAGTCATGGCACTAGTGATGTGAGCATGACAATAATGATGACGATGATGATGATGATAAATGATACAAATAATTTTATAATTTTATAACATTAGCGATATAACACATAAGCGATATCAAAACTTTCCAAAATAATGCGACAATAATTCCCCACTAGCATTTAGCCATACTGTTGTGACAAGGACTGTTTAAGCATTAAAAGAATTTTTTCCAACAATGAAAAAAAAAAAAAAAACATTCTATTCTTCAGTTATATGAGCAGTAAAATAAAGCAAATCCCCTTGAAAGGAGGCTAGAGCTTGAGACAAAGTAGGCGTTGTGGCGTGCGCCTGTAATCCAGCTAACAGTGAAAGTTTCAAACTGATTCAGGCGAGGACGCAGGTTCGAAACTGAGTCACGTCTTTCGGATGGTGACGTTTAAAGGTCGGTCCTTATGGCCCGGTCCCACTGGCCGACGGACACAAAACGCATGCATAAAGGACACAGCGGACGAGCAAAATTTCGGGGGTTGCTCCATCTGTTTTCATCCGCTCCAGAAATGGACAAAATTTGCGAAAAATTGCGAAAACAGAACGGAAAATAACGGACGTGGGTAGTATGTAGCGGGGATGTTAAACGGATGTTCATCGGAAGCCTAGCGGATGGAAGTGGATGACAGCTTTGAATACTTTATATACGAGATGCAACCGCTTACATCCTTTCTTTTTCCGTGCTACTAACGATGTATAGACGTTCCATGTACCTTATCTTTCCTCCCTCTTTCCGTTTTCAGCTGCAGCGGATGTGAGTTGCGAAGATGCCCAGAGGATGCAGAAAGGATACAGTGGACGTTTAACGGATGATAACGGACATAGAACGTTTGTTGCTCGTATTTGTCGCGGATTTACATCGTACACAGCGGAAGTTCATCCGTTCTTAAAGTTTTGAGCAGCTCAAAACTTTTTGCGCGGATGAAATCACAGTGGACGGATGCTCGACGGATGGAGCGTATGAAACACGTATGCAATGAGTACACAACGGATGCATAGCGTTTTCCAACGGATGGCAAGATTTTTTTTACGTTTTACATCCTCTTTGCATCCGTAAGTGCAGTGGGACCGGGCCTTTAGACGTAAATAATCATTTCTGATTGATACACTTCTGTAAAAACCCCAACACACACACACACACGTAATTAATCTTGTTGGTACATCAGGAAGTAGATATTTTGAACAAGGTACTTACTTGGATGAAAGACTGCAAAGGTAACAAGAATATTCCTGAGTTTTTCAAGGTTTGGGTTGCCTTGCCCCCTGGCGACCAAAGAGAATGGAGAGAGATAGACAGAAAGAAGGAGAGAGACAAACAAAAGAAAGAGAGAGGGAGAAACATACATTAACCTGTTCTAAAAGGATACTCAAATGGTTTGACAAAGCCTCAAGTCATTAGCAGAAAATTGAATTCTGTGCCATTACAACAATATCTCTATGAATATCTGACAATAAATTTTTTTCAGTAGAAACTGTCAATATTTTGAATCCCATTGACAGGTGACCTTGCAAAACTTAGAAGTGTCCAAAGCAGGAGAGACATCATTGTGGTTAACAAACACAAAGATCCCACACAGAGTCTCCCCATTTAAAATAAATATACTAACTAGCTTATCATCATACTTTGGATGGATTTCAGTTAAGTGGAGTGGATTTCAGTTAAGTGGAGTGAGGCATCTTTTTGTTGGTAACCAAAATGTTGTCATTTCTGCATTAGCTTAGAATTTAAAGTGTAGGCAATCAGACAATGTAAAGAGCACATTTTGTTTATATTCAAGAGGCAGTCAATGGTACTTTGTCCAATATATTACCAACATCATCATCAGTTTAGGTATACATGATGATTCTATCAGCCATACCAGAGCTTGAATCAGACCAAATCATCTGTTTGGAGCCCTTCTGCCCTTCTGGCTCCAAACAGAGGAAATAACCAGGGGGGGTGTTCCATAAAGAGTTCATAAAGTTACGCATGACTTTACGAACGAATTGTATATGAAGTGCCAGAGAGGATGCCCAAGTTTTTTATTGATATTTCCAATAACCTAAATTAAATTATGGCAAAAAATATACTTTGCATTAAAAATGTTTGTTATAATAAGAATGTTAATCTACATTTGCACAGTTCAACTTAATAAATAATAATCAAGGATGATTGAGCATTCCATTTGGCTTTTCATATACAAGTCGTTCATAAAGTCATGCGTAACTTTACGAACAGCTTTATGAAACACCCCCCCCCCCCCCAGGACAATTATATAGTTTATCTGTAATCTATGGGACAGAAAATGATCAAATCATTTGGACTTATCCTCAAGCACTCTGCAGTTGCATGATATTATTTTCTCTCTCTGTGACTTCATAACTATACCTAAATAATATCAAACGCTTTCTTACCTAAAGAAATCCAGATCTCTATCTGTCCGAGGGACATCTTTGTCTATTATCCTGAGGTTCTTCTTAATATTTTCAAGATCATTCTCATCTAGGGGCTGACGGCTGGCATAAATCTGTTTTAGAGAAAGAAATTATAAATCATTACTGCTACCAAAAAATTCATGGCATCAATTGAAATGAATATCTACTTCTTGTTGTTCTTCTGGGTTCCTCTGCCTCATTCAATCCTGAAGATTCTAGACAATATTGAGACTACAACAAGCCCTATGTTTATGTCACAGCTGTTAAATTCATTTTTAATAAACCAGACGCGAGAACCAATGCTTTCAGAGGAAAAACTAGACCTCGGCCATACTTCTTTTGTTTACTCTTTAAATACCTCCCAAATCTCCCTGTGCCACACAGTATTTACCATGGGATAGATAAACAGGCTTCAAGATTATTTGACTTTTTCCAGCGCAAGATTAATCTATAGTGGTGTGATTGTCATGGAGCTAATCGAGACCGGAAATGGATCATTTTGCAAAGCCATAGAGTTGCACAAAGCGATCCTTCCGTCAGTTGGTGGCTTTTATTTTGTACAAAATTTCATGTGTGGTGAATGAGCAAACGTGCAGAGAGGCAAAGAAAGCAACGGAAGGGTTAAAAACAGCTGTAGACCAGCGAAAGGGTTAAATTCAATTTAGATCTAATTAAATTAAATTAGATTTTAATAAGGCATTTTTGTTTATATTTTAGTAGAAGTTAGACATTAGTCTTCTATGGGAGTTTGGCAAACAGGCAGTGAAAATTCACACCTAATTCAAAAAGTGTTAAAGGGCACTTTGGGCAATGTTAAAACTTTAAATGATGGCCGATTTGAATGGGAAGGTAAATGGATACCAAGTAATGATACATTCCTGGATTGCTTGAGTTCATTATTATAAATCTGAGCCTCAGCGGGTTTTACTATAGACAGATCGCATAGTACAAAAGCTTTAATCATTATTTTTGCAAACCTTAGCTTGAAATCTGAGCCTCAGAGGGTTTTACTATAGACAGATCGCATAGTACAAAAGCTTTAATCATTATTTTTGCAAACCTTAGCTTGAAATCTGAGCCTCAGAGGGTTTTACTATAGACAGATCGCATAGTACAAAAGCTTTAATCATTATTATTGCAAACCTTGAGTTCCTTATTATATATCTGAGCCTCAGAGGGTTTTTCTATAGACAGATCGCATAGTACAAAAGCTTTAATCATTATTATTGCAAACCTTGAGCTCCTTATTATATATCTAAGCCTCAGAGGGTTTTACTATAGACAGATCGCATAGTACAAAAGCTTTAATCATTATTTTTGCAAACCTTGAGTTCCTTATTATATATCTGAGCCTCAGAGGGTTTTACTAAAGACAGATCGCATAGTACAAAAGCTTTGATCATTATTATTGCAAACCTTAGCTTGAAATCTGAGCCTCAGAGGGTTTTACTATAGACAGATCGCATAGTACAAAAGCTTTAATCATTATCATTGCAAACCTTAGCTTGAAATCTGAGCCTCAGAGGGTTTTACTATAGACAGATCGCATAGTACAAAAGCTTCGATCATTATTATTGCAAACCTTGAGTTCCTTATTATATATCTGAGCCTCAGAGGGTTTTACTATAGACAGATCGCATAGTACAAAAGCTTTAATCATTATCATTGCAAACCTTAGCTTGAAATCTGAGCCTCAGAGGGTTTTACTATAGACAGATCGCATAGTACAAAAGCTTTGATCATTATTATTGCAAACCTTGAGTTCCTTATTATATATCTGAGCCTTAGAGGATTTTACTATAGACAGATCGCATAGTACAAAAGCTTTGATCATTATTATTGCAAACCTTAGCTTGAAATCTGGCAAAGCTGAGCTTCTGCTGGACTTCATCATCACCATCATCACATAGTCTTTGAATCGTTGAAGGAGCAGATGACACAGAAGCTCCATTGCAAGCTGATGTATCTGAAAAGTTAAAAAAAAGTTAATATTAAAATTACAGCTGAATCCATAGGGTTACCTTACAGTAACATTTGAATTAGAAACTAAACTTATAAATGGTCTGTTTGGAGCCACAAGCAGATCGAGTCATATTTTAATGGTAGAGTGACTCCAAACAAATGATATAATGCCCTGCATGTAAACACATCCTAACATCTATAACATTAATAAATGCAAAGAAAATTCCTTACGACTTATAAAGTCCAAGATGGAAATTATTTATTTAGAAAAAGTGGAAAGAGTTATTGCCAAGAAAAGGAAAAAATGCTGAAACATACCGGTATGTTGAAATGGAAAAAAAGTTTATCTCTGCTATATTATGTATTAACTAAATTTCATAATGTACCACTCATTACCATGTTTTTTCTTTTTAAACACCTTCCAACACCTCACAGATCTGTTCATACTATCATTAAACATCAATTGATATTACACACGCATTTTAAAGCAGTTCTGACATTAGCTTTAAACAAAAGTCAGAGCCAAATAGGAAAGAAAGAATGTCAATCAATGGATCTGTATTGCGGAATAGTTTGCCTCATTTCATAAGACACTCACCTACTGTCCAATCCTTTATCATCTCTTAGTATCATCATCTGTTTGGAGCCAGAAGGACATTAGCTCATAATCATATACAGTCAAACCTGCTTTAGCGACCACCTGTCTACAGAGACCGCAGTTTTTGTTTCCCTTGAAAATGGTTTCTCATTGAAACATGTACTTTAAAAACCTGTACATAAAGACCACTTTTCTTGTCTCCTTTGGGTGGTCTTTATAGACAGGTTTCACTGTACATGTATTGTAATAGAATTAACGCCCTTCTGTCTCTGAACAGACAATATACTTATTTTACGTTAATTGTTACAACCATTTCGGCATTAACCATATGGGTTCATGGGTTCGAATCCCGACACAGCACTAATATCCTTTGGCAAGATATTAACCCACACTTGCTATTCTCCACCCAGGTGTTAAATGAGTACCCGGTAGGATGCGACCATCATTGTTGGTCAAACAGTTTTGAGCGTCATGTCACGCCTGGCGGGAATGCTCCCCAGGGAGTGGAGATTGTGTACACGTTGTGTGCGGGCAAGCACTGAATCCAATGACCGGGGTAATAGTATATTTGTAAAGCGCTTAGAGACATTTGTATTAAGTGCTATATAAAAATTAAATATTATTATATTATTATTATGTACAAATGTACATACATGTATGATATCCCTTGCACTAAGAGCAGTAGGTATTATATATCATAACTAATTTAACAAATCACTGGGGGATTTGATCTACCTGAATGTGACTGAGATGTCTGCCTCTCCTCCTCCTTGCCAGTAAGCCCTCTATGGGCCAGGATGGTCTTCCATCGAGCTTTCAGGGCTTCATATCGGAATGCAAATTCCAATTCTAAGACTTCTCGCTCTCTGGAAGAGAAAAAAACAGTTTCTAAGTATGTTTGTGTTCTAAAGATGAGCAATTTTGATAAAATACACACAGTTAAACTAAAATCAACTATAAGAATTTCTATAGTCATGTATAAATTGGAATTCTATGATTTGACATGTGAACTGCTGTCCATTTCTTTTGAACACCTTATGTTGTGATTTTCCATTTTTTGTCACAATCCTGATCCTTCCATTTTTGTTCTCCTTCCATTCAAAATACCTTGATGAAAGGGGATTCTACTTTAGTTTATATGGATGATAATAATCCCTGTATTGCTGTTAATCATACCTTTTAGTTGATTGGCAAGGGAAATATCCAAAAAGGAATTTCCAGGCATCTTTCCTCACATCTTCCTCAATTCCACCTGGTAGATAAAATGAAAGTAGAAAGATCATTAATTTCATTTTCAAAATAGAATCCTTGGGAGAGATTTCCTTAAAACAAGTTACAGAAAAATAAATACACACTTGGGGTTTGAGGTCATCAATATGCAAGCATTGATTCGGAATGCATAATTTGTGTGTAGACTGCTTTGGTCACCATTCACCAATAGATATACAACCTGCATATGCAGTCCCTCTTACGTAGTGGGGTGGTGTTTTCAAATGAGTGAAAAAGGAGTCACATTGACAAATTTCGTAATTGTGGCAAGTTAAAAATGGGATGCAGTCATCCTAAATACAATAACCATCTAAGAAGCATGCTATAACACAAAGGATTTAATGACTAGAAATGTGCTTAGTAAATAATAACTAGAAACTAGACTCAAGTAATAACCCTTTCTATACAGTACATGATTGATTTATTCAGGAGTTTTGGTTTCCTTCATGAAAGAGCATTCATGAGAATATGGGAGAATGGGCAATAAATAAACTCATTTGAAGTTGTTTGAGAGAAGAGTTAAATTAGGCATGTGCATACATGTAGTTTCTGAATGATATCTGATTCAGCAGTACAGTATGACCCAAATGATTCTCAGTCTTCTACAATTACCTTTTAAATCTGGAACAGGAAAAAAATGTTACCTTCTGGGATGATATTATTTTTTTCTTTCCCATTTACACTGTTATCCTTAAAGATATTTTAAATATTTTGGTATTTTAAGATTCACCAACATCATGAAAATTGTAAAGTGTACTACCGGTAAGTAAATTCAGACACAATTTCATCAATAAAGATTATTCCAGCCATAACACACAATATTTATCAAATTAATCAAAATTGATGAAAAGTAAAACTTGTGTACCGTATTTCAGTGCTACACATGTACATGTAGGAAGATTTACATGATAAACTACTATTGAGCATTCTTTTTACCGGTAAGTTTTCACAATATTTGGCTTCAGTCAGCATAAAATGCATGACCTACACTAAAGCTGCATTTACACTGCAACCCAAAATCATTGTTTTTTTCTCATATTCCAGTGTTTCGCCAGTATTTGCTACTACTGGCAAACGCAATTGGAAATTAAAAAAAAAAAACCACCTCTGGAGTGTGGTTTGTAACGCCCGCCAAAGTTTCACTGATTTGTTTGCAGTGTAAAGGCAGACTTCGGTGAGATACCAGTTTTTTGTCACGTAACTCTCCTCGCTAACGCATGCAGGGCACCGACGAGTGGTGCATGCGCACTTCAACAATTTTTCATGGGTTTTTCCAGTAGTACCTGTATTAGGTAGTCCAAAAAATCAATGATTTTTCAAAACAGTTTTTCAGATGTGTAAATGGGCCTACATTGTACTTTGTGGGTTGTGCCAAGGGAATGTCACACATGTGTTACTTGTTAGCATGAATTTGTTATTGATTATGAGTAGTATCATGGTGGAGACAATACATCTAAGTGTGAACAGGCTCAGCTAGGTGCGATTTATATTATCTACTAATTTAATGCACATATCTATATATATCCAACCAATCGAACGAGGACAGAGGTAGATATAGTGCGTTTACAGATAATGCTCATTTGAATGCAGGTAGTTGTAGTACACTTTCAATAATTTGAGTAATTGTAAATAAAGTGACAAGGCTTGATTGTTAAGTGATTTGGAATTTGTCCCCTCCTCTCAGCCAAAATATAATTCAAGTCTATATACAATATGCTTACATTTGAAAATGTGTACACTACAACAAAAGAGGTAACAGTTATTATTCAATTATTTTTTTCTTCAGGGCTTTGGTTTCATTGCACTACCATTACTTACAGTATAGATTTATATTTTACACATGTCGCATAACTAATGCAACAGGAAAAGTGAACCTTGTAAGTAAAGATCAACTCTCATGACCTGCTGCTACATGTAGTCATGTATCATACAGTGGGCTGACTATAATTCAGCTCTTAAAGCCCCACTGCAATACTTGTAGCTACTTGCTCCCTCTAGAAAACAATGCCTAAGCGATGCCCGTTGGTCCCCCATGATCCTCTTTTCCTTACCGGTACATGTTAATTGAAAGATGAGTTGATGAGATAACCACATGTTAGTGACCATGCTGGGAGGTCTAATCCCTCCTGGCCAAACTAGTGCAGACAGGATTTAAAGCCTCCAAAATATTATTACACCTTGCTCATACAGATTTTGGTCATTTTTGAAATGGTGATTCCATAAAAAAATCTCTAGATAGTGCCAGTCCATGAACTGTTTGATTATGGGAATACCTGAAGAATTCAAAGAACTTGTTCAGTTATTTAAGCTGTGTTTTTCAATCACATTTTGGGGGAGTATCTGTGTTAAAATACTCTCTTTATCAGTCGGAACATTTTAAAAAGGAAGGCAGTTTTAATAAATTATTATGATGTATTTACAAGAACTCTTTTTAACCCTATGACTGCCGAGTTCCTCCATTCCCCAGCAAGGTTGAGCCTTTTGTTCCTGTGGTCGAGAAATAAATTGCTATCTTACCAGTATATCAAATTGCATTTGTGTAAATCTCTTACCCATTTGACTGTAATTTATTCAACTACAAAAGACCATAGCGTCTTTTACAAATTGAGTGTGGTGTATCTGTTTTTGGAAAGGTTCAACTTGGCTGCACTTTAATTTTGCTAATAGTCCAGGATCAGCCATTAAAGAGTCAGAAGGATGAGTTTTGGTACAGTAAAGGTGAAAATTCTTTGTGAGCTTTATCTTTCCTTTATATTTATAGTTAGAAGAAATGTCACCTCCCCCCTCCCCCAAAAAAGGGATTGCGCTTCACATGAATTCATATAGCAACGTGAAGAGCGGGGTGCCCCAGGGCAGCATACTCGGCCCAACACTGTTTGTTCTCTACATCAATGATTTCCCTGAGGTGTTGGACTCCACTGTAAGAATTTACGCAGATGACACCAAGGCTTTCTCATGCGTCTCTACTCCTGACCAACGCAAACTTCTCCAAGCTGACCTGTGCTCATTGACAGACTGGTCCTCAAAGTGGCAACTCCAGTTTAACGCAAAAAAATGCTGTGTTTTACATCTTGGATCTGGAGACTGTCAGGAGCGCTACACAATCGGGAGTTCAGCCCTGAGTACAGTTGAAGAGACAAAGGATCTGGGGGTACTTGTTGATGACAAACTGAAGTTCCACAGCCATGTGTCGTATGCCATCAACAAGGCCAACAGGGTCCTGATCAGCATCAGACGTGCCTTTCAGTGTCATGACACATCCACCATTCCCAAGCTGTTTAAGGGCCTAGTGCGCCCCCTCCTTGAGTATGGAAATGTAATCTGGTCGCCAAGGTACATTTCAGACGCAAAGCTGTGGAGAGAGTACAGAAGAGAGCAACAAAGATGATCTCCACAATGAAACACCTACCTTACATAGAGAGACTTAAATGCCTAAACTTGCCATCCCTTGAGTACAGGAGAAGGAGAGGAGACATGATTCAGGTGTACAAGATCATTTATGAGCATGACAGACTCAACCCTGACCACTTCTTCCAACTAGCAGACACACCAACAAGAGGGCATAGTCTCAAGCTTTCAAAGCCGAGGTGTAGGACAAATGTAAGGAAGAACACATTTAGTCACAGAGTGATTGACGACTGGAACTCTCTGCCTGAAGTAGTAGTTCAGGCTCCCACCATAGACGCCTTCAAAACCAGGCTTGATCGTTGCTGGAAGGAACAGTGTCATATCTCTCAATACTCGAACTGATTTTTTCAATTTCTTTGCTCCTGGGACATTGTACATGGTACATTGTCCAGTCAAGATGCAACCTCTTGCCCCTCTGCCTCCCTTGCATATAATGAGAATTATTATTAAAGAGTATGAGTACAAGAAGATAGACCAAGAAGATAGACCTGGAAGCTCGACTGCTGTCTCAGCATTCTTCCAGTATTTGCGGTAAAGGTAAAGTAATATATCTGAAATAGCAGGAGATAAAGCTGAAATACTGCACTGTAGTATATACTGTACATGTACAGTAGACCAATGCGTAATACTAGAGATAGAGATAGTGGTGGTTATTTTACCTGACAGCTAAGAAAGCAATAAATGCTTGTTAGTAAGCAACCAGAAGACCGACGGCTTAAGGGTCTCTCTGAGGGACCTGGTAATGAGGATTAATGCCTTACCAAAGGGCACTAGCACATCGAATTGGTTAATCATCCTTTTGTAATTGCTTCTAAACAGTTTGTTTAAGGGCAAATTTATACATTTTTGAAGTTTATTTGTACAGGACAAATAGGAAAGTACCGTCACAGATTTGCCAAGTTTTGTTTGATTGACAACACCTAAAATAGTTGATAGCTTTCTTATTTTTAATTGCTTTTGCTCAAACTTTCACTGACCTTTTTCTTTTGTTTTTCAGCTTCAATTAGAACATGCTTAATATCAGGGTGGACTTCCCCTCAATGATTTTATATCTTGCATGGTATTTTACACACTACTCAAGATGGCTTCTTCTTAGAACTTTTTTTAACCAAAGGCAAGAAGGACAAGTAAAAGGAAGAAAACCTGATTTGGATCACATAATAGAATGATATTATTTTAAAATCCTGTTGTACCCTCTGGCTCTGCTTTAGACAGCAATAACCATCTGATTTGGGTCATTTCTTTAATAAAACTGACATTTGTTGTCATTCCCCAATACAGATGGCAACCCAGAGATCTCGTACCGTGGGGGTAAATTAGAGCCACAGCGTAACAGCTTTTCGTTACCGACATTTCTCCCCCGATTTTCTTTATTTAGATCTAATTTCCTGATTTCTAAATCAGATGTAAATTAGGTCGATATGTCATTTGTCCTAATTACAGTTATCAAAATTTGATAACTCAATATTAAATGTATAATTTACGGACTTACTTATATGAATTATCCAATTTGTACCTCAGAACCGCGAAGCAGTACGTTCATGCATTCGAAATATTACCCGGCGGCCGATATATTTCCGGGTCCACCTACCAAACATAAGCCAATGGCCAATCAGAGCACTCGTTTCGTGGGAGTTCGTTGGTCAAGCCGGGCCGACTCGTATGTAGCTACGGTAGCTATTGGACGTTCGAAAAGAAAAAATGAATATTCATCAACTAAAACCAAGACGGATAATGTTGACGACGAGACTTTCTCGGATTAATCATTAATTTAGGATCTAAATGAGCAAGCTATCGTAAGTCAAATAAGCTATTTATATGTTATTTTTAATTAGACTCTAATTATTGTCATATTGCAGCATGTGTGAGGATGTAAAGAGTGAAAATCTCGTAGCATATCTCATTCATCGCGGTCCTGCCGAACCGAACCATTGGTTCCGTACAGTCCCGATAGGACAATCTTCAGTCTCTATAATCGGAGGTCTAGTGGAGCCAGACGTAGTCTCAGTGGAACAACCGAAAATTAGAGAGACTGAAGTTTTCGGTCTAGCTCTGCTTCTGACCAGGGTTTTTAAATTTCCTACCAGTTTCTGCATATCTTCTTATTGCCAGTGAATTTGATATCTTTTTTCCAGATATTTCCTGTTATGCACCTGGTGAAGAAAAATTGAATCCTTTTTGTGAAGGTGGACAATAAACTACAGCCCGGTAGTGTTACAGGCCTCAATGAGACATTGATAGTATACCTAGACCTAGTACTTATGTAAGTAGTACGCCCGGCCCCGGCCGGGGGGAAGCAGCAAAAATGTCAAAAAGCAACAAAAACATGCACAGCCTTTTGCACAGAAAATGTAAACCTTTCAATTATTTTTCCCCAACACATAATCCTCTCATTGTTGACTATACTTTTGTGAAGTTTCTAACAAAAAATCAAAAGCTCTAAACAAATTATGTAGAATAAAGTAGAAAATCACCTCGAAAAACAGCTTTCCTGAAACCATGCTCATCGACCAAGCGTCCTTCACTGTCAAAATATTGTTCAAATCTTTCCCGATCGAGAGGCGGTCGTCTGATATTTTCTAATTCCTCGCCAACTGTTATTTCAGGTTGCCAGTGATCTGGTAAAACCTGTTCAAAACTGTCATCGTAGCTACAAGTTCTCGTCACAAAATTCGGAATGGCCTCTGCACTTTCCCCATCGCTCGCGCTCAAGTCGTTCTCCCAGCTGGATATAGCCTCTGCTCGCGTTGAAGACGCCGTACTCGTCGGCCCAGGACGCTTGAACTTCACTCCCTTAAAGAGTCCTTCGCTGGATTTGAACATTATGAAAAATTATGTTATTAAGACACAAAATGCAGAACTCCCTCACGAAAAATATGACTAAACTTTTTTCACGGATTCTCATCATGATCTTCAAGTCTTAATGCATGCATTTAACCACCTTTCTTTGACAGGATATTCACAGTCTTTACTTAGGTAGGCTGTAGAAGTATTCGCTCTCGGTTTCGTCAGGTGCATCATCACGTCATGACGTCATTGCAGATATTTTTTACAATCGACTCACGGCCAAACCGATTGGCTACCGGTTTTTGTATACCGGTATTAGTACTATAGTAATGAGCTACCGTTTACAACGGGTCGTTTTGTCCCGGATCGGATATTGAACATTGGCTGTGGAATAGATATAGGCAGGGGCGCACGCAGGGGGGGTGTTTTGGGGGTTCAAACCCCCCCCCCCCCTTTGGTAATTTAATATATGTAAACCCCCCTAAAAAAAACCTAAACCCCCCCCCCCCCCCTTTTGCTTTTTTTTTTAATTTTAATTTTTTATTTAAAAAAAAAAAAAAAAAAAAAAAAAAAAAAATTATACCCACGGCTAACCTAAATAAGGTGACCTTACCCCCCCCCATACGTAAAAAAATGTCAAATTTTGAAATTTTGAGACCAAAAAAAAAAAAAAAGTGTACACTTACCCCCCCCCCCCCCCCCCCCCCCCCCCCCCCCCCCCCCCCCCCCCCCCCCCCCCCCCCCCCCCACTGAGCGACTTTTCGACCGGCGCGATTTTCAAATTTTCGGGAGCAAAATATTTTAAAACCCCCCCCTTGAAAAAATCCTGCGTACGCCCCTGGATATAGGTGGTGGTAGTTAGTCTAATTCTCAATTTGTCTGATGCTCATTTCTTCTACCATCCATCAGTATTCATAAGGCTTACAGATGGATGCAGGGGCGGCCGAGCGACTTCCAAAGTGGGGGGGGGGGAAGAAAAAAGGGCACTTTCTGGAAGAAAAAAAAGGGCATCTAGACCTACATAGAGAAATCTCAAAGCGAAAATCAGACTTTGATAGGGGCATTTATAAGATATTATTATGTATTTGTTAAAAGGGAAATTATCAGAGGTGAAAAGGAGCAATGCCCTAATATGAAAAGGGGCACCTATGTGAATGAAAAAGGGGTACTTGTAATAAAGGAAAATGTGCATTAATTAGTTAAAATCCCCCAAAATGACCCTTAAATTCAGGGGCTTCGAGGCTTTAGCGGCACCCACGTCCAAATCAAATCTGAGTACCACCCCCCCCCCCCCAGGGCTTATAAGGTCTCTTGATTATCATTATTTATGACCAAATGATTATTAGACCACATATGGATATCAGATCAACTAGGAATTAGACCTATTGGAAAGTAGACTAAATGAGCCATACAGTAAATAGGCAGGAGATTATATTATTGGAGACATAATGACCCAGCCAGCAAGCAAGAGACAAAATGATGGCAAATGACCACTGTAATGGTGCAAGATCCGGAAGCTGGGACATCCCCCCACCCTTGAAGTAAATGTATGGAGACGGCTTTCTTCCAGAAGCTTTGATAAGATAAGATAAGATTGAGGTTTTCATATGGAAATTAGACTAAATACTATTAGCCTAAATGGTCATTAGACCAAATTATTAGTAGATGAGATGATTACTAGACCATGTGAGTATTGTTTATTTATGTATATTCTAGTAAAAGATTTTGCATGTTATTTTTCAGTATATACCTTATGTATTTTTTTGTAATGTGATTTTTATGGAAATGAATATACTTAATTTAATTGCATTGAAGTAGACGGGCTGGGTGTAGACCATAATTAGGTGAATAGACTGATTGGGTAGTGGACGAATTGGTTGTTGACCAAACGACTAAAAACCGTAATAGTAGATGCCTGAATTTGGCTCTGGAGAGGAGGGGGTGCACCCCAGCCTATATACACCCGCATCAGTTTGAGTACACGTAATTAATGAAAACTGAGAGAGTGAAAAGAATTTGAATATTTTTAAATCAACTTATATAATAATTGTGGCAGCCCGTAATCCCGGGGTGGGGGGAGGGGTGGGGGTTTTCACATAATATTAAGACATACGGGGGTGTTCCGCTCTATTGGGTCACTTTTTCACAAAAAATCTCGAAACGCCAGAGATGCCGTGATGCGCGGCCAAACAAAACAGCAACGTATAATATTTAAGCAAAATAATGCTTCAATTCCCTTATAATATTATGGAATCCCGTAGTAAGAAGACAGTGATAATGAAAACTTGTAATGCGCAGTGAAGTATAATGGCCGGATCTGCGCATTAGCAATTTGCCATTATATAATTTTCTCTTTGGCCAACAGCACTTAGAGGTCGACTATCACCTCCCCCAACTCTTAACTATATACATTATACAATCATGCATGATAAGAATAAGTGACTCCTTTCCGGAACGGAGTTGCTTTGCTTGGTACGCGGGTGCAGGGCAATTCGACAAATATTTTGTTGCGCTCATCATGAACACAGATACAGAGTACAAATACAAACAACAAAGTGTAGATATTGAGTCAGAATTAATAACCAGTCACAATTGAGCATAATTATTATCAGACTTGCTAGTCATATTCGCCTTGCAAAATTAAATTGATTTTGTGGAGGGTAGAAGTGCCGTGTTTTATCTGCAAGTACTTTAGTGATTATTCCATTATAGTTTTGTCTTTTGACGAAGTATGGCGAATTTTACCGCGACTTCCGAAGAGTTTACCACTTTCTTCGAAGAAATGGTGGAAGAAAATACGACCACGGCTGAGATGGAGGTCGTCGCCGTTGTACCGAGAGCGCCACGGCCTCCCGATTACCAGGGCCTCGTTTTCGGAACGAGCCTCGTCATCCTCATCATCCTCATGAACGCGATAAGCCTCATCGCTTTCACCATCGAGAAGCGCCTTCGAACGTACAACAATTACTTCATCATCAACCTCACCATCGCCGATCTCGCCCTGGGGATCAATCAGACCGTGGGCATCGCCCATACATTTCTCGCATATTTTCCTTTCGACCGAGACATCTGCAGATTCTATCTCGGTTTCCGTCACGCGTTGTTCTCCGTCTCCGTGGTCGGCGTGGTCGTCATCTGCATCGATCGACATCGCGCGACATATGACCCTATCAACCACTTTATATCACGCAGCAAGCGCAAAGCCACGATCATGAACGCACTGACTTGGCTCATCTCTTTCGGGTTCTGGATGCCCTACACCGTCGGCTGGGACTTTGCGGTCGACCATGACAACGGCCGTCACTGCGTGGGCGCGTTCTCGAGATCGACCGTCGGGAACATCGCGCAGAATATCTTCTCTTTCTTCGTCCCCCTCGTGCTCATCTCCGTCCTCTACTTGCGAATCTTTCATAAGATCAAGGAGACAGTGGGCGGTAAGAGTGTCAACAGCCATTTCGATGAACCGAAGGTGAAGGGAAAGCTTGGGAAAGAGTCACCTTCTCTCTCTTCGAGTATGACAACGGTCGCTGGCGATCTGTCATCTGGTGGGACGATGGAGATGAAGATTCCGGCTCCCCAAGTAACTTCTGTCGGTAAAATCGTAAAGGTATGTGTACGTCGTGATAATTATAATTTTTCTTTACAATGCAGATAGTGATTTAGAAGGAAAAAGGGTTAGTAGACCGCCGAGGCGACTGTTTTACTACTAGCTGAGCCATCGAAACTATATTTCGAAGGAAACTAACATTCTTCGATTCTGAATGATTAAAAATGAAGAAGACGGGTGTTTGAATCAGCTAACTATACATCGTATGGACAGACTAACAACATCCTGCTATCAATTAGTGATAGAAAAGTGCAACTCTCAAAGCACCTGTGTACTGTGTATTGTGGATCGATACTATAAAGCAGCTCCATTTCTTATTTCATTTGCTTATTACTTGTATTACATGATCAATATAAATTATTTTTTGTGGTAGGCATCAATATTCTGGAACTTTCTAGTAAAATGTTACAATACTGAGAAATCTGCTTCTGCCCTTATCAGGGCCCCGTCTTATAAAAAAAAGTTGCGATTGATTAAAATAATTTGCAATTGATATCAATCGCATCTCTTATCTCTTAATTACAGAGTTGTGGTTTGTATCATTTGCAAATTATTTGTAATCAAATTATTATGATAGGACACAATCCGCATGGTCAAAAGAATGCAAATTTGCCGAAAATTGTGAAATAATTAGCTTTAAAAAATTACCAAATATAGACAGGCAGACAGACAGATAGAAAGATAGAATGAATACAAAAACAAATCGTAATCTGTTCTTATCACTTTACCTATGTTTTGAAAACGTTAATTTATTTTGCCGACAACAACCTCTGAGATTTTGCCAATAGAAATTGGTTCAGACCCCACCGTCCACCTCATTTCCAGCGATACAATTTCAATTTCAATTTCATTTATTTCCACAGATTCATAAAAGACAATATAAATTACAATCAAATATAAAGCATTAAGACAAAAGATGAACCTGCAGAGGGGGTGATCAAAAACCTCAGGGGTCTATCAGGGATCATCTCCTGCTTAAAATTACAATATCAAAATACAATAATTTAACAAAATTAAACAATATTTTTAACACATACAAAAACATATATAAATATTACAAGCAAATCTATGTGTGGGGTGAGTAGTAGTGGGGTGGTGGTACCAATAAATATAATATATAGAGGAAATGAATGATACAATTACAAAGAAGAAAAATAGTGAGAAAATAGTAAGAAACAACATACAAACTAGAGTTGGATACGCATAGAGTAAATCCTGTATAACATAAAGGGAGACAAAAAGGTGGTCTATATTTACTGTACTACCAAATCAGAATTCGCTCCTTTCCTCATGATTGAGTGCATAACGATTTCGAATCTATAATGACAAAAAAGGGGAAGGGCCTACCTAAAGCTAAATATATTTAAGGTTACTCAATAACTCTTCGGAAATTTTCGTTAGAACATTAAGTTTCTTGTATTAGTTTTTGACTAATTTTTTTTTTATTAGCAAAAGTATTTTAAGTCAATTTTATTTCCCTTTTCATGAACTTTAAATCATATATCTTTATCGCTAGCGATAATTAAAATTACATCATCTGTATAATTATCATATCTGAGCAAAGCTCTAGAATGACAGTATATTGTAAATGACAGTATATTGTAAATAATGTAAGAGGAGCAAGTTAATAGAGAGAAACGAAGTGCGTGAGAGAAAAAAGAGAGGGAGACAGAGAGAGAAAAGAGAAAGAAAGGGGAGAGAAAGAGAAAAGGGGGAGGAGAGAGAGAGAGAGATAGGGGAGAGAGAGAAGAGAGAGAGAGAGATAGGGGAGAGAGAGAGAAGAGAGAGAGAGGGAGAAAGGGTAGGCAGACATAACCTTGGTGTCGATATTAGGATGGATGATTATTATAAAAGATATTTGTCGCTCAGCTTCATTTTCCTTGTACAAGATGGGTCGTATATTACGTCTTGATCAATGCAATAATCCTTCTTTATGGCCTTCCGGAGTCACACATTGCAATGTGAACGCATCACTCCAGTACTTCGCAAATTGCATTGGTTGCCGGTGACACGTTCCGTACGACATTTTTTTCTCCACATACTACAGAAAAAATGAATAACATCTTGACCTTGCTAGAATTTTAGTGACACGGGAAAGAGCACATTGCTTTCGTCAAATCAGGAGATTTTCATTTTTGAATGAAATAGATGAATAAAATTAATGTCGTTTATTGTTCAGGACATATTGCACATAATTGCCCGTTCTATTTTCAAGAGGTTAATGGGAACTAGTTAATGGCAGTTCAAACAGGATACCACTTTAGTGTTCCCTGAGAGTGAAGCTTCACCATGTCATAATGTTTGCTCAAAGTTGAGTAAATAGACGGAGTCAGAGCAAAGTATCTACCGCGCTGTCATCCTCGAGGAGGGACTTTAATGTTCAGGGGCGTCACTGAATGAGGGGGGGGGTGCCCTCTTCCCCCACTCTGTGTGTGTTTGTAAATTTGACTTTTACATTTAATTGATACAATTTTTGGTTCTTTGGCTAGCTTGCTTGACGGCAGTTTGAGTCTGATACCCCGATTCGGAATAATCAAGCGACATCCCTGTCACTACGTTTCCTTTCACGATCAAAACGTTTCATTTGTGTGGTTCTTTACGCATACGATGATGATACAAGTACAGCTCATATTTTACATTATTTTAAACAGCGCTTTAAGTGAATATTTGAATATTTGAAATACTAAAATGTTTCATATAAATCATAACACATACATTTATTAGAATAGAGTGAACAAATTATTGTAAGGACTATACTTTTATTAATTTGGCCACAAACATAATGGATTTCCACCTTCAGCAATGACCCTTTTTGACGTATTAAAACGGCCTCACTTTCATTTTAAAGATTTCTATGAAACGAGGTTCGAAGACTGATTTAGAATATTCAGACAATAAACAATATTATTTTTCGTACAAGGACGATAAAACCCGACAATGTTCCCGAAAGCGAAACTTGGGGGGGGGGGGGGGGGGGGGGGCTTAATATAGTGTTTTTGATTAGTTCTGTTTTGTTTTCAATTTAGATCAATATGAATTGTTATTTACGCGTTAAAATTCCTCTCCTGACAGCTAACAAAAATGTGTTTTAAAAAGTGTTCTTATCATGCACTTTTGCGAAACGTTTTGCAAAGGCAACTACACTGTCGCTCATAAAGGTGGAATATTTTCTTTTTATCCCAATTTAAGGAATTATTTTTAAAATAATTTAAAAATAATAGATCTAGATAATAGTATACATTCTCAGATAACAATAATTTGCCAATGTGTGTTTTGCGTGACTGCTAAAGCATGTGTATGCTACTATGCTTATCAACTAGGGGACCTATGCACTTAAGTCATAAATGACAGTATTGAGGATTAATGCCCAACAAAAGGGCACTAATATAGCACATCGACACGGTTTTGATCCTGGGGCCTCACAGTTACGAGGCCATTGCTTTGTCACTGAACCATGACTGTACGCAGCGGGGGCTAGGCTAGGGGGCAGTTTCCATAAATTTTTTTTTTTTAAACAGAAAATGCATTAAATTTTCAATAATTTATTGCATTTTACCCCGGTTCCCAACATAAACAAATCTTCTGTGTGCCCATGCCTTGAGCCATAATGCATGGCCGTCCAGAAGATTTTTTTTTTATTAATAATACGAGGCAGGCAGTTGAAGGTTTACTTTTTGTGCCAAAGTATAAAACAGAATGCTTTAAACATAGCCCCCTCTTTTCTTCCATTATAGCATGGAATCAGTTGGACAGATCATTGAGAATGGCAAGCTCTGTTGACACCTTTAAATACATGTTCAAACAATCTTGCATGATTGATTCCCAATAAGATAAAATGGCAAGAGAAATTTTGTTTAGTGTCTGTTTTTTTAGCACTGAACCGAGGGCGATATAATGCTTTTCAGACTTAAAGAACGATTTCATATAATTTATTACCAGTTATAAATACATTTCTATTTTTAATATTATTTAAGGGTGTATTCATTTTGCATATTATCCAGTAATTTCCTATCCTGTAATATATATTTTGTTGTTGTAAATATGTATATAACAATTGAACTCTCACAAGTATATGTTGCCTTTTTCAAGGTGTAATACATGCCGAAATATGCTAATAGTTACTTTTCATCGGATTTAAATACTTTCATCGAATTTAAAATACTAATTACCGTCTATGCTAAACTGTTAAATTAAAATATTATAATTATGCAACAACGTTTTTTGTAATGAAAAAGCAAATTAAAACAAAACAAACAAACCATTCATTTATTACGAGGATACCAAATACTTTGTATATAATAGTGTATACATGTTCTTACTTATTCTTTATTGCTGTTATGAATTTAGGTCCAAGATTTTGTCATTATTATTATTATATTATCATATCATATTTGTTAAACTAATGTACCACATTCAGGCGCGTACGCAGGGGGAGGGGGGGTTAAACCCCCCCTTGAGTTTTTTTTTTGTGTGTATGTTTTGTGTTTGTTTTTTGTGAACCCCCCCCCCCCCCCCTTTTGAGTTGGTTTTTTTTGGGTTTTTTTTCCAAATTAAAAATTATGCCAATGGCTGACGTAAAAAAGGTGACCTTACCCCCCCCCCCACCAACGGAACAAAATGTCAATTTTTCAACAAAAAAAAAATGTGCGCTTACCCCCCCCCCCCCCCCCCCTCCTCCTCCCCCCCCCCCCCCCCCCCCCCCCACTGAACGACTTTTCGGCCGGCGCGATTTTCAAATTTTCGGGAGCAAAATAATAAAGCTGAGTCGTTGCGAAATTTTGGGCCCGATTTTAACCCCCCCCCCCCCCCCTCCCCCTTGAAAATATCCTGCGTACGCCACTGACCACATTATGTTTAACAGTGCCTCATGGAAGACCACCATTATTGGTGATAATGAGTCACCCTGTCTAAATATCAGGGGGGAAATGCCATTAAGGATACACAGCAGCTGCAATAGCCTACTTGCGGGAAGCCGACGAGGCATTGTACCTAATTGGCCCTCTCTATATATAATAGATAGATTCCGTTATTTTGTATTTTTGAATATATACCTAAAGTATTGAAAAGAAATGTGCCCTTTCCCCTGAAAGCTATCTTATACATCTTATACATTACCAATTATGCGGGATAATACTAATTTTACTTTTTTGATTGTCAGACTGTTTTGGACAGTGAAATGTTTTGGCTTCGGTGTCAGAGAGAGGGTGGGGGTGGGGGGGGGGTGGAGTTGGGACCAAAACATCGGAGCAGATGTTGTTTCGTGTATTTCAGCAAGAAAAAAAGTCGTATCATTTAAATTGGTAGGGAGGCGGGGGTAGGGCACTATTTTCCTTCCCGTGTCTTCTAAGTGTGCACATGATTATCATTCTTGACATGATATTATTTGTATGATGAGTAAAAGCGGATATTTGGGTCAACGTTTCTGTCGAGTTATAGTTTGAATACCGGTGCACTGTAATGTATAATATTTTATTGACTGCTATGAGAAGCATCGCTGTTTCTAAAGGCTAAAGGGGACGTTACATCCTGCTATAACCCCTCGGGGCGCCCTGAGGGGTTTTAGCAGGATGTAACGTCCCCGAGAGCCAGTATAGAAACAGCTATGCTTCGAATATCAAAGCAGTCTTTATATACCAAATTCACAAACAAATCTACAAACAATTCTTACCTTATCCATTTATTGAGTAAACACTGGTTAAAACATCACAGCAAATCTGAGACATTGTCTGTAAATCTTCGCTGGAAAGTTGCCTGAATGTAGTGATCATCTCCCCTTCTCTTAATTTTTGAAATTTGGTTAAAAATCAATTCGCAAGTTTTGAGAAAATGTCTGTGATAAATTTAATGAAGTTTTAACAGCAATTTAATCAGATTGTTTACCTGGCAGTGATTTTCGCATTTGCACTGAGAATTCTTGTATTCCCTTGGTCAACAAATTATGGGGGGGGGGGGGGGGGGCAAATTGCTCAATGACCCATTCGAATACGCTAGTGGATTTGTAATAAAATTGTATCTCAATAATAGATTAAAGGTTGCAAATGTTACGCTAACCGTTTTAATACTTATTTAAAAATATAATTTGTTTTTTCTTTACAGATCGACGCAAAAGAACACAACACCAACCGCGAGTCGTCAAACGAGATGCAGAAAGCTACCCGAACCCTTTCCTACATTGTCCTATCTTTCATCATCGCCTGGCTACCCAACAACCTCATATATCTCCTCTACGCTATCGATGCGAGGTTGATCGCCACATCTTTGCTACCAAGACCCCTGCGACAGTTCTTTAACTGGTTGAGGTATGGCAACAGTTTGCTCAATCCGATCTGCTACGCTGTCTCTCAGCCCCTCTTCAGACATACCATCTATAACATGTTCTGTAGACCACGCAATTACTGCTAAAAGTGGTGTAGATACGGGGAGGGGGAGGGGGCACCGGAAGAAGATTCGACCCACTACCACACACTACATTCAATGGCCTTACTTTCTTCTTATTTTATTTGTCTGAATGGGTTTAGTTGTCCCATGACACTTGCAGTGACCCCCTCCATGGCTTGCCCCACGCACACCTATTAACGGCTAAGATGAATGACTACCCATGTTGCATCTTAGCCCCTCCCGACCCACTAGAGTCCGCCAAGCAAGTACTGCTAAGGTTACCCACTTTGCCTCTCAGCCCATTTTTTTTAAATCTCACCACGATAGCGTTCTTTCAGTCCAACATAGTTTGTGCTAAGATGAAGAACAAAAACAACAACAACAAACAAATTTTACTGTTATTTCGTTTATTTCGTCCCAAACACTTTATTCGATACATCATCAACAAAACTGTCCTGCCGACCCCGAAAGTAATGTAAATTGCCACTACCCCCTCCCTTAAAAAAAATTCATTTAAAGAGTTTCGAATATTTGAAACAAAAAATAAGTTTTTTCCTAAGTCTGTAAAAAAAGTTTGAAAAACAAAAATCTTTACAACGTTTGTTAAAGTAATTAGCTAAAGAGTATTCGATGGTTAAAAATTATTTTTAAAGTACGTTGAAATTATTTTCTGCATATATAGGTCAGGCAAAGAAATTCGTAAAATGGGGGAAAATCTAAACTATTTTTCGTCTTCGCTTCCTGTTAAATATCATCCAATGCTGTTAGGAAAAATACATTTTGATAGTACTTGTTGCCAAGTTTTGCGAAAGGAATTTGCCAGTAAATGTAGGTGCGATGTTATTCAACCTTATTCAAGGTTTCCGGCCATTTTACATACTAAACCTTCTATTAATTTATGTGGAGACAATCTTGTCATAAAAGCAAATAGGATTTTGTTTTCTTCTTTATTTCTTGCACAGGTCAGTGCTAAGAATTTTGTAGAAAAAAGTCTTCTTTATTTGTTGTCTTTGTGTTCTTTCTGAGAGCACCAGAACCTTCGAGGAAAAAAATTAAACGAAAAAAATTAACTATTTTGTTTCGTGATAGAAATTTGGTAGGATATTAAACGAAAGTTGATGTTATTCGAGCCTTTCGCAAGGTTTTACGCATTTCTATCCTTCATAATATTTATATTGCCTCTTTTATGTGAAAATAACCTTGGGACAACATTTTAAAAGCAATATTTCCTTGTAATATCCGGACAATAAATTTTTTGTAAGTAAGGTTATAACTTTTAAGGAATAACACAGAATAATATCTTTATAAAGATTAACTATAGAAAAGGAAAGAAATTCCGCAGTCAAAATGAACAGAGAAAGACAACCAAGGAAAAAGTCCAAGATATTGAAAAAAGACATGGAAAGCTTAAAAAGAGAAAAGTGAAAAGAAAAATAATTTTCACGATGGAATCTGATCAGTGTTTAGCGTGCTATTGAAATAATTATTAAATAAGATAATGGGTGGAAGTGGGGGAGGGTATTAGGGCGTATAATATGAAATTATGAACTCATCAGCGCACTTTACCCTATATAGAAAATTCGCCTTATAAATTTGCAATCTATTCATATTATCGGTATTGTCATTATGATCTCAACACAATAAGTACAAGGCTATAGGAGTTACATTCATTAATAGTAAAAGAGGAAAGGAACTATGAAAGAAACCAGTTATTAAATGGCAACAACGAATGAATAGGTATTTGAAGATGGATGGTGGGAAAGGGTGATTGAGGGAGAGAAGGAAAGAGAGATCGAGATACAAAGACAGAGATGCGAACGAATATTTATAAAAAAGCATTGCAGCGACTTCGTAAAAGTTAATTCAGAAAAGGTTTAATCTAATTACTATATATTCGATTTAGAAAAATTCCATTTAAGATTTTTTTTTGGTGTGTTTATGATTTATAGGTATCTTCATTGAAGACATACCGTGCATTCCGGCTATGAAAAGCTTCCACATTAGCACTAAATCGTTGTCAAAGAGAAATAATTGATTTGCTGCTAACGCATTATAATATCATTGAATAGAAATACTTTCTACTTAGAAACGCTTCGGATTTTCTTTATGTTCTTTTTTAAAATGCTTTCTTTGCTACTTTATCCTTGATTTTATTCAATACAATTTTAATACTTCAAGAATGCATTTTTTGTGTAAAAAAACATTTAAAAAAATGAAAAATATAATAATCTGCATTCCTTTTTGCTTTTGAAGGATACGACAGAGTGGCCTTAATTCAGACTTAATTGTTGAGCGGTATGTATATTGAGTTCAGCTATTAAAATATTGTTAGTAAGTAAAATGCTTTTCCACTAACCTCTGGGTTTAATAGGCTATTTCCTCTTTAAAGAGATAATTAAATGGCTCGTTAGATTGAAGATTTAGTTTTCTGAACATCTCACTGTGACGTTTTAACCACGCTGAATTGAATTAAGAAATTGCCTCAAGTCATTTAACCACCATTAATGTTTCAGTTTTAAGTAGACATCACTTGAAAATATGAAGTTGCCAATACTTCTGTAGAATGCATCCCTATCTCTCTACAAAATCGGAAAGATAAGAAATCTCCTCGACAATCACACAACTGAGATCCTTGTCCACTCCTTCGTCACCTCTCTTCTCGATTCTTGTAATTGTCTCCTCATAAATCCCCCAATAAAGACATCGCCAAGCTTCAGCGAATTCAAAATTCAGTTGCCAGACTAGTTTCCAAATTACCAAGGCAAGAGCACATCACTCCCACTCTTCAGGAACTCCATTGGCTGCCCGTATCCCAGAGAATCCAGTACAAAGTCATCACTCTAACTTTCAAAGCACTTCATCAACTCTGTCCCAGCTACATATCTGAACTTGTTACACCTTACATACCTACTCGATCCCTCCGCTCTGCATCTCAACACCTAATTGAACCCACGAAAGACAGGACCAAGTCATACGGATCCAGAAGATTCTCATCTGCAGCTTCGCATCTCTGGAACTCTCTCCCCACTACTTTCCGAACCATCACAGACTTAGCTTTCTTTCAATCTCAACTAAAAACCTACCTGTTTAAAAACGCTTTCTAATGTCATTTAAACTGTATTATTGTATTCATCAAAATTTAATTACATTACTGTACTCTTATATAAATTGCCTTCATTTCTGTGTTATGGATGTATATAATGTTTGATTATTATTAATCTTTTCCTTATTTTGATATATATCTTTAGTTCATGAATTAGTTATGTGTAATTTTGTTGTATTAATATTGTAAAGCGCATTGCTATTTTCTTCGAAGATGAAATGCGCTATATAAGTCTAGGTTATTATTATTATTATTATTATAAGTGATCATTCCATGTTAAATTTTCATCTATAAATACTCCCCCAAACCTTTGATGTATTTTTTTTTTTGTGCGATATGCATATTATCAATTTCAATATGGTATATACGGAATTTAGTTAGATGAGAATTAAAATATTTCAAGTGCATAAAATGTGTTTTTATTATGTTTAATGAGAGTTTATTACACTTAAACCAGTTCGAAACTTAACGAATGAAAATAACATTGCACGGAGCTTGGAATGTTATGTATTATAATATTCGCATTAGCCTACAAGCTGTATGTTAAGATAGTAAAGTGATGTTGTGCGGGAAAAACTGACTACTAGTCAGTTTATCTAGTAGATAATGAATGTTTAAGAGTGATCCTAAGTGAATTTGATTCGTGTGAAAAATGTAAAGATTGCATCGTATTATACATTGCATCCAATATTATTGTAGCCAGTGATTATATTTCGAAAATATGATTCACTGAATGTTCTAAATAAAAATAACATAGTCTGTATGTGTTTAATGATCTTAATCATGTGTGGGTTCAGCATGAACATGCTGTAATTATACGCAGCATAGAGAGAAGACGTCATACACATCCACGATTGAAGGTTCACAAAAATAAAACCAACAGTTCAACTAGAAGTATTTTTCCTTCTCTTGTTTTTTTTATAATTCGTATGTATTTACTTGTTTTCCCTTCAGTCGCTTTTTACTATCCTTTTGTATTTCTCTATTTTCATTATTTTTTTTCTATCGTCTTTTTTTTTTATAATCCTCATAAATATCTTCATTTCCTTCTCTAGTTTTCTATCTCTCCGAGGGTATGTGAAACCCATCTTGAGGTTTCAACTTGTCAAATTCGCTGTAAACGGGTGTAAAATCGCTGTACCGCCTTTGACGCCGATTTTTTTTGCCCGCCTTTTAGTTTAAGGGGGAACGGGGAAAAGGTTTCCACCCGAAATGGTTCAAAGAATAGTGCATAAAAGAAAGATATAACATAACACGATTACCTGTAAATAAATTAAACAAAATCTTTTAAACAAAAACGTTATTAACGTAATTTTTGATAATCACAATGATTCAACGTAATTTGGAGATAAAGTAAGTAAATGTGAATACAAAGGCACCAACTCCATCGCTTTCACTAACACACACCCGCCCACACGCACACCCAACATACGTATGCACTCCCTCACACGTAAGCACTGTATGCTGAGCGTATCTCACTCTTATAGGGAGGGATATACGCTATATTATACGTATGGTATATCATTTTTATAATTCATAGTTCTAAGTCCACATGCGCTTCAAAAAGGATAAGAACCGGAACAAAATGTAAATGACAAACATTTATGAATAAAGCGTTGTGCAAGCGGTAACAATGCCTTTGCTAGTGGCAGACAAACATTGGCATATAAAGAGAATGAAACCATTTGAAAAGAAAATGAGTTACATTAATAATAGACACGTCTTACTTAAAAAACAAACCCTGCTGGTCCTGTTTCAATTTAGGCAATGTTACTTTGCAATGCACTGGAAGACTAGTAATCAATCCGGATTATAAACGTCAAACCTAGCTTAATAACATGAGGATGATAGGGGCAAGTTCCTCCCCCCCCCCCCCAAGGGTCACTGTTGATTAAAAAAAAGTTAGGTTTAAAAGTACCTG